CACGGCGTTGTCTCCACCCCTGGTACTGCTGCTTCCATCAGCCTCGACTACAGTACTCTCGCGCTCAGACGTCGCAACGTCGTCGTCTCCAGCTGAACTCTTGCCAGCTTGCGCGTTATCATGTCGTCCGCGGACAACACGTGGGGATTTCTTCTGCACTGCGTCACCAACAGCTTCAACCGTGAGCTTCACATCCGTTTCCAGCGCGGCACCTCGACAGGAATCGGGTCTTTTCGCCGACAGGCCTTTCGCCTCGACAGATCTCCGAAGCCCGGAGGTAATCACCGGCCCGCCTTCCTCGATCGGCTCACAGGTCTTCCCTGTTCGCTTGCAGTGCAGAGTCCTCGTTCCCGTTCCTTCGATTCGTCGACCTCTCCAGTCAATATGTGGTTGCATGTCTTCGAAGAATGGTATTCCAAGAATGCAATCGAATTCGTCTGGAATCGGGTAGACGACTGCCTCACACTTGTAGGCGTCGTCCAGCCTCGAGACCAGAATCTCGATCAGCAGAATTTCAAGCTCCGCCTCGACAATTTGGTTGTCTCCCAGCTTGACACGAATGTTCTTGTCGCTGAACTTGGTTGTCTGAAGCTGGTGCTCCTCGACCCAACGCTTGGATACGTAGATCGTGGTGGCTCCACAGTCCAACAACATGCTTCGTGTCGCGAGACACTTGTCACCAACACTGATTTCACCTGTTACGGAGAACAGTGGACGTGACTTGTAGACCAGAGGGTTTTCGCACAGAACGTTCAAGCTGATATTCTCAATCTTTGGTGTCCCGGTTACGCTCTCGCCCACGCCAGGACCCTCATTCACTGACGTGGTTGCTCGTTTCCCTGCTTCTCTTGCTCCTTCTTCCAGAGGAAGCAGTTGGCCTTGATGTGGCCAGGCTTCTTGCAGTGATAGCAGGTGCGGCCTTCAGTACGCTTGGAGTCAGACCTCGGCTTGAACCGTCCCTTGCCGCGGAAAGGTTCCCTTTGAATGGCTTGTCTTGCTTGGGAGCTTGATCAGCGAAGATCTTCCTCTTGTCTTGGCGGGACTGGCGGTCGCGCACGTCGTCCACAAAGTGCGTAACTTCGTACTTGATCGCCAGGTCCATAGCCGCGCTCAGCGTCTCTGGGTTCTCGAGCTTGACGTAGCTACGGGTACGAGGCTTGAGACCGTTTGCGTAGCTTAGCACCTGGTCAAGTACACTCATGCCCTCAACTCGGAAGATAAGAGCAGAGTACTCGCCGTTGTAGGTCTCGATGTCCGCCGTTTACTTGAGTCGCTGCAGCTTTTCTCGCAAGACGGCCTGGTAGTTCGAAGCTTCGAAGTGTTGGAGCACATGCTCACGGAAAATCCCCCACGTGTGCTCCTCACTTCTCGTCGTCGATGACCAGTGCAGGAACCATCCTGAGGCCGGCTTTTCCATCGCCGACCCGGCGATACCCGGCAGACGCGCGCTCGCGTCTTCGATTTGGATTCCGTTGATGCGACAGGCGTTCTCGATCTGGAACAGCCATTCGCGAACGTCTTCCCCCCGCTTGCCGGTGAACTTAGCAGATTGGTGGGCACTCGCGTGCGCTCTGCCATCGCTTGATTCAGCCGGTCGATCTCGGCTTGTAGCTGGGCGTTCGTCGGCATGGGCTTCTTGTAGTCAGGTTGCTGGGACCAACAAGTGCTACCAGTTTAACAGGAAGAAGTGCTGTCTTGGGGGAGGGCGTGCGGAACTAAGAGTGCCGCCCCCGCAGTTCAGGCGGATGGAAGCCTACATCTGCATATCTATTTTAACTTGGTTTCACTATACCTACGGTGAGTCGTACCTACACTGACCTCTTATTGGCTTACCTTTCTACCAATCAGACACCGCAGCGTTGGCATGGACTCAGCAAAGCGGCAAGAACGGGTTGGTCCGCCAGTCCGGGCAGTCTAGAACCTGAGTGGCACCGATGGAGGCGGTGCTCGACCTTCTTGGTACTGGTACTAGTACTGCTGCTGCTGCTCGAACTGCCGACGCTCGAGCTCCACCTGCGCGTGAAGCTGCCGCTGCTGCGTGTGAAGGTCCATATCCATCTCGTGCTCGTCGAGCGACTGTTGCCTCTCTCGCAGCTGCTGGTGGTGGTGTTGGCGCTGGAGCGCGAACTGGCCCACGAGCTGCGCGAGCTGCTGGATCTCGGCGGCCGCGCCGTCCACCTGCACCTGCATGGCGTTGACCATGGCCTGCAGCTTGTGCACCTGCTTGCGCGAGGCCTTTTTGGAGACGTGGTGGGGCTTGTGCGTCCTGGAGGGCGACGCGGCCAAGCCCGCCGTGTGCTTGGCTCTGCAGCGCGGCGTGGGTCTCCTCCGCGCGCAGTCTCTGGGCAGGTCGGCGAAGAGCATGGCCGTCTCGTCGAGGCCCATCAGGGGCGCGCTGAGCCCGAGCGCGGCGAGGCTGGCGTCGAGGCGGCGGCCCTCGAGGTCGGCGAGGTCGGCGAGGTCGGCGGCGTGCGCTGCAGGCGGCGGCAGCGGCAGCGGCAGCGGCAGTGGCAGTGGCGGCGGGCGGTCCAGGCTCGAGGGCAGCGCGAAGGCCGGCAGCTCGTGCTCGTAGAGGGCGGCGTGGTCCATTGCTGTGGCTGTGCTGTGTGCGTGTTGAAGCTGGCGGATTGGGTTGTGACGGAGGGCGCCCGTTGCGTTGCACCCCGTTCTCGTCAGGAGATGACAGAGTGGTACGCCCACCTCCCCGAAAGGGCAGCTACGGTACTGCAGTCGACGCTTCCTTCCTACACCGCGAAGCCTCAAGCCCCTCGATGCAATTCTAGCTGCGCTTTGCAGACTGCTGCAGCAGCTGCATCGAGTCCCACCGAGAGGCGTCCTCCCTTGGCTGGCTGGCTGCAGACCCCCCGTGCGTCCACAACGCGGGCAGCAGCTCGGCGATGGGGAGGCGCTTCTATGCGCCTCTGCAATCATTGGAGCGGTCGGTCGCGCTCGCGCCCCACTCGGCTCTTGTGTGTTGTATGGAGCTCGCTGCGGCGCTGGGCGGTCGGTGCGCGCGAAGAACTTCATCGTGACTCGCTACGCGCGTCGATGCAGCGTAATGGTAAATACAGTAGTATACGCCGGTAAGCAGTTGAAGCAGCACAGAAGGCGGCCGTGTTGCGTACGCCGGTCGGTCGGACTGGTCGGCCGGAATCATATGGCGCTTTGTATGCGCCGGATTTCGAGGACGCGACACAGAGAAAAGAACCCCCTTCGCACAGGGCTGGACGCCGCCAATTCTTTTTCAGCCGGCGTTGGGCGGGGGCAACGGCAACGCGGCGCCTGCCTCGTCGACGGCGCTCGCGGGCGTTGGTTTCGTAGCTTGTTGTTGCTCATGCACTCGTGGACTTGCCCAGTGGCGGGACGGGTCGTGTGGCTGTCCTACCAAATCAGAAACACGTTTGTCTGCCGATTGTCTGGCGGGGTGTAGCCCCTGATGTCATCATTTGGCCTCGATCGACGAGGGCTGCCATCTCCCATTGCCGAAGCGAGGCTATTGCTTGTTCGTAACCGTTGAACAAACTGACGGGCGAGCACCTACTAGCCCGGATTCCACTAAGTCTGAAGAGGTATTCGTAATTCGGGCGCGGATTTCCCGGCAGTTGATGTTGCTAAAAGCTTTGCTACAGTCTGAAGCTCGAGTATTGATGCTTCGATGGAGATCATCCATCGAAGCACCCCATGGCCTATTTCAGTTTAGCTACATGCCAATGCATTGCATTTGATCAACGATATGTGCTGCTTGATTCTGGATGCTGTTAGCGCTGTGGGTCGGACGCGCTTAACTATTCTTCATTTTACTTTTGAGATTGAATCCGAGAAAAACTTAACATGAATGAAATTTCAGTATTTCATTCCAGAAAACACCAACCGCGCCAAGTTTACCCCTGCGGAATGCGTTTGGCGAATTGAACACTCCTCCTGATCGCTAAGCTCCGTCGCCTTGTTTAGTTAAGAAAAACAAATCAAATCACGATCCGAGTCCGAGCCATCGACAAGCTTAGCGCCATTACTGATAGAGGTGAGTCAGGTTCCCGTGGTCAAGTAGTGCGCTCAACCTCGACCACTTGGGTTACGAACAAAAATATCATACCATTACTTATTCAATGGGAGTATCCCTGTCGATCGCGGCTAAAACCTTAGGTGTTGTTCATCCTCACCACCACCAGACGATCGAAAGCGCCCGTCACACCGAGCGGCGCTGCGCTGGGCGCCAACAATTCCGTTGCTTTCTGATTTCACTAATTGCGACGGACGTGGGCGACCCGTCCCGCTGGCACAGGCAACACCATGCAATCGGCTTCCGGGTGAGGGGTTGCCGTTGCCCCCGCCCAACGCCGGCTGAAAAAGAATTGGCGGCGTCCAGCCCTGTGCGAAGGGGGTTCTTTTCTCTGTGTCGCGTCCTCGAAATCCGGCGCATACAAAGCGCCATATGATTCCGGCCGACCAGTCCGACCGACCGGCGTACGCAACACGGCCGCCTTCTGTGCTGCTTCAACTGCTTACCGGCGTATACTACTGTATTTACCATTACGCTGCATCGACGCGCGTAGCGAGTCACGATGAAGTTCTTCGCGCGCACCGACCGCCCAGCGCCGCAGCGAGCTCCATACAACACACAAGAGCCGAGTGGGGCGCGAGCGCGACCGACCGCTCCAATGATTGCAGAGGCGCATAGAAGCGCCTCCCCATCGCCGAGCTGCTGCCCGCGTTGTGGACGCACGGGGGGTCTGCAGCCAGCCAGCCAAGGGAGGACGCCTCTCGGTGGGACTCGATGCAGCTGCTGCAGCAGTCTGCAAAGCGCAGCTAGAATTGCATCGAGGGGCTTGAGGCTTCGCGGTGTAGGAAGGAAGCGTCGACTGCAGTACCGTAGCTGCCCTTTCGGGGAGGTGGGCGTACCACTCTGTCATCTCCTGACGAGAACGGGGTGCAACGCAACGGGCGCCCTCCGTCACAACCCAATCCGCCAGCTTCAACACGCACACAGCACAGCCACAGCAATGGACCACGCCGCCCTCTACGAGCACGAGCTGCCGGCCTTCGCGCTGCCCTCGAGCCTGGACCGCCCGCCGCCACTGCCACTGCCGCTGCCGCTGCCGCTGCCGCCGCCTGCAGCGCACGCCGCCGACCTCGCCGACCTCGCCGACCTCGAGGGCCGCCGCCTCGACGCCAGCCTCGCCGCGCTCGGGCTCAGCGCGCCCCTGATGGGCCTCGACGAGACGGCCATGCTCTTCGCCGACCTGCCCAGAGACTGCGCGCGGAGGAGACCCACGCCGCGCTGCAGAGCCAAGCACACGGCGGGCTTGGCCGCGTCGCCCTCCAGGACGCACAAGCCCCACCACGTCTCCAAAAAGGCCTCGCGCAAGCAGGTGCACAAGCTGCAGGCCATGGTCAACGCCATGCAGGTGCAGGTGGACGGCGCGGCCGCCGAGATCCAGCAGCTCGCGCAGCTCGTGGGCCAGTTCGCGCTCCAGCGCCAACACCACCACCAGCAGCTGCGAGAGAGGCAACAGTCGCTCGACGAGCACGAGATGGATATGGACCTTCACACGCAGCAGCGGCAGCTTCACGCGCAGGTGGAGCTCGAGCGTCGGCAGTTCGAGCAGCAGCAGCAGTACTAGTACCAGTACCAAGAAGGTCGAGCACCGCCTCCATCGGTGCCACTCAGGTTCTAGACTGCCCGGACTGGCGGACCAACCCGTTCTTGCCGCTTTGCCGAGTCCATGCCAACGCTGCCGTCTTCAACCAAAGGAAGACGTACGCCATCGCCAGCAGGACGACCTACAAGACCTCGCTACACCTCACGCACAATACTGGCGTTGCTGCCAGCGTGAGGATTCTCTTCAGAGGGCACGTTCTCCCGGGCTCTCTTTGCAACTACACTCTGGTCGTGTGTCCTCATGGCGTTTTGCTCTTGGACCGTCAATGCGTCCATGCGTTTATTCCGAGTCAAAGTCTACAATTAATTGATGAAAGTGGCGAGCTTCAGCTAGACCTTCATCATGCTGCGGCCACGACATGAAACAATTGATTTTTCCTTCTCTCTCGGAATCGTGGGAGCGTGGTTGCAACTATGTGAAGAGGCGAAGAGGAATCAAAGTCGATCGACACGAAGCTGTATATTGGGATACGATCCATAAGACTGCGAAGTGCTGTATCACTTCACGATAAGCTGAAGATGACTTGACTCCCGCTTACTTGGTCTTCATGGCCGTGTTAATCCAAGGAACCGCGGAGGACACGCGCGAGTAAATGGCAGGGGAGCCGTTCACGCCGCAGCCGCTGCCGCCGCTCAGAAGACCGACCAGAACGTCGTCAGCGTCGCCACGGCCGTTCTCCTTGATGAACGGGCCGCCCACACCTGCGAGTTATCCACAGTGGACTTAGTGGTCTTGCTGCAGTCCGCGTTGCTCCAAATCTGCTGACTCAGACCCTGCAGCTCCTCGAGAAAAGATTAATTTCATGTACAATTCGGCTGAAAACCACGTACCATAGGAGAAACGGATGATTTCCATGTACCTCGGCTGGAATTGCATGTGCTCGCTGCTAGATCGAAGTTCAGAGTAAATGTTACCATTAAAGTGCAACGAATGTATTATAAAGCATGCTTATGTGGTGTCGAGAAAGTTGAGTGAAGCTCACGGCAAGCCCCGCGGCATTCGGCCGCGGATTGGCCAGTCTGGACCAATGACGATGACTCGTCGACACTCAAGCTCAAGCCGTGGTGTGTCCACACAACACCGGAGCTTCAAGGACGACCCGAACCTACGGCGAACTTTGGCCTGGGTTCCGCACTTAAGGCGACTCTTCGAGGCCGTCCGAGCCTTCAAGAGAGTTCTGAAGAGTCGGGTGGTTGGTTACCTGGAAGATCCACAACGGACACGTCTAGACTTGATATTTGTATTGAACCATAGGAAAGAGAAGATAGAACAGATAAGCCCTTTGGGCAACAATGACAGAACAGCTTTTCCTCCCAACCACTCAAGGAAGACGTCCGGGCTATCGGTGAGTTCCCGTAGCAATTGGATAAACCTGTTGGTAGGATTATGACTGTCGGTGGACGCGCCTGCTAGTATCGTAGCGTGCGTTTACCCGTGGTCAGGCCAAGAGAAGAGAAGAGGTGGCCGTGTATACGAAGGGCGAGTCATCGCCGTGTAGTGGAGGAGCGAGAGCGCACTCCATTTATCCTTCCCGTCGGAGTATAGCTCCGGCGCCCTCGTATCAAGCCGTGACTGGCTGGGACCCTTCCTTCCTGAGGGCCTGCGAGGTTTATATTGTGTGTGAGAGCGTGCCAGCCTTTGCTCGTGGCTGGTGACGCTGGGTTTCCGCCAGTTGACTAAGCGGAAACACGGTGCACAGAGGAAACATCAACCCGGTGCAAGGGAAAGTTCCTGGGCCTTCAAGTTCTAACCCTAACGAGCCCATTGAGTCATCGGGACTTGGTGGGTGTTGTTGGTGGGGAAAGTGTGCTATTATATTAGTGCGTGTTCCTACACGACAACTGGTGCCGCGACCCGGGATTGGTGTGACCTTCTGTGTCTCGTGCTACTGCAGGTCAGCTGACTTTACGAGCAACAACTGAGAAGAAGAGCAAGAAAAAGAACAAGAAGATGGCGAAAGGATCTCAATCGGCGGTACCAGCAACTCCGATGAAGTCCGGCGGAACGCGAGGCGACGACTCGACGGCGGCCCTGATCACGCCGCAACTCGACCCGATTGCTGAGCGCCACGTCAGCTTCGACGAGTCGATGACTGGATCCGACGCCAAGGACGAAGAAATGGATGAAGAATACGACGATTACCTGGAGGAGAAGGCGCCTGCGCCAGCGGTGGTGACACCCGAGACTCCGGAAGATGCAGTGATGTCCGCGGGGCGCAGCGGGGGCTCGCGCTCCCTGGCGCACAGTCTCGCGAGCGAGTTGGAAGACGACGCGCCTCCCGTCTCGCGCAACCTCGCGGACGAACTGGATGATGTGGATGGCCCTGAGCCAGCGTATGATGACATGGAAGAGTTTGAAGACAGCGCCGACGACTCACGATCGCCGGTGCTGACGACTCAAGTAACCGAGCAAACCTCGGGCAACCGGCCGCCGATGAATGGAGACACGCCGGCAGCCAACAAGGTACTCGGCCGATGCTTTGAAGCAATGCGTGCGAGCGAATGGGGTCGACTCTTCGAGCCGCGCATGATCAGCCAAGCGGTGTGGGCAGACCTGAGCCACGAGTTGGCGCGACCGGTGAATGCGGTCACAGTTGAGCAAGTGGCGAAGGACACGGTGACGTTCCTGAAAGCGTTGGGTCTCCGGCCCACGCTTGCCCCGTCGCCGTCGACTCTGGAGAGTTTCCTGCCCGCGGAAGCCGGAGCCGAGCTCTGGCAATGGAAGAAGAAGTTGTGTACAACCTTCGGGGTGACCCCCTTCTCTTTGGAACAGCCGAAGGCGGCTCGCACCAACAAGGGTGGCGCTGATCCAGCGCGCGTCCCGCTCCCGCGAACTCCGAAGAAGACCGAGCGCAGTTACTCAGCCCGGGCTGCGACTGGAGAAGTGTTCAGTGCGTCGGGCGAGCGATCGCCGAACTTTCAAGACTCCCACATGGTCACTCCACCCGCGACGACTCGTAATGAACGAGTTGCGCGTGGTGCCGAAGACTCGAGAGTGACCAGGAGCAGTCTACGAAGCTCCGGACGGAGCTCAAGTCGCAAGTCCCGCTACGCCGACGACTCATCTGATGACGACGATGACTTCACGGGAGACGGAGGTGCGCAAATGGACGAATATCTGCGACAGATCCGGGAGGTGAGCGACGCAGAGACCGTGAACCCGACGCCGAGGCTCGAGGTAGCGATGCACCGACCACTGGGGCAGATCTCGACGTTCTCGGGCGCTCGCAACAGGAGCGAGAACTCGATGCAGTGGCTGCGCGCGTTTGTGTACGAGATGAAAGGTACACACGCGCCGCCCAATGAATGGTGCATGCCCTTCGAACTCCGCCTGAGAGACGGCGCGGTACACTGGCACCGACAACAGACCAAGAAGACCAAGCGAACCGGGACTTTGCTGAGCGAAGCCTTCATCCGCTACTACTGCTCCCAGTTCAGCCAGTCAGCGGAAACCCGATACTACTCTGCCAAGCGCGACGACAAGGAACACGTCTGCGACTACCTGAACCGACTTAACGGCTACGCCCGCAACGCAGGCGTCCAGTTCGAGAACGGCGGCCGCAAGGCGAAGGACCACGTCAAGCGCTTCCTGGAGACTTGCGGCGACCGTAAGCTGGAGAGACGACTCGCTCCTCTGCGGATCAAGGACATCCATGAGCTGGAGGAGATGATCATCGAAATGCTGAAGGTTGAAGAGCGACAGAGTTCGCGCGAGTCTTCGCAGTCGCGATCCAAGGCTCGGGAGCCGTCCCGCCGACGTGATGACAGGCGTCCCGATGACTCGCGTCGCCGAGATGACCGGCGCCGGCAAGACACCCGAGACGGGTACCGCCGCGATGACTCGCGAACTGGCCACAGCCGTGGGGATCGACGCGAACGAGATTATGAGCGTCGTCGCGACGACTCTAGGATCGTTCCTCGCGTGACCCTGGCTGACGCATCTGTGGAAGACATAGTCGCTGAACTGCAAGGACGGGACGCCAGGAGCACCTCGACCGGACGCGACAGTACGCGCCAGCAGTTCAGCGATGACAGCGACGCCGCCAGCGATCGAGGCTCCGATGACTCGTGGTACTCGGAGGAAGGCGGACACGATGGGTACTCAACGGATGGCAGCGATCACTACGTGGCTGCGGCGCACGAGAGCGAACGACGCGCGGCAGCCGACGGCACGTACGCCAGGTCCGACAATCGGCCTTCCCGACGCGATCAGAGTGGTCGGGAACCCAGCCGGGACAACCGATACCAGAGCCGAGATGGCCGTGACAATCGACGACGCCAGTACGGTCCCTGCGCTGCCTGTGGTGGTCTCTCCCACTCAGCCCACTTCTGCAACCGGCGCTGCAAGTTGTGCAAACAAGTGCACGACGCAGGCCGATGCGAAGTGTTCCATGAACTCACCAAGCTTGTCCGCAACAAGGTGGACAAGAAGGACCTCACTCCTGAGCTCCAGAACCTCCTCTTCACGGAACATATAAACTAGGCAGCCCGCCAACTGAAACTGGGTTGGTCCCAATCGGGCTGCCACAGTTAGCCGAGCCTGCAGTCGAAGCGGAGTGCATCTACGCTTTTGTGGGCAAGTGCGAATGGCCGGATGAAGGACGAGGTACATGGGTGAACACGACGGAATTTGAAAAGGAGAGAGGCGAAAGCCTCGGTGGAGGTGATTTGAGTGAGAAGAGTGATGAAGAAGTGATTGAAGACACTGCCGAAGACTGGGTGACGAGTGCAGTGCAGGAAACATCGCACCGACGACTCGACGTGGAGGTACGCCTTCTACCCGGAGAGCGTATGGGATGGTGGTCGGCGCAGAAATTCGACCGACGAGTACGTATGAGGACGCTGGTGAACGGAGCGGTCAACGACTCGCGAACGAGGATCCTGCTGGACACTGGAGCGAACGTCAGTGTTATTTCCGAGAAGTACGCCAACCGGCTGAGAATCAAGGACATTCCAGACCATGGTCGGTGTATGGAAGTCCAGGATATCACCAAGGGCAAGGCGACGACGACTCGGAGGGCGTCTGTGAAGATTACGCTCGGATGGGAGCGTGTTTACGTTTTTGAGATGTGGATCATCGACCACAACGCAGGCGTCGACGTGGTGCTAGGCACCGACTTCATGATCCCGGCTGGGATCCGGTTGGACCTCTTCAACGCGGCGGCCAAGCTCCCGGACGAAGTGATGATCCCGCTGATCAAGACGCAGAACATGGTCGACGAGGCCGAAGGGGTCCATGTCAACGGGGGGCCCGGTCGACGTGCTGCAGATTCCCGGCCGAGAATGGAAAGAGTTCCGAATGCAACGGAAACGTCCGTCCCCGACGACTCACGTGCCGTGGATCCGACAGACCGACAAGCTCATCCCTACGGTGAAGCGGTTCCACAAGGGACATCCGCAGCCGATCCGACTGACTAACCTTGACAACCGGCTCACGATCTGTCCAGCTCACACAACCTTCGTGGTGTGGGTACCAATCGGGTCGTTGCCGAAGTCTGAGGGATATGTGCGGCTCGACTCTGACAAGTATAGGGAATGGCAAGTCCTTGCCTACGAGGCCGCCCGCGATAAGACGCTGCTCAAGTGGGAAGTTGAGTTTTACGCTCAATGGTTAGCTGCCCAGCCGTCGGCAGTGGATCGACCCGAGTATCCCACTCCAAAAGGGCTGCTCCGACGGCCTACCGAAGACTCTCAAGACGAGCACAGCTCGGAGTCGTCCGACAGTGATGGAGGTGAAGATTCTGACGGCTTGCCAGTGGGCAATGATCCAGAATCCGCACCAGAAGAAGTTGCGCAACGGATAGTTGCAGCCGTCGACGACTCGACAGGGGTGACCCTCAATACTCGAGTGGAAGCAGCTGCCTTGGAGACGTCTGAGCGCCCTGCTGGGGGAGATGAGTCGTCGGGAACCGGCTTGGACGAACCTACGGAGTCAAAGAGTGCTGAGGATGAAGTCCCGACGACTCAATCCTGCTCGAACTCGGATATCGAGGCCGGTTTGACACGACTCGAGCAGACGTTCATGTGTGTCTTGCGGGTCTTGAGCACAGAAGGTACAGAGACCACGCCGCTGACTCGTTCGAGCATCTCGCGGCTGGTATCGGGTTGGAAGACTACGCGCACGAGCTGGCGTTCCTTCCTGACTTGTCCGAAGCTGCTACGACCACTCTGGACTACGACGCAGACAATGTGCGGAATCCTGAGTTGTCGGCGACACGACAGGACGATCTAATCAAGGTGCTCAAGAACCATGAGCCAATTATGATCGCAAGCGGTAATGCGTTACCACCACCAGCATATGGGGTGGTCTGTGACATAGACGTGCAAGGGCACGCGCCGATCAAGCAACGAGCCCGGCGGATACCACTACGGCATCTCAAGAAGCTGTATGAGCTGCTGAGGGGGCTGCTCAGGGCTGGACTCGTGTCTTCCTCTGACAGCCCGTGGGCATCGCCGATCGTCATCGTCCTGAAAAAGAACGGGATCGACATTCGACTGTGCATCGACTACAAGCTGGTCAATGCCATCACAGCGATCATGGAATACGCCATGCCACTCGTCGATGACTTGTTGACCTACCTAGAAGCATACCTCTGGTTCTGCTCACTCGACGCAGCGAGTGGATTCTGGGCCATCATGATGACGCTACGAGCGCGCAAGATCTCGGCCTTCGTCTGCCCGCTGGGACACTTCGAGCGGCTTCGCATGCCTTTCGGTCTCAAGAACGCGCCGATGATCTACCAGCGCATGATCGACAACGCGTTGTGGGGTCATGTCCAGCCGAAGGGAGGTTGGAAGGCCTTTGCGGAACGGATGGGAGCTGCCGAAGCTGAATCAGCACGTCTCCGACGACTCGAGTCGTCGGGATACCTGCAGAACCCTTCCGCAGCGTCCCGCACGAAGTTTGCAGCCGCCCACGATGACTCGCAGGCACTAGATCCTGTCTTGCTGCTGATCAACAGCCCGGATGCGGACATGTTTGCGACCAACGAGCCCGACGACTCGTCACTGGTTCCGGTGTTTGATCGCCGATCGTTTGTGGATGACATATGCTTCGGAGGCGAGAGCTTCGAAGACTGTCTTGCCACGCTGGACCGGCTCTTGAGCCGATTTGAGGAGTGCCAGATCAGCGTCAGCTTCACCAAGAGCATATTCGTGCAAGGACGCGTCGATTTCCTGTCGTACGAGATCTCGCGAGATGGGATGCGCGCAGACCCCAAGAAACTGGACGCAATCACGAAGCTGTCCTTCCCTCGGACAAAAAAGGGATGCAGTCCTTCCTCGGAGCGCTGAATTACTACAGCCGGGTTATCCAAGACTTCGCAGTCTATGGAGCCGCGCTATACCAGCTCAAGGACGACGCCTTCGCGCCCGGGGGTGACCTCGCTGTAGCCCGCCGCAGCTTCCAAGCACTTCAGCAGAAGGTGGCGGCGGCGCCGACCCTTCGGCACTTCGATAAGAAGAAGGACGTGCACGTGATGCTTTACGCGAACGAATGGGCACTCAGCTCGACATTGCTCCAGATGCACGACGACAAACTGCACCCCGTGCGCTTCTGTGATCGCGTCTTGAAGGACGCAGAAATGAATTACCATCCTGCAGAAAAGGAGGTGTTGGCTCTACTCCAGCTCCTGAAGACCTGCTATACGCAGCTAGCGGGACGGACCATCCGCGTGTACACGCGGTTCTCTACGTTGGAATGGATCACCAAGTCCAAGTCACTCTTCGGGAGAGCGGTGCAATTCGCCGTGTTGCTTTCCCCGTGGCACTTGATCGTCTAGCGCGTGAAAGAGAAGGACTGCGTATTTTCACAACTGCTCCAGTCGACGGTAACCAACTTTGTGGACCTCGATGACTCGCTGGACCTGGTTGCTCCACCAACGAAAGGCTGGCCGACGACTCGTATGGACCCAAACCTCCTGTAAGCACGTCTCCCGAAGACTCACACGGGGTTTGTGGTCCCCTTTGACGGCTCCGCGAAGACCGAGAAGTATGGTGGATATGGCAGTTGTTCGTGGATCGTGTGGCGCCTACCAGAATGGACAATAGTGATTGCGGCGAGCGCTTACCTCGAGAAGACTACTGTAAATCTCGCCGAGTACACTGGCATGACCAACGGAGTGCTTGCAGCTTTGGACCATGGCGCCGAAGACTTGGTCATCGTCGGGGACTCGAGGCTCGCGATCCAGCAATCCCTAGGGGTGATCGCATGCCGGAAGGAGTCGCTGATGACTCAGCTGAGTCGCCACAAGGAAATCACGGCACGACTGCGGTCAGTCAAGTACCTGCACGTGGTTCGAGAATTCAATGCGGCCGCAGACTCATTGGCGTCGGAAACACTTGAATCCAAGACGTCGAAGGTAGTCCTGAGTGAAACTCGGAAGGCAGAGCTCTGCGAACTGAACCGCATCCAGGAAGTGATCTATGAGTCGACGCCAGATGAAGCAACAGTGCAAAACCATGTTCCTGGAGGCTCTATTCAAATTGCGGACGGATACGAGGTCACCAAACCCAGGACATTCGCTGATTTCGTGCGCAAAGAACCTTTCAGGATCATGGCGATGACTCGTTCACAGGCTAGATCGAAAACGAAGCGAGTCCGATTTGCGGACGACAGTACGAACGAGACGCCACCCAAGGCGATGACTCAAACCGACAAAGAGCACACTGATGAGCGACCACCGAAAGCAGCTCAAGCACCGCCCGCAGCGCCAAACGCAGAAGACATTGGCCCCGTCGAAGTCCAAGCGGAGAGGCGACGGCGCATAGCAGCCGCTCAGGACGAGGAACTACGGTGGGCAAACCTGAAAACAGCCCTACGAGGCGAGGTCGAGAAGCTCGGGTACAGGGCTGCACGAGATGCCTGGAAAATTGCGGACAAGTTCGTTCTGTTCGACGACGGAGTACTCTACAATGTGAATTCGAGTCGTCGAGACACGTCTGGAGAGCAAGAGGAGATCAAGCTGCGTCTCGTGGTACCCACCACAATGATTCAAGAAGTGTTGCAGAACTGCCATGACTCGCTAGAAGGCGGGCACCAAGGGGTAGTGCGGACCTACCAGCGAGTCAAACGGGATTACTATTGGTTCGGCCTCTACACAGACGTCGAGAAGCATGTGAAGTCGTGCCCGGACTGCAGCACCTGCAAAAGCCGACCACAGTTGCGAGGGTATTCTCCCGGCAACGTGTTGGCAGAGCGACCACTCCAGATTGTGTCCATGGACTTCGTAATACCGCTCCCGATGACTCGGAGAGGCAACACTGCCCTCCTCCTGTTCCAATGTGCTTTCACGGGATTTGTGATCGCCAAGGCAATGTCGGACACGACAGCGCTCAAGGTATCCCAAGCTTTCGAAGAGTGTATATACCGACGATTCGGAGCACCTTCGTTGGTTAGACACGACCGGGATCCTCGCTTTATGAGCGAGGTGTTCCAGGCCTTTGCCAGAATGATGCAGTCAAGGTTGCGGGCTACGCTGATTTATCGGCCCCAAGCCAACGGGCAGCAAGAGAGGTCGGTGAAGACGGTGATTCAATCCGTGAGAGTGTACGCCGAAGACCCGCTTCAGCAGGACTGGGACGAGATCGTGGAACGGTTGGTCTTAGCGATCAACAACTCACAAGACATGACACGGAAGGAAACTCCATTCTTCCTCGTCCATGGATGGGACGCTCAGTCGACGTTGAAAGCGATGTCGTCCTCGCTCCGCAGGGGCAATACCAGACAATCCGACGCGCTGGCGTGGCGCCGGGACATCAACCGACAACACCAGATTGCACTCGAGATGGCCAAGGAATAGCAAGCGACTGAAAAAGCCCGCCGAGCACGCGAACATAACGAAGCACTGAGCCGGAAGGAGAGAGCAATCATCCCGACGACTGGCAGGAACATGTCGTCGACAGCAACGCCAACCAATCAGGACGCGGACTCAGACCCCTCAAGCAACGCGCCGATGTCTCTATTCGAGCCGGGTAGTCGAGTATGGCTGTACATGGAACGTGTCAAGCCGGGGCTGACCAAGAAGCTGGCCCACCGCTGGCACGGCCCGTTCCGGATCAAGAAGAAGGTCGAAGAGTACGCCTACGAGCTCGAGTTGCCGAACTGGAGCGGCTATCGGTTTTACCCGGTAGTCCATGTCTCGCCGTTGAAGCCGGTGAGTGAATTCAAAGACCGCCCGAAGACTCGACTGGCGCCTGACATCACCGAAGACTCACGGCTGGACTTCGACGAGGAATTACTCCCCGAAGACAGCTGGGAACCTGATAGTCTGGCCGGTGAGAGCGAAGTGTTGGAGATTCTGGATGATCGGATGCCCATGTCAACAAGAACGGGACGCTCAGTGCGTGAATTCAAGATCAAGTGGGCAGATCAGGACGAGCCCACGTGGGAACCAGTCACCCACCTCTCCTGTGGGGGTCTTCTCTACGACTACCTGAGGCGCAAGCGAAGCGAGCAACGCCTTCAGATGGTACAGGTCGCGGACGAAGATTAGAGCTCGCTCGCGACGACTCAAAGATGATGAACTACGCCTGGGGTAACGCAGCCCAGGAGGGTAGACGAAAATGACTACTGCGGAAGATGGTGACCTGTACCTGGGGCAATGCAGCCCAGAAACGCAGACGAAGACGATTACTGCAGAAGACTTGCATGATTTTTATCTTTTTGAAAACTGGACGTGTCGATCTGGAAGAAGAATCAAGAAAACCTAAATACCCCAAGCTGAACGCACCTACGACTACAACCGTGAAAACTCAAACAGCTTGGGTGGAAGAAACACCTGCACCCGAAGACTCACCGTTCCTAGTCGTCACCATCCTCGCGAGCGTCACCCTGCAACTCAGCAGAAGCTGCAGCCTGCGCCAGCACCTGGAGGTGGTCCGAGTTGTCGAGAGCCACGTGAGAAGTAGCAGCAGACGCCGGAGGCTCGCTTGGCTCAGGACCCGAAGACTCGTCGGAAGCTTGGGCAGGTTCACGGAAACCAGCATCCCAATCAGCCGCGATCTCGTTTGGCGTGAGGTCGGGACAAACGACGATCTGGCGCCCGACTTCCTCGCGCGTGGTGTTTGCAGGGACGAACAGCGGAAACCTTGGATTGCAGGGGAAGAACGTCGTGTTGTACGGATGCTGGGCAGGAGCATCCACCCAGCCATTACGCCACGGCTCAGCCGCGTCCAACGCCGAAATCTCGCTGACCCAGTCGGTCGTCTTGGGCAGCCACGTGAGGTTGTCGAAAGGGCAACCCAGCATAGAAGACTCAAACAAAGACTCGGTGTGGAGAGCAGCGAACTTCGGTTCCTTGCTGACAAACCACCTCCAGACCTGGTAGATGATCTTGGCTCGGAACCGATCCCAGCGCTTGTTCCGCTCGGCAGCATACGCCAACCACTCAGCCTTGGCCTCGTCCAGCTCAGCTCGAACTTTGGCCTTCGCCTCAGGGGACCAATTATTCCCTTCCAGCTCCTTGGTAGCGATCCGGAAGCAATTCTCCACGGCGGGAGCCGGAATCCAGTGGTAACGCTCCCAATCCGAGAACCCAAGATCAATATCGACAGGATCCCCGTACCCTCGAAAGTTGCTCCAATATCCGTTAACTCGAGTCGTCGGGGGCGCCCGCTGGAAGACCTTGACAGAAGGATCAAATCCATGGGTGTCGAATGTCATGTAGGAACACGCACTAATATAATAGCACACTTTCCCCACCAACAACACCCACCAAGTCCCGATGACTCAATGGGCTTGTTAGGGTTAGAACCTGAAGGCCCAGGAACTTTCCCTTGCACCGGGTTGATGTTTCCTCTGTGCACCGTGTTTCCGCTTAGTCAACTGGCGGAAACCCAGCGTCACCAGCCACGAGCAAAGGCTGGCACGCTCTCACACACAATATAAACCTCGTAGGCCCTCAGGAAGGAAGGGTCCCAGCCAGTCACGGCTTGATACGAGGGCGCCGGAGCTATACTCCGGCGGGAAGGATAAATGGAGTGCGCTCTCGCTCCTCCACTACACGGCGATGACTCGCCCTTCGTATACACGGCCACCTCTTCTCTTCTCTTGGCCTGACCACGGGTAAACGCACGCTACGATACTAGCAGGCGCGTCCACCGACAGTCATAATCCTACCAACAGGTTTATCCAATTGCTACGGGAACTCACCGATAGCCCAGACGTCTTCCTTGAGTGGTTGGGAGGAAAAGCTGTTCTGTCATTGTTGCCCAAAGGGCTTATCTGTTCTATCTTCTCTTTCCTATGGTTCAATACAAATATCAAGTCTAGACGTGTCCGTTGTGGATCTTCCAGGTAACCACCCGACCCTTCAGAGCCTCCTCGACGCCCCAAGAGGCCTCTCGATGACTCTATTGGACGATGAAGACTTGGAGCAGTCGCCGGGGCTCGAACGGTCGTCTTAAGTGCGGATCTCGGGTCAAAGTTCGCTGTAAGTTCGGATCGTACTTGAAGTCCTGGGTGTCGAACTTGGGTGTCGACGAGTCTTCGGCACCGGTCCAGAATGGCCAATCAGCATCCGCCGAACATTGCTGAACATGTCCCGACGACTCGGGTCGCCACTGAAGCTTGGTCGTCAGCTCGATTCTCGTTTACCGCAAAATCACTACACCACACGAACAGACATGCGTGCTCCGGGAGACGCCGGCGAAGCTGCTGCCAAGGGTGGTCCGTGTTCTTGAAGTCTTTAAACGCCTTGATACCAGCAGCCGTGGCAGCAATCCAAGCATCCCCGGGAATAGGAGTCGGCAACTCGCAATTCAAAATCTGGATCCAGCACTTAGAAGTGCCAGGAAACCGGAATTCAGGAGCCAAGTATGGAGTGGCCCAGTTCAACACGTGTTTGGAGTAACGAGCAGTGGGCAGCACATCTCGGGCTGCAGGCGAGGCAGACAGAGAGCGCGCAGAACTTGAACTTGGTCCTGGGGTCGATAACTGCGTAGTGACGACTTGGCGCGATGACAACTTATGGCGAGATTTAGCCGGTTTCTTACCTCGGGCGCGAGTCGTCGGAACCTTCTGAGATGCCGCATTTGCAGGCCGGTGAGCCGATGAGACAGCGACCGAGGTGTCCGCCGACTCAGCAGAAGCTGCAGGAACAAGCGGAAGAGAAGCCGATGACTCAGGGCTGGCAGGAGGCAGAGCTGGCACAGGTGACGAGAGATCAGTGGAAGCCGATGACGACAGACCGTCAGCAACCGGAGGTGACGGAGCTGGAACTACAGCAACCACCTCAACGCGCTCTCCCTCCCACTCGTCGAGTTCCTCCTCATCAGCAGAAGCAGCACCGCCATCAACCACTGAGTCGTCAACCAGACCCTCCGTCAATCTAGCATCCGAGTCATCTCCGAACCACTGAAGCACCTCCGGAGACTGCTCGACTGAAGCTAACTGCTCGTCCGTCCCTCCGCGATCAGCCCGATGACTCAAGCCACCAACTTGTGGATCGTCACCGGAACCAGAGACTGGGACAACAGCTTGGACAGGAGTTTCCGCAGAAGCAGCAGGTGGCGCAGAACCAGGAACAGAGGGCGCAGTAGCCTTCGCGACTGGAGCAGGACTCGTGGGCGGAGAGACACTGGAACCGATGAAGCGCGCGTAGACCGGAGAGCCGCGAGGCACCGACGCAGAACGACTTCGTGCCCAGCGAGACTCCTTCCGCTTCTTGGGCAACTTCTTGGGCTTCTCCGACGACTTCCTCACGGGAGACGATGACGCCGATGACCCAGCCGATGACTCAGCAGAAGTCTTGCGAGCCTTCGACCCTGAGCGACTCGGCCGAGCTGGGGAAGCAGCAGCACTGACGTAGCCCGAGTCTTCGCGAGACCTCTTGCGGGACGAGAACCATGGAGAAGACGATGACCGACGCGACGCGCGAGACTTCTTGACTGCAGTGGCAGACGTCCCCGGAGTGGTCTTGTTTGCACCAGCGGGAGTGTCCTTGCGCAAGGGATCCCCGATGGAGTCATTCAGTGAGAAGGCAGTCCGAGCCAAGTCTTCGGCGATATCTCTGTCCGGCTTGGAGCGGTCTGCTGTACGGTACTGCTTCTGCAAAATCGCGAGAGACTCGGGAGTAAGATCCAGCAAGCTCCAATTGAGTTCACCAGTCGAGATACCTGCAAGCAAGATGAGTCATCGGGACAAAGTCAGCAAACATAAACCAAACGACGACCAAATGGTGACTACGAACCTTCTACGGCGAGGACCAGGACGTCGGGGTTCATTTCTTCCAGCTGCACGTGAGCGCGAAGCGTCTTGTTAACACGGGTCAGCCGCTTCACTTGCTCTTCGAGGTCCTCATTGCGGCGGCGAAGGCGAGCTGGTGCGGTGTCGTCGGCGGCGTCCGAGCGAGCCAGCAGATCGTGCAAGCGCCTGCTTTGAGCAGTCGACGAAGCAACGGCCGCCTTGTAGACCTCCTGCTCACGTTTCAACTGAGCTAGAGCCCGAGCGTGCGAGGCTTCGGCCACCCTGACACGATTCTCCTGCCGCTCGGAACACTCTCTGAGGCCATCCACGGCGGTGTTCGACGACTCGAGCTCGACGATGTAATGAGCCCCCAGCTGACGAAGATGCGCGACATCCTTCTTCAGCTGTGCGATCTCGTCGTTCGCGTTCTTCAAGAATACCTTCTGGTTCTCCAAAGAGTACGTCTGGGACCGCAACCGATTCTCTGCAGCAGCCTGCGCTGACTCAGCAGAGTGCAGCCGGGCGCGCATAGTTGCCATGTCCAGCGTCGAGCCTTCGCCAACATCCATGTTCGGCTCCGCAGCAGTAACCACTTCATCGAGGTTCCGGGCCGACGCCAGGCGAGAATCCACGCAGCGATCACCACGGATGCTCGGTCCCAGCTGCAGGTTCACCGAGAGACGGCCGAGAGACTCCAGGTTCGAGCCCAGCACCGCCAAGATGCGCTCCGACGACTCATCACATGCATCACGGACCAGCTGCTCAAGGGCGCCGCGACGCATAACTTGACCACGACCGCGCGAGTTGTCGGGAGCAGGCTGAGAAGAACCAGGAGACCCAGGTCGAGATGTTGCCGGGGTTCCCGAAGACTCGTGGCCACGCATAGCCTCGATAAGTGGCTGCGGAGGCACGCCACCAGCCGACTGCAGATATAAGCAGACGCATCAACGAGAACAACGTCAGCACGAGTGAAAAGAAGGGAGACGCATGCAGAGACAGGGTACGCACCTGTGCGGCATCGCCTGGACGCGGAGTACCGGCAGCCGTCGACCCAGCGCGAACAGAAGACGACGACCGAGCAGGCGAAGACGCAGCAGAAGCCTGGCCGGAGAGGCCGCCACCAGAACTCGACGCAGCGGGAGCCTGCCGCCAGCAGAACAAGCGCACACGCTTGAGGGTGAGCAGTCGACGGCACGGGCAGGATACCGAACGCAGCACGTACCATGTCAGCGGGATCGACGCCGAACGCCCGGAACGCGCGGGCCAGCGCAGGTTTCGCGGCGCGAGACGACCCAGCCGTGGTAGCGCGAAGACACCGGGAGCACCCTGACGCTCACCAAGTGCTGTGGCTCGCGACACGGTGTGGGCAGCTGTGGTGTCGAGAAAGTTGAGTGAAGCTCACGGCAAGCCCCGCGGCATTCGGCGTCGACTCAACTGGCGGATCGAGGCACATCGCCATTCGTTCGATGGTGTTCGACGACCGCGGATTGGCCAGTCTGGACAGATGACGATGACTCGTCGACACTCAAGCTCAAGCCGTGGTGTGTCCACACAACACCAGAACTTCAAGGACGACCCGAACCTACGGCGAACTTTGGCCTGGGTTCCGCACTTAAGGCGACTCTTCGAGTCATGGGGAGGCCGTCCGAGCCTTCAAGAGAGTTCTGAAGAGTCGGGTGGTTGGTTACCTGGAAGATCCACAACGGACACGTCTAGACTTGATATTTGTATTGAACCATAGAAAAGAGAAGATAGAACAGATAAGCCCTTTGGGCAACAATGACAGAACAGCTTTTCCTCCCAACCACTCAAGGAAGACGTCTGGGCTATCGGTGAGTTCCCGTAGCAATTGGATAAACCTGTTGGTAGGATTATGACTGTCGGTGGACGCGCCTGCTAGTATCGTAGCGTGCGTTTACCCGTGGTCAGGCCAAGAGAAGAGAAGAGGTGGCCGTGTATACGAAGGGCGAGTCATCGCCGTGTAGTGGAGGAGCGAGAGCGCACTCCATTTATCCTTCCCGCCGGAGTATAGCTCCGGCGCCCTCGTATCAAGCCGTGACTGGCTGGGACCCTTCCTTCCTGAGGGCCTACGAGGTTTATATTGTGTGTGAGAGCGTGCCAGCCTTTGCTCGTGGCTGGTGACGCTGGGTTTCCGCCAGTTGACTAAGCGGAAACACGGTGCACAGAGGAAACATCAACCCGGTGCAAGGGAAAGTTCCTGGGCCTTCAAGTTCTAACCCTAACAAGCCCATTGAGTCATCGGGACTTGGTGGGTGTTGTTGGTGGGGAAAGTGTGCTATTATATTAGTGCGTGTTCCTACACGACACTTAACAGTTTCTTCCACTGCTACTGTCCCGCAACCGCGACACCGGTCAAATACGCGGTGTTGACGGCCTTCGCCAAGTCTTCGATAGCTAGGTGTTCAACAACGCCATTGTCGAATGTCACTCGCCAGAAAAACACTCCATTTCTGTTTGCCCACGAGGACACCGTGCCCACGTAGTTGGAGTACTGCATCTCGCCGTCGACTGTTTCTTGAAATTCTTTCGAGCACTTCTAGTTGATTGCCTGCCCCGGTTTCTCCGTCAGGATCCGCACGAGGCGTGCCACTGCGAAATAATGCTCATCGTCTCTGTCAAGTGCACGGCGCACTTTCCGCGGTCTTCCGGGTGGCTTGCGAGCCGGGAGTCTTTTCAACAGCTTTGCAAGGTCTAGGCCGTCACGTATAGCTAAAGTGTCCAAGACATGACTGCATATCCATCCTGACGTGTAGTGAGAGCTTTACAGTCGCACGAGTATTTACTGCGAATTGTCAATATCTACAACCAAACGAGGTTAGTAAAACAAAATAAAATAAAAAACGTTTAGAGCTCACCTCTTCGACTGCCCAGTTTGGGGAATCCCAGTTGTGCTGATACTCGAGCGCCTGCTTGATCTCCACCTTAAGGCATTCTCCACGTGCTTTTACGCCGACAACAACAAGCGATCATTGACCTCACGGCCGACGGTGCAGACTCTCGGTCGGGAGCGAGTAGTGGCGAGTTCATGGTAGGAGGAGCTGGTGCCACAGGATGCGTTGAAACTGGAATTTGCTGGTTGACGTCGACACGATCGAAGTTCGCAAGGAGAGCAGATACGGCAGGCGACATGGACTGTAAGTAGGCGGTAGGTATAGGTAGGGGAACTTCGTTAGGAGAGCTCTATGGAGCAGCAACCCTCGCATTTCTTAGTTGCAATATGGATAGGACTGATTTAGATAAAGCAACTCATACTACGCGTAGTGTTCTGCGGCACAGGGTCGACACTACCCAACAACGGGAAAGGTTTGAAGCCTTTCGTTCTGCGGTCAAGGGGCTCGGCGTGGCGTGCAACACAAGAACCCCCCCAACTCTGAAGCCTGCGAAAACTTGGGCCCTATATTCGAAGATACGCTACTCCAACAACCGGGAATAATTTGTTCGGCGCGACCGCTATCCAGACGCGCCGAGTTTGTGCGAGATCGACTCCGCGAAATTTCTGCGAGGCCGCTACTCCACACGAGCCTTGACGAACTTAGTGTGTCATAGAGTGGCTAACCTTCCTTCCGAGTGGGACTCTGCACAATTGTGCAGCGTAGTAGAAAGGAGCGACGATTAAAGCAAACTTCGTATGATACAAGCGAATTACTTTAGAGTTGCATGTAACCCGTATATAAGTTTTGCAAACCATAATTAGACGCTAAAATTCTACTAACCACAACTAATCATTATTTATGGACCGCGTAACTGTTATTTGTGGAATATGGTACGTCGTTTTCAGCCGGCACACATACAATTTCCTCCGTTCGGTGATTATACATTCGATTCGTCCGAATCATACGTGAAAGTAATCCACACCCCAGCTCCTCGGCGCCCATGCCATTAGGAGGAGGGGCGGTGAGGCCCAGCCGGTAGCCGTCGACCACATGCCGCTGCGAATGTCTGCGCCACCCGCCGTGGTAGTGCACGACGCGGTCGTGAGCACGTGGGTGGGGGAGATTAGCGCGCCGCCGCAGAAGCTGAAGTCGTCACTTCATGTAGAGTAGATATCTCGTGATAGCAGTCACGTGACCCTCACTATAATAAAAGTTAGAGAACTGGAGTTGTGCCTCACTCAAATGCGCTTTGCAACTTCAGTCTGGTCGTGCATCCTAATAGTGGCATTCCTCTCGGACCGTTAAGACTAGGGTCGACAAATGCGAGCTAAATGTCTTCGACAGTGCAAGTACTGTACCAATGCATTCTAGTACTTAAGTAATTGTTGAGGATTGATGTGTATTGATCCCAACGTTGGAGTGCAAGCGTGGGTCGTTTATCCTGTGAAGGCACAGAGTGCTGGGGTGGGGCTGTCCTATGAAAGGGGTTGACCACCACATCCGGCAGTTAGGAAGGAAGGACTACAGAGAGCAGGAAAGAACTAACGGGAGCTTTGAGCTCATTCCACAAAACACCGACTGCCTCACAGGTAGCCTTTGCTGCCTGCTCGTAACTACCTGTTCCTTGAGCTTCCTACTCTGCGAGCTACACAAGGTCGCTTCTTAAGTAATGAAGCTGACGCCGTTGCAGGTACCTAGGGCGCATTTCCAGTGAAGAACAATCTATCTCGATAGACCAACCGAACGCAGTACTTGGAATCTTGATATTTTTAATGCTGGTTGCGTCACATTATCCGTCCCCCATTCCGGCACGCAGTGCAATGCTAGGCTAGTACATACTCTATCGATTATCTAACGACTTCCGAGCTTCAACTATTTTTTGTTCAAATTGTGACGTAGTCAAAGAATACTGCGCACCAAAGAATAATGTTGAATACCCACTCGCCATCACACTATTTTCGTTAATGAAGAAAAAAGGTCCCAGAATCTTGAGGAGATTTTGTGTTTGCACAATGTTTTAGTAAGTTCATCAAGTTGAAGAAAAGTAAATTTAATCTTCAAGTGGAATTGCTCAAGTAGTTGCCCACATACGTTTCCTTAGCTACAGAAGAAGCATCGGTCGATTCTGTTTAGCGAGTTTGGCTGTACTGTACCGGTTAGCAAAAGTACTCGGCATCGATGGGATTCGTATTATGACGCCCCACAACTCGGCGACGACCACAAACAAGAAAAAGGCAACTTAATAATTGCAGACTCTTGGATGTACCTACTGTATCCAAGAGTTTGCAAGTTGCGAAGTGCAACTGGATCCCAGCGTTGCGCATTTGCAGCTGTAGACAGTATTAGTCAGTACTAAACGTGGTTTATTGCCATAAAATAATGTAATCTCCACACCCATCGCGAACAATACTGTAATACGAAGTAAATGTGCCAGCGAGTTCCCGACTTGTGCATCGGACGTCGCGTAAGTTCACATCAAGCACTGTCCAACATCGCGCGTTTGCAACTGAGTACACCATTTTTCCTGCCAGATTGGCGTGTACACACCCTCCCCCACTTGCCACCTTCTACTGCTCAGCACTTCTCAATTCGGTTTTTCGCACCTCGTGAACACTGCACCTTCGACTTTTCCTCAGGCTATCCATGAAGGGGGGGCGGATTATTTTTATGCAGCAGGCGTCTACTTTTCATTACGTGCCAAAACGACTGTTTTTATTAATTAGCGGCTATTTTAAATGCAGGCCGATTAATTGTATGCATGAGGGTGATATTGTATGCTACCAACAAACGAAAGTGAAAGCGAGGTTTACATGCAAGGTTTTTCTTGTATTTTGGGGGGATTTTATCGTTTTTCTGTTTCTAATGTGTTCTATACCTAAGTAATATGTATATCATCAATCATTCAATCCGTCGCACCAGCGACCGCGTCACCTTAGCTTGGCACGATGTTGTGGCCCATCTGGAAGGAGTAGTTGATCGCCATCGCTAATCCTTCCACGCCCAGTGTGTCAACTTCCTCGCGGTCATCGTACTCGACCTTCCCGTACCGCTTGCCTCCGCGAGTGAATGGGGGCTTGATTTTCCCAACAAAGTTGAGCTCCGTTTCCTCGCCGTCTTCGTCAGTGGTCGTCCACACCTGTAAGATGCTCCAGTTAATCACACATGCAGGCTTGTCAACCAGCCGCTTGATGAGCGCGTCTACCGAGTACTGGGACTTCCGAGGGCCATCCTGCGCGAGACACTTGGTCTTCTTTCGAGGTCTTCCAGGTGGCTTCCGAGCCGGTAGACTTCGTAGCATGACTTGGAGATCTAACGAGTCGACCAGATGTAAGCAGGCCAACACATGAGCGCACAGCCACCCCGTTTGGAAGAACGCTTTGCAGTCGCACTTGAACTTTGATCGAATCACTTCGATTTCCTCAAGACTCCAGGAAGGGTTATCCCAGGCATGATCGAAGGGAACGCGGTCCAGGACTTCAACCGTGTGGAGAGACAAGTACCGAAGCTGAATGTTCTCGACCTTCTCGTCCTTCTTGAGCGTACCATCCAGCGATTCCTTGTACGTCTTGGCGCGATGTGCGTTAACCTTCAGCCCATGCAAGCTGTCGTCACGAACGACATAGTAGTCGGAGTTGAAATAGTACTCTTAAATTCGGTTGATGGCGCGTTGCGACTTTCGCTGGTGGTTTGGGTAATGATTGGCACTTGCACAGAGCTGCACAGCCGCCCCGAGAACTTCAGCGCTAACGGGTCCTGATGCGTGGTGCCGAATCCGATCCGAGCCAATATCCATTGCACACTCAACCAAAATCTTGGGTAGGGTTCCCGCAAGTACATGGCCCGTCGCAGCGCGAAGGTGGTCAACCGCCGTCGCCTTAATCGCACGGTGATGGGATTCAATCTGAGTTTGGTTTGGCACCACACCAGGGGTACCGCTCGCGGCGTAAAACCATAGATTCCATGGGTCTGTCAAATACTCATCGTCGAGCCATTGCGCGTACTCGGGTTCACCCATAGCCGCCCAGTTCTCCGTTACGAGATCCGACAACGCCTCAAACTACTCGATAGTCCGGCATTGACTCAAATATTCCAGCTGAGGTTTGATGATATCGTCATACCGGCCACGATCGGAAAGAAGTGCCTTCTTGCCGCGGGCTTTACGATACATATGAGGCCAGCAGTTCAGGAGCTTGATGTCAGGCCACTCTTGTCGGAACGCGTTTGCAATAGACGTCGAGTGGTCCATGGATCCATGCTGAAGCGTTAGGGTGCCGCCGAAAAACAATTCACCGCGCTCTCTGCAAACTGTGAAGAGCCGCACGTAAGCAAACGCCGTCTCCGTTCGCACAAACATGAATGCCATCGGATAAAACTTGTGCTGGTACTTGTGTGACGCTGTGTATCGAACACCGAAAGTACCAAACGAAACAAGCGTCCATCCACCAAAGTGGAGCTTGTACGTTCCGTCGGTTGCACCCAGTACTTGCGACCGCTGACCGAGAATCACTCGTGGCAGAGTCCGAAACAACCGCCGGGAAGTGAATATAATGCCGAGCGAGAGTTCGCCATCGTCCAGACGATCGGTAAAGCAGTCCAGGACCAGCAGTTCGTGCTGGTAGCCGAAGGGCTCTTGTAATATCCGCACATCATCCGACTCCACCAGTTAACTCATATGCTGGAAGAATGGCTCCTTCGTTGTGCACATCCTCGGCGATGCCCACTCCATCACATCTGCGTAGGTCGTGATGGAGAAATCGCCGCGCTTTCTCAGCTTGTGAGCTCGGGTTTTGAGCTGGCTGGTGCTTGGCAGCAAGTTGAGCTGTTCAGGCGACTCCTTGTATCTCATGCGAAGCGTGTTCAAACACTTTTTGGGTCCATGGCCTCCGAGCAACAAATTGTCGATCTCCGGCAGCAGCGGCTTGTGAATACCGGTTCGCTGCTCTTCAACGGGGGCTGGCTCAGTAGTGTGCATCCCACTTCTGGATAAAACATACTGCTCATCTTTGTTGCATTTGATCCGTACCACCGCAGCGCAGTCGACATGAAACGTGCACGATAACTGCGTCGTCGTTCTCCCATTGTTGTCGATGGAAAAACGAGCGTTCTCAAGCCCATCCAAAACTGCCCTTGCCTCTTCCATCGTATCGAACAGCACCGGGTGTTCCATGACAGCTCGTTCACTTTCATCGGGACGGGTTTCTGGAGGAGTGGTATTGTCTTGCTGCGGTGGGGAGTCGCCACTGCTTCCCTCGTCGTCACTTTCGTACTCGTAGTCCTCATCACTGTCACTTGGACTTTTACCAGCCCCGTCATCGAAGTCGAGTTCGGCGGTCTTTTCTTCGCTGTCAGCACTACGCTGTCTGCGACGCAGAATGGCGGCTGATCGACGTCGCGTTACCACAACCGAAAAATCCTCGCTATCACTTGAAGATGGGGTGAGCGATATTGAGGACGGGGGCCCGGTAGAGCGGCCGGCCGGTTCGGTCTCCATTGCAGGCACTGTCGTCGCCTCGCAACAGTAAGCGGTGCGTTGGCAGCAGTCTTCGATATAGGCTTGCAAAGGTCGGAAAGGGTAGCCGGATGTGGAGGTCACGGACGGGGTTGTTGACAGTAGCTGAGATAAAGACTTGTTCGGATGCTTGGAAATTGTAAACTGACAGGTCTTAGCAAAAGCGCAGGGACCGCGGCGGTTGTATGTCCAGTCTCTGAGGTAATTTATGTGTTTATTTACCGTACGAAAGCCGGAAAAGGTAAAATTTAAATCCAGAATGGCCCAAATTAAATCAACCTAATACAAACACAGCAGTTCAGAAAGTATGTATTTCTTAACGGAAAAAGGAAAAGAAAACATAAAACTTACTCGCTATCGTAAGTTAAATCAACTGGATTGTTCGCAGACCCTGCCGTCTCGATCTTGTACTCTTCTTCGCTTTCGTCACTTCCTGATTGGCTGAGCGAAGAGGACGAGTAATCCGATTGGCAAGGAGAGGCATCAGTAAAACTCTCTGATCGGTCAGAAATGCTAGGAGTGCGCTCGGATTGACTAAAATTGTTACGCGGGGGTCCTGGTTGGCCAAAAGGATCTCGTCGTCATCAAAATTGTCGACAAAAGGTGGGGTTCTAGGCCGAGACGAATCATCACTGCTCTCGTCGGACGATGACGATAGTGGTTCGCCATCGACTTGGCGCAAGGTGCGCGACGCGTTTCTGTCGAGGCGGGAAATTTCATCGGCAAGGACCCGCTCTGCCCTCAACAGGTCCTGTCGGAGGCGGTCGATAACATCGACGGCACGGTCGATCGAGGTTCGCAGTCGCTTGATAGGTCGCATCGAAAATGCACAATGACTACATCAGTCCGCCGCGACAAAATCCTGTCCTGTAGATAAGTACAGTTGTGTGGATAGTTAATCGTGGAATAAACTATGCAAAGCTCTACTTTAAATCAACTACAGTACTGTGTAGTGCGACTAAGTGACGATTGTAAATCAAGCCTACAGTGCACCCAGAGGCTTGGTAGCAGTCATATATCAAGTCTTCCGGCCTCTTCAATGCATGTTTGTAGTCCATGAAGGCTTAGTAGCGGTGCATATCCGAACTCCAACTGCTCACGGAGCTGGCGTCTAATTATTTTTTACTGGCGTCAAAAGTAGCTGTCGATAATAGAATTAATCCTATGTAATACAATAAATCCCCATGTAATAGAAAGTAGCCGCTGGATGCATAAAAACGTTTTTTCCCTCCATGAAGACTTTTCCGTTCGCTGCTGTTCTGCTTGCACTTGGCTGCGGTGGTGCGCGTGCAGAGCACACCGAGCGTGTTCTCGTCGTGGGCGGCTCGGTTGTTCCCAGTGGCACGAAAACTTACAATGTCGGCATCCGAACTACCCTTGAAGGCGACACCTTCTGCGTAGGAGAACTCGTTGCCCCCAGTTACGTCCTCACTACTGCGGCGTGCACCAACGGTAAGAATCCCTACGCGGCCTCGGGTACTTACGAGTACGTCTCGACCGGAACGCACTACCTCAACAGTAGTCTCGACGGTGAGAAGTTCAAGATCGTGTCGGCTTGGAACCACACCGGATATAACGACACTAACGGTGCGTACGATTTCGCGCTGCTCAAGTTGGAAAAGCCGAGTAAATTCCCACCGGTGAAGCTCCCCGCGGCCAATGACTCCGACACCAAGCCGGGGATGTGGACGACCTTCATGGGCTGGGGCGACACGTCGTACCCGAATGGGACGCGTTCGTATGAGCTGCAGCGTGTGGACTTGGAGCTGTGGGATAACGAGGCCTGCTTGAGTGAATTCGTCGTGGACGACACTATGGTGTGCGCCGGCGGTGCCGCTGGCAAAGATTCGTGCGTGGGAGACTCGGGTGGTCCACTTATCAAGGACAAGGGCACGGGAGATTCGGACGACATTCTCGTTGGTCTGTCAAGCTGGGGTGTTCGTTGCGAAGACGAAGGAATGCCAACCGTGTACTCGCGTGTGTCGACCGCTGTGGAGTGGATCAACTCTATGATGAAGAACTAAGAAATCGTGGTGGTGCTCGACCGGCGGCGATATGCCTGTCGTAATAAGTACAAGTAGTGTGTAGTGTCGACGCTACCTCAACAGAAGCTCAGCAATATATTTCAGAACTTTTGCTGTGCGCGGTCTCTGGTGTTAGTTGGTATGATCTAATCTTTTGTTTTTTATGCGAGGCTCACTCATTAGCTGCAATATACCGGTAACGTTAGAAACAAATCTGCGAGGCTGATTCGGCACTATTTAATGAGAGAGAAAGAGAGAGCTCGATGAGAGCGCACGCTCACCACTCACTCTCTGTGTTCCGCGGTTCCGCGGATCTACTTACTTCACCCAGTCACTTCACCCAGTCACTCAGTCACTTCACCCATTCACCCATTGCACCTTGGGTTGAATGAGAGACTGGGTGACTGAGGTGGGTGAAAAGGGAGTCCCGTAGTCATGTCAAACACATCTAAGTGCTCGTACGGATTCCGTGCGTAAGTGCGCATACGTCAGCTAGCCAATCGTAGCGTTCACGGTTTCGGCGCCGTTCCAAGCCTATCCGCTTCGAAAAGTGCCGTTCCAGCGAACCCATGTCTGCGATACAAACGCCAAGTCAAACGTTCCAAGTGTCGACCAGCGCGAAACCGGGGTCGAGAGCGCGATCGACCAATGGACGCGGCGCTTTCACTGAACCAGCCAACCAGCGCGCAAACGCCGTTCCAGCCGCGCAGTACCGTGAGCACTTACCCGCAGTACCGTGAGCAGTTACGAGCACGTCGCTTTAGAGAGAGATTGTTTAAAACAGTTTGAGAAAAGCCCAAATCGTACTTTTCCGATGGGTGCTTCGAAGCGATGCGGACTTACGCGCGACGGTGGATTCATTTACCGCTCCCACTTTAGCGCATAGGTTCAAGTATTAGTTTGCACAGGTGGCGTTACAGTCTGACTCACCCCGCCTCGGGGCCATGCATGCTCGCTGCAAAGTACCAACTACCAACTACACCTGCACTACACCATTCACTGCGTACGGAGGGCAGAATCTCTGCGAGTAGCAGCGCAACGAGTATCAGGCGATTGTACCCGAGTCAGTACAGACTTCTGCTTCAATAAAGAACACCTGATATATACAAATTTGTGAAAGGCAATTAAATATTACGACGGCATTATAATCACATTTGTAAGTCTGAGCCAATCAGCATTCATACAATATAAAGGGTTATAGGTTTTCTAGTGTTCTTTATTGAAGCAGATGTCTGTATCAGATTAATCACAATATTTATTTTTGGTACCCAAGCTCAAACTTCACATTCTTGGCGCACCCGCCGTGATGACATCGGGTACCGTAATCCTTATGTGCTTACTGACGTTCAGTCATTGCCGACAACTCTATGAGCCAATCATGGACTTTCAAATATTACCGTTGTAGTTTAAGTCATTACTGACAGCATACAAATCACAAGTCAAAACACAATTTATGTTTTGCAGGTCACTTTTATTCTGAGTCATTGGGATGGTGTCTTCAATAAATTTGCTTGTCAGTAAGCACACAAGGATTACGGTACTTCGTAAACCCCACGGAGCATGGACTGCATGACGGTATGGAACTTCACTAGTATAGCAGCATCCTCACGGCAAATTTTCGCCCCGGTTGCTAGAGGGGCATTGCTTCGGAAAATGTTGTATCTTAGCTTCTCAGCACCGCCCCCAAGTATCCTATACACACTCATACTTTTACCAAATTGGTATCAAAAATATAGCACGAAGTGCCGGGTTTGCATCAGATTTTATTAAAATGACCGGGCTTGGAGTTTAACCCTATCGTTAACGCCATAGATTTCTGTTTGAAGGGACACCATACAAACTTTAAGTAAAACAGGGTAAAATGATGCATGAGGTATCATTTTGCTGTATTAGGTTTGCGAGGCCAACTGATCAAAAGTATACGTGATGGGAGGTTTGAAGCGACCTTTCAATCAAAAAGATACATGAGGCATCATTTTACTGCTTCTCTGTGATTCGCTGCGAATCGACAAAAGTATCAGTGGAAGCAGTACCGTGAGAACAGCACCTTAGCAAAATTTTAGTATGAGCAGTACCGTGGATCACAGCGCCCTCTTGTGGATTATGTGGGGCTTTTCCTAGTTGTGAAGTGGCGGCGCCGTGGTCTCCGACGCGACGGTGGCGACTATGGCGGCTGTCCTGGACCTGGTCTCCGCCGGCGGCGACAAGCACACGATGACTGCGGGCGTCTCGGGCAGCGGGCGCAATGGCTACGGGAGCGCCGTCAGCACCGTCAACAGCATGGTCTCGGAGGCTTCCGCGGTGGCTGTGGACGTGTTGGACGTGATCGGGGGCGTCTCCGCTGGCATGGTCACGAACGCGACGGTGGCATTCGGCTCGAGCAGCGAGCGCAACGACAGCAGTAGTCCGCACGGAGGTAGCCGTCGGTAGTATCGGCAGCGACATCGACAGCAGGGTCTCGGACACGATGGAGGTGACCGTGGCCTTGGTAGATGTGGGCAGGGGCTTGCCGGCATGGGTATTCGTGCTGGCGCGAAGGAGCACCGTATTCAGACAGCTTTGGGTTTCGTTAGAATGATCAATTCACACTAGAAGAAACATTACTTGAGAGATTACATTCAACTTAATTGCATATTGCTCTGTTACTAGGGGGAGGACATAGTAACTTCAGTAACGTGCTTTCGCCTTGGAGCGTCCTGCTCCGCGAATCAACTGGATATCACCCATGATAGTGGGGAGGCCAAAACCAGCGCGGCCTTAGAGCTTGTGGTGCCAAGTCGAAAGGTTGCTCTTGAACCCATTGGGGCGAGCGGTAGTATGACAATTCTCGCAAGAGCATGTCCAGTGAGCTTGATCCTTGAGTTGGTCCGCCAGCATATCGACTCTGTCCATAGCTGTGGCTAGATCGGCAACTACGTTGTAGCGTTTCTGCAAGTCAAGGCCTTCCTTATAATGGTTCATGAGGGTGTTGTGTGGCGTCGAAGGGTCCGCCTCCATCGCGATAGAGCGCTCGATATGTTCGTCTTGCTCCTCGCGATACCGCAACAAGTTGGAGTTTATACATTTTAGACGTGCCCGAATTTGCGGTCGCGTGATCTACATTTTCATATCGAATACAAACATAGATATCATTACCCGTAACCAGCCACGATACAACATTTTGGATTACCTCAGACAGCTCCATGCACGTCTCCAGCCAACGCATCATCCAGATAAAGTTGTGCGCACGGTCATCTTCACCGGGACAAATCGCCACGTAGAGGTCGTTCATCTCTTTCACGGGCAGTGCAATTATGAAGTCGTCTATGTCGATCGACGTGCCACATCTCGCTTCGGTTCTCTACAGGTAGGCACGGATTAGCTTTATCCAAACGTTATTGCGTAGCTACACTAACTTACCCGCTCCCGCCCAGAAGGGGTCGCAAATACTGGATACAGATTGTCGAACTCCAGTTGCTCACCGGCGCTACACAAAGCCAAAGACTATACATGCGATAAGCATCAGCACGGCCGAAACAATGTCATCACTAGCATTTCAAGCGTCTTGGACGATCCGTAAATTCGCCTTCCATCGCTTGCATGCGTCTTCGTTGGTCCTGGCAACTACCCATACATAGCCGTTCGTATTAGCACTAGCATAACCACACGATGCCGAAACAGCCATAACACGTACCTCTACTTTATCCGCGTCCTTCCTGCGATCAACCATCTTTCCACTTGAGCGCAGAATCTAGAATGATGAAGTACTAGAGATCAGCGTTGTTGGGTGGATATGTTGGACCGAATATATTGTTATTTGTATGGCCATGTTCGAAGTGTTCAAAGGGACCGAACGTACTAGGCTTTGTATGGAGTGGTTCGACTCATCGTTGTATGTGATGTTAGTATGGTGGAGTTTGAACCCACCGGTGCAGGTTCAATGCCCGCCATGCGGAATGCAGCGTAGCTGCGCTGACAAGGTACCGTGCAAAATGCATCGGATATCGAGTGCGGGATGAATACAGTGTAATTACACAGAGTCATGAATAGTACGAGTACTCAAAGCGTACAACGGTAACATATGGTACTTAGATTTACTCCAGGCATATTGCTACCAAATGTAAATGCTGTAGCGGCTTCGGCATCGTCTCCAGAGTTACGTTGACCCATGCAAGCCCCATAGTGACGGTCCGAACTACGGTACACGGCGACAGTGGTGACGCCCATCGTAGATACACTGCTGCCAAGTGCCAATGCTGCCTGCGTGTCCCTGTCGCTGGGCAAATTGACGTCGTCGTCATGGCGACTTCAGGCTCCATCTTGACCCCCGATGAGACTCGAACGCTCCATTTTTAGCAGCAGCCTCTCTTGATCTTTGTCGCCGGTGGCACCCCGCTCCCTCCTGAGGCATCTACGTGCGGTTATCCGTCGATGAGGATCGCTGGAAGCGAAAAAGGGCGGGAGAACGCCGTCCACTTGCAGGTCTAGTGGGCAGTCGTCCAGTGCCGCCTCAGACGCTCCATCTCGGGGTCCTGTAGCGGAATCTCGGCGTCTCGCAGCTGAACGTGGTTGACAGCCACACCCGGCGGCAATGCCGTGAGGAGAGTTGGGGGCTACGGGACCAACGACACCATCCCAGCGCCAGTTCTAGTAGCACTGCGTTATCGACAACAAATGCGCTGTTGCGGCGGTTGTGCGGGACGTGGTCGTCGGGTGGGTACACGACGGACAGCGAGTCCAACTTCATGCCCGGTGCGTCCCGAGGTCAGCGCGTCTAGTAGCACAGGCGGTCAGCAGCAGCAGATGCGTCGACGCACAGGCGCTGAGCGTGTGACGACTCCAACGACGCTGGACTTGGTGAGTGAGGGGCGAACTGGCAGGCTGGACTTGACCGCAGCGTGCACAGTATCACGGGCAGCCACGCGCCGTAAACGATGGGTACGGCCAGCACATGTGTACCACCGTCGTTCGAGGCGTGGAAACCGGAAGAACGGAGCGTGGGCAGCCAGGGACACTTGGGATCGAGCTTGCAAAATCGGAAATGAGCTCCGTGCGAGAAGGTCATTTTGATTCGGAGCAAGCCGAGCAAGCCGACCAAACAACAGTGGGTCGATTTGAACTAATTCCGCCAATCACACTTCTTGTTGAACTTTGGCAGCCAATCACTGTCATCGATTTTTCGGAGACAGGTTTTGATTGGTCAAAGCGAAGACATGGGAAAAAATGTCAGCGTGGGAAAGCTTGAAAAGATCAACCAAAGCAAAATGGGCACCAAAAAGGCGAGCCTTTACATGTTGTGTAAACCACTTCAAATACCGATAGCCTATTTATGTAACATTATGTATAGCGACCGCTCTACCCGTTCTCCCTCGCCGAAACGCCCTACCATCGGCATTCCCCCAACCATGGTCTTGGTGGACGTGGTCAGCGGCGTCTCCGCCGACATGGACACGGATGCGATGGTGGCGGGCGACTCGGGCAGCAAGCACAACGGCGGCCGCAGCGCCGTGTGTGCCGTCAACAGCATGGTCTCGGAGGCTTCCGCGGCGACCGTGGCCGTGTTGGACGTGATCGGGGGTGTCTCCGCTGGCATGGTCACGAACGCGACGGTGGTATTCGGCTCGGGCAGCGAGCGCAACGACAGCGGCAGTCCGCACGGAGGTAGCCGCCGGAAGTATCGGCAGCAGCGCCTCCAGCGACATCGACAGCAGGTTTTCAGGCGCGAAGGAGGTGACCGTGACCTTGGTGGATGCGGTCAGAGCTACGATGTCCGTGCAAGACGTTGATGTAGATGTGTACAATGGCTGATATATGTTATTGGCTCGACAGGTAATGAACAATTGGATGAACAAGTCTGACAAACGAAGTATATTGAATGTTTCTTTCCATTCTGCGTGAGGTACTTAGATGTAGGGCTCTACAACCCTGGTGTACCAGTATGCATGATGAAGCTGGGAAGACCAAGACACTTGAACGTCGATACGCTGTCGGAGCGTCCAAACAGAGCAGAAGTTGCGCGGGCAGGTTGGGCGGTGCCGGCCGCAAACTGTTGCCATGACAACGACGAGGACCAAACCTGCTGCTGAAGATGCAAAGTCCCCCAGCGCCGCAAAACTTGTAGGCTCGAAAACGATATTGTTCACAAATAAAACACTGCACCCGTCAATATCCTCGCGTACGGCTGGTCTCATCGCTCTGAGGTCGGCCTCGTGAATCGTGACCTTGGATAAATTCGGGAAATCCACGCGTGCGCCACGAATCAGCAGTTTGGACATGTTTGCCAAGTTGTCCTGGAACTCAATCCCGATGCATCTCCCAACACAAGTCTCCAATGCCACTTGTGCAACCACATTGCCGATCCTAGATCCAAAGTCAACAAAAGTGTCGGCGATTGAAAGCGTTGGAATGACTGCCAGTATTGCTGAAACCCCAGTTGGCGAAATCTCACCAGCATGACAATCCGGCGCATGGACGGGTTGACACAAGGCCTAGGCAAACAAACTTGACACAGCGTCATGAACATTGCCAACATTATCGGGAGCGCTCACCTTGTGGCCACCAACTAAGCGCGTTCGTGCCGATTTTTGATCCCGAAATCTCCTTGGGAAAGAATTTAAGCTCACGCCGTGTGTCCTCTTCAGCGTCTTTAGACGAATCTGCAGCTGTCGCTGTGTCTTCCCGCAGTATGCCATCCCAACCAGACAGTCCGCCAGTTAATTCGGCGGCCTGCATCAACGTTTGCCAGCCGATAAAGCAGCAAGTCCTCTTCGTCCGAGAAGTCTGCCATCGGGTTGCCACGAGATCTAGAAATCTATAATGCCATACATACCATAAGATATTTGGTCTCATACTTCTTCGCCTGATAACCTACCGACCTTTCACAAAGGTCCCATCCCCATCAATGTATTCCACACCAGGTTCAAGACGCTCCTACCGCCAGCAAGGCAACTAAGCCCGGCTATCGATGCCGCTGCTATAAACGCTCTCGTGGCGCAGCCCAGCCAACACGAAAGCACCCCTATTAGCCTCATCGACCGCGTCGAATGCCACCGTCGCGTTCGTGACCATGCCAGCGGAGACACCCCCGATCACGTCCAACACGGCCACAGCCGCCGCGGAAGCCTCCGAGACCATGCTGTTGACGGCACACACGGCGCTGCGGCCGCCGTTGTGCTTGCTGCCCGAGTCGCCCGCCACCATCGCATCCGTGTCCATGTCGGCGGAGACGCCGCTGACCACGTCCACCAAGACCATGGTTGGGGGAATGCCGATGGTAGGGCGTTTCGGCGAGGGAGAACGGGTAGAGCGGTCGCTATACATAATGTTACATAAATAGGCTATCGGTATTTGAAGTGGTTTACACAACATGTAAAGGCTCGCCTTTTTGGTGCCCATTTTGCTTTGGTTGATCTTTTCAAGCTTTCCCACGCTGACATTTTTTCCCATGTCTTCGCTTTGACCAATCAAAACCTGTCTCCGAAAAATCGATGACAGTGATTGGCTGCCAAAGTTCAACAAGAAGTGTGATTGGCGGAATTAGTTCAAATCGACCCACTGTTGTTTGGTCGGCTTGCTCGGCTTGCTCCGAATCAAAATGACCTTCTCGCACGGAGCTCATTTCCGATTTTGCAAGCTCGATCCCAAGTGTCCCTGGCTGCCCACGCTCCGTTCTTCCGGTTTCCACGCCTCGAACGACGGTGGTACACATGTGCTGGCCGTACCCATCGTTTACGGCGCGTGGCTGCCCGTGATACTGTGCACGCTGCGGTCAAGTCCAGCCTGCCAGTTCGCCCCTCACTCACCAAGTCCAGCGTCGTTGGAGTCGTCACACGCTCAGCGCCTGTGCGTCGACGCATCTGCTGCTGCTGACCGCCTGTGCTACTAGACGCGCTGACCTCGGGACGCACCGGGCATGAAGTTGGACTCGCTGTCCGTCGTGTACCCACCCGACGACCACGTCCCGCACAACCGCCGCAACAGCGCATTTGTTGTCGATAACGCAGTGCTACTAGAACTGGCGCTGGGATGGTGTCGTTGGTCCCGTAGCCCCCAACTCTCCTCACGGCATTGCCGCCGGGTGTGGCTGTCAACCACGTTCAGCTGCGAGACGCCGAGATTCCGCTACAGGACCCCGAGATGGAGCGTCTGAGGCGGCACTGGACGACTGCCCACTAGACCTGCAAGTGGACGGCGTTCTCCCGCCCTTTTTCGCTTCCAGCGATCCTCATCGACGGATAACCGCACGTAGATGCCTCAGGAGGGAGCGGGGTGCCACCGGCGACAAAGATCAAGAGAGGCTGCTGCTAAAAATGGAGCGTTCGAGTCTCATCGGGGGTCAAGATGGAGCCTGAAGTCGCCATGACGACGACGTCAATTTGCCCAGCGACAGGGACACGCAGGCAGCATTGGCACTTGGCAGCAGTGTATCTACGATGGGCGTCACCACTGTCGCCGTGTACCGTAGTTCGGACCGTCACTATGGGGCTTGCATGGGTCAACGTAACTCTGGAGACGATGCCGAAGCCGCTACAGCATTTACATTTGGTAGCAATATGCCTGGAGTAAATCTAAGTACCATATGTTACCGTTGTACGCTTTGAGTACTCGTACTATTCATGACTCTGTGTAATTACACTGTATTCATCCCGCACTCGATATCCGATGCATTTTGCACGGTACCTTGTCAGCGCAGCTACGCTGCATTCCGCATGGCGGGCATTGAACCTGCACCGGTGGGTTCAAACTCCACCATACTAACATCACATACAACGATGAGTCGAACCACTCCATACAAAGCCTAGTACGTTCGGTCCCTTTGAACACTTCGAACATGGCCATACAAATAACAATATATTCGGTCTAATGGCTCAAGCGAGACCGATACATGCAAACCAGTTAGAGATCTTTGCCGTGAAGGACCGACTGGTACGCTAGCTGAGCTCGTCCACCACCACATACCCAATGCCACGAAAGCGGAAGCAGCGGTCGAGCACCTGCGAGCTCACAGCTAAGCGACAACAATCACGACGCTCGGGTCGTATCTCACGTTTAGCTCCCACCGGTCTAGGTACGACCCGTTGCTTACCTAGCGCTCGAGCAAGGTATCATATTGACGCGTGTCCGCCGGCATACAGACCTCGCGGATGACCGTGCGATGTTTGGATCTGTTTGGCGAGTTCTAAGTGCGGGTGGTTGGAGTTCGAAGTGTCCAACAGGGCGAAGCTTGAGTGATCTGTACCGCTATATCCCTCCCGGTGGTGACTCGAATGAAACAGAGGGTATTGATTATTTTCTGGGTGAACGAGCGCTTCTGGAGCACTATCGGCGGACATTGGTAGCGGAGGATGGTAATACGGATGGTGCCCTGTCCAAGCGACCCGATGACGAAATTGATGTCGACCAAAACAACGTTAATCCATGTGGGGCTGGCGATGTTGGTCTCAACGCGGCGGATGATGTACGTGGCAGTAGCGGTGGAGTTCCTGGAGCGAGTGCAAACGACGTTGATTGTGAGAAAGCCGCGCTTCCGGGAGTAAGCTGTCACGAATCGGTGTTTGATGGTGCTGCCAGCACCTCTCGGGATTATGATGGTGCTGCCTCTACTGTATCTACACCGCCAACATCAGCGCGCGTCGTACCCGTACATGCAGCAGCTACGCGAGACCATTTACTCCAGCTAGATCACCACCCACCGCATCGTCTGGTACATGTGCGCAATATGCAGTCTGCAATATGGAGTGTTCAACCGAGCGCAGTTGTACCTGGTGCAAAAAATTTCTCCATCACTTCTGCTCTCATGATGTCTGCGTTTCGTTGAATATCCCAGACCCTAATGGTGGATTCGCCAAGGATTTCGGTGATAGCAGCTATTGCAGCACGCTTTGCTACACAAACGCTACAAAAATGAACTTGGTTGAGCAAGGGAGAAGGGATGAACGACCCAATGCCCTACTTGACCTCCCCGCGAGTGTTTTGACGCCAAGTGTGGCTCCGTCGGAACCTGCAGAGACCAACGCCGCCACACTTCCTGCTACAAATTGCTCGGGGGCAGCAAAACCTAAGCGAAAAAAGCGCGGTCCTGCCGAACAATCAGCTCCAAAGGCACCCCGAAGCGAAAAACAAGCTGCGCAACGGAAAACGAAAAGCAAGAAGGCACCTACCAAGGCCAATAAACCCAAGGCTGTGGCAATGAAAGAAGAGTTGATTCGCCGAGCACATGCGGCTGCCGAAAAAGTTGTTGATGCTAGCGTAGCATTTTCACCGGCTGATGAGGAGTGGATGCCGCTCAGTTTGTATCGCGACGTTGGCGCAGCATTTTTGATTGGTGTGGTGACTCGCTACAGCCTGGTAAGCGAAAAAAATGCTGACAATGTTAGCGTTCCTCACGCCAAATTTCAGGTTCAATGGACGTGTACTGCTTTTCAAAAAAAAGATCACGTTCGCCATGTTTCCGAAGCCATCATCACCCGTGGTATTCGCCAGTTTGCCAACATGGAAAAAGACAAACTTCAATTTGGAGAGTCTTGGATGCCTCTGTGCAACATGGTCCCCAAACTATCAAACATTCCTGCACTGACAGATGAATTTGAGGAGATGGACGAACGTGGTTATCGTGAGTGGTTTGCGTTTCGCGGGCGGAAAGAATGGCAGCGTCCTTTGTGCCCTGGTGAAGTCGAAGAGATAGCGTCAATGACATTTTCACCCACAGCATCGCTTGGCCAACCGTCAGGGCTATTTACACATCCGGATGGGTCTTCAACTACCAGACTACGCCCGGAAAGTCATGGGTTGTTTGGGCATTCAGCAACCTCATCGTTCTTCGCGTTTATTGCGTTGTCGTTCTGGATCCAAGTGGTCGTCTTTACCAACGAGTATGCAGACGCATCTGGCAGCCCATCGGCAACTCCTGTAAGTTTAGAGGAACTGATGAAATTCCTTGGGATCCTCTGATACATGACTCTGTTCGACAAGGGTGAGATGAGAAATTACTGGGTGGACAACGAGGCAGCAACTATTTTTCCTGGAGCGCGTACTACTAGTTTGGAGTCAATTATGTCATGGCGAAGATTCCTGTACATTCGTAAGAATTTGAGTTTTCGTTCCAAGGTGTCTACCTCCGATATCAAGCGAGATCCTGTAGCTAGAATACGACCACTCATGAGCATTCTGAAATCGCGATGCCTGCGCCATGTTGGAGTCGGTCGAAACGTGGCTGTTGATGAGACCACAATTGCCTGTCGATCCCAGTACGCCCGCCACATTATAGTCTTCAACCCACAAAAACCCACCGGAAAGTATCATTTCAAGTTATACGTGTGTTGCTGTTCTACCTCGTGGTACGCGGTGAGTTTCAAGTTGCACTGCTCCAGTGAACTTGATGATCGGCTGGACGGTGTAATTTCACGCTCAGAACTGCAGAAATTCGCTGATCTAACCGCGAAGTCGTCTGAAATCCGCTCTCACGTCATGGAGGCTACTTCATCTTTGAAAGGATCCAGTCGCATTGTAAACACGGACAACTTCTACACTTCCTGTTCGCTGTTGGAGACTTTACGATCGATTGGTCTCTTTGGGCGTGGCACTGTACGCACATCTAGCAAGCATTCCCCTCATTTTACGATGATTCGTAAGGAGGACGCGAAGCCGCGGGGCTACATGAAGCAAGGTGTATGCTTAGAGAAGCACATTGTCGCAGCTAGTTGGGTGGATGGCTCAATTGTCAATGTCGTTTCTACTGCCGATGCTTCGACCACATCAACTGTGCATCGTCGTATAAAAGAATCGAGTGTGGCTTTCACTGCTCCTACTTGCGTCGGGGAGTATAATTCAGCGATGCAAGGTGTTGATCGGCTCGACCAACTGCGTGCACGATTTTTTCTAGCCGATGGCCACTCATTTCAGAAGTGGCATAAAAAACTAGCGATGGTCATGCTTGATATAGCCAGATGCAATGCCTACATTTGCGATAGTTTGGCGCGTGGTGAGAGCAAGGAGTCTCGTTCGACGGGAGGTACAGCCCAAACGAGGTCAAGAGCCCGCGATAGTCATCGCGCATTTGTGGCATCACTGGTTCGAGAACTGTTCAATGGGGACTGGAAGAAATCTCTGGATAGGGAACATGGACTGGTGTATGCTGCGAAGCCGACAACGACAACAATGCGGACGACGACCCAAACCGCGGCGTCGGCAGATGTATCCGAGTCTTCGGGCGATCACGCACAAACGTGTGTTGCAAGAGCGTCCTCGGAGGTGCTTCAGGGAAGGAGTCGCTCAATGCGGAAATGCACTGTGTGCAAGTTCGAGGGCAGAGATCCTACCGAGAAAACCGACTACTGCGAGACCCATCGAGTTGCGTTGTGCAAGTGCACATACCCTGTTGACCCTACGAAGCAGCATCTGTGCCAACAGCAAACTTGGACTTGCTGGCAGAAATACCATTTGTTTTACTTGCCGAAGCAAGTGTACACTGTCGACGGCAACTTGCGACGAACCTCTCCAATTTATGTAGCTAACCATCCATTTCTGAAGGCCCGCCAAGACCAAAAGAAGGCTAACGCAGCCACCAAGGCGTAACCTCACATCATTTTTTTCAAGATAGTCAAAGTCAACTAACCATTTATACTTCACTGCACTAAGTCACACCTATTCCATCTGCCCCCGCTAGTCTTGATGCCGTAAATGCGGATTTAGCTCGTGGCTGACAACATACTGCTTTACCACTGGTGCACCATAGCGGCAAGTTAACCACACTCCACTGCGTATAATCCGACAGGATGCTATTAGAAATTCCACCCGCCTCCAAGCATAACAATAACTCCCAACTGTGTATATGTCAGCGAAGACACCTCAGGCCACATCCAGCACGGCCACGTTCGCCACCACCACGTCTGAGGTCATGCTGCTGACGGCGCTGCCACGGCCGCTGCCCTCGCTGCCCGAGTCGCCCGCTACAATTGCGTCCGACTACATGCTGACGGAGTTGCCACCGATCACCTCCAGTACGGACACGATCTCTACAAAGGACGTCATGCTGTTGATGCCGCTGACGGTACTGCTGGCACCTCTACAACGGTCTCCTTCCGCACTGTCGATGCATTTGCGCACGCTGTCTGGTCACCGGTCACATTCTTGCCAACCTCCGTGCCGGTGGAGGCACCCACGAACACCTCCAGCACGACAACGGTCACGCCCAAAGCTTCCGTGGTCATGATGTTGCCGGCGCACACACGGCGCTGCGGCCGCCGTTATGCTTGCTTCCCGAGTCCCCCGCCACCATCGCGTCCGTGGTCGTGTCCATGTCGGCGGAGACGCCCCTGACCGCGTCCTCCAAGGCCACGGTCACCTCCATCGCGTCCGAGACCCTGCTGTCGATGTCGCTGGTGGCGCTGCTGCCGCTTCTACCGGCGGCGACCTGTGTGCGGCTGCCGCTGGTGTTGTGCTCGATGATCGCGTCCGTGCCCCTGGGGACACAATAGTGTTGATAGATATACTACAGAAGACACAATAGCGCGGGGTTTTACCTATCCCTCTTAGCTGTATGATTGGTCATAAACGGCGAGGAAAGTGCCGTGGCTCAGAAAATTGCTGTTTCAGTTATCTTGCTTCTACTATGACCAACGTAAAAAGATACTTGATGTATCATTCTGGTAACGATATGGTTAATAATATGGAAAACGGTATAGGCAGCACGGGGACCGATGCCACGAGCAAGCGCAGCGAGCACTGGTAGACAGCACGCGTGTTCCCGACGTGGCACACATGCTGATCAACTAGAACTTGCATGTCCGAGTCATCCGTCGCCGCCATAAATGAAGACAGGAAAGAGGCTTGACGTAACAGCAAGGGATCTCGTGCCGCATCTGGTAGTGCCGTCGTAGCTTTCGACCTCTTTCAACCGTAAATCAATGTATAGTCATTTGCTTAGTCCTGGTTTCCATGCTACAGTAGTAAATAAACACTTTCCGAATCATTATAAGTTGCTTTGGCGTTGCCACCGTTGGCTGCTGAATCGATTGCAACAAATTTCCGGGTGGACATCACTAAATATCCCCCACAGTACCAGGCTAAATCGTGCTCGAGCATTCAGCAAGCCAATATATCAGTAAAATTGTAACTCATGGCGAAAAATTCAGTCACATTACATTCAACAACCACCGGTATGCACATTTGCTCTTACATTACATTAATTTAAAGCTCATTGAAACAGCGAGACCAGCAGTGTGCCCCCCAACACGTAAGTGCTTTTCACAATAACACGAACTCACTGTAAGTGATTTAAAAGAGCTTCAAGATGAACGACTACACGTCTCACTCCACATACATGTTCGCCAGATTCACTATACAGTAACAAACATTTAACAAACGCTAGTGTTAGCTATACATTTGGCGTTTGTGTGAACATCCAAGACCGCAGAATTCCACATTGCTACTTTAACTTGCTCAGGAAATAGCATGCGATTTTGGAGAGCAACGACGTCTTACTTCCTGCGCACATGACAATACTTCGTCTATTTATCAAGGTTGTCAGAATAATATACCAAATGTCAGGGCAAAAAGAGAATTCTCCACGTTTTCTTCACAGCTACAGATCATACATCCTGGCTATTGTCTCCACTATATGGCACATCTGGCCTAGTCACCGCTTTCTGTATCATGCCACTCTTCGTAATCGGTTGCCCCCGCTGCTGCAGAACTGTGTGTAGCAAGCGATTTATAGATTTCTTCAGTCAACAATTGCAGCAACTAATATGCCATCTAAGTCTAGTGCTGCCTTCTTGCTTCCGCATGAGTGGTTCGTAATAACTAGCGGTAGCATAGTATAGCCTTTGGATTTAGACTTCACTGCTCCATGGCAGTTTTGCCAAGGATCTAACAGTGTACTGACCGATACCTTGAATTAGGTTATTAATGAATAACTTAATCCAAACGACTCTTCAGTACATTGTTTCGTACGTTAGCGGATACTTTTTACGGAGCTGCCTGACCTCTCATATGTTTTTTACGGCGGGCTCCACTGTCATTTGCCTCCGTTACCACATTTAACCGGAGTTCAGCCACCCCTTGAAAAGGGTTCCACGGTCCATGTGGATAAATCGTCGGCCGTCAACTCTTACCTTAAACTTCAACGATTAACGTGCTGATACAAACGGGGCGATCTCCGGTTCGATAAAAAGTTGACCTCAGTTTAATAACTTGTTTTACCGTCGAACAAGGTAACATTTGAAGGGTCGCGTTTGAGCGCCGTTCAACATGAGTTCGTGTGTTCTTAAAAAGAGGTAAAATTCGTTCGAAATCGCCCCGCCACTGATGGAGATACAGACATGGAAAGTGTATGATAGTTCATTTGCCCTACCCATTCATAATTGTAATACAGGGGTTCATAAATTGGAGTAAAATGTACCTGTAAAAAGGGTAAAAAGTCTTTATGCACATTTCATTATAAGGGGGGCTATGCTGTCTAGATTGAAAGATGCATAAACCACTGCATAACCATTGCTAATAACTTCTAACCAAGAACTTCTTGGTATGCGCTACCATAACGCCCGGTCGACGGTGTTCAGAGAGGCCTCGCCGAACACCTCAACCAGCGGCGGGTATATCCTTGCCGGCAGCGCGGTATTCAGTACCAATGGGCCCGTCGACGGCCATCTCTCCGATCCGTACACCATGCCGCAGGAAATCCACCAGGTCGACCGTGAGGGCGTGCGTATTGATGTCGCTAGCCTTAGTGAATGCCGACGGATGCAGCAGATGGGGTCGTTTGAAGCTCGCATCATATCGGCGATAGCTGGTTCTCTCTGAGCGGTGGCTCAGCCGAGGGTGGCGTACTCGTCACTGAGGGTAAGAGTGGTAAGAGTTAGTTGCGTCCGTCTCCTTGTTCATCGAGCTCTTGGACAGAGTCTCACCGCAGTATGGCAGGGCGCCGACTGCTACCTTCATGGGCAGCCTTGAAAAAGAGCCGCACACGTCATCGGGCAGGCCACGCAGCTCCTCGTTCTTGCGTCCGCCGATGGAGTTCATCCAGTCTAAGGCATCTTTGTCAAGCAGCGCATCCAGTTTGAAATGCAGATAGACGACACCGTGCTTGGGCTTTGGGGCTTCTAGTAAGCTTGAGCACGTGATCGCTGAGTCCGGAGCCGTGACCTTGCTGCGGTATCAAAAGGTCAGGCCCAGTTCCTTGGGCGGCTTAGCAGACGGCTAATCCATGAGCGTTCTGTCCGCACTCCTGGGTCGAGAATTTGACGTCCATTGCATTGTCTACAGTAGATGGTTGCTTTTTTAAAACAGTGTTGAGTTATTAGAGCAGTAGAGTCCGATATACTGAAGAGAGCTTACCTTGCTCGTCATCGCTGTGATGCCGCAGTGACGTAGCCGCTTGGGAAGTGCTTCGTCGGAGATGTCGCTCGACTCGCCCAGCTTGGAGCACGAGGCCATGAGATCGCTGCCGTTGGCCACTCACTACCTAGCGCGACTCCCTTGCGTACTCTGGGCTGGCACCCTCTTTCGATGGCATGAACTGCACGTAGACGTAGCGGAGACTCGGCTGCTAGTGCGGCGAGTCGGCGAGAGGCCGATGCACGAAAAATCTCACTTAGCCAGACTTCCTCGCCACTAATATTAACACCGAGTATTTGCCAATATGGACGCGTGGTATTTAGGTCATGATGACCCAAGTGCTGGTATCTGCAGGTAACAGGCCAAAAACGGCTGGTATCTGCTGATACCACGTCATTGGGTCTTGGCACATACGTAAATCAAATGTTCATCCAGGTGGTCGAAGTGTGCTCTGGCAGAGCGAACTAGGACGAGTCGTGCATCATCAGATGACGGAAACGTGGACAGATTCTGTCGACGTTTCCAGCCTGAAAAGTGTTGGGATTATTATCATCACGTAGCCAGTGACCATTTTTACGGGCCAAGGAGAGCTTCAACAGCACCAGTCCCGATTCCGCCCGCGTCGTAATCAGTTCTGAAAGAACTTGATAACCCTTATTATGCTGTCTCTAATGTTCGAGTTGAGGAGCCCTCCAAACTACTCAGGCCTGACTGCATGCACTCCAATTTGTTTGCAGTTGGGGGCTAACTTCACAAAGATTTCAGTAAACTTCATACTTTAACGTCCCCGGGCTTCCGCTCCGCGTTACGCTCCACACAAATATTTTCTTTCCCAAATCAGCTAGGCCTTCTCCTCACTTTCCACCGCCACCTTCTCATTGGTCTCTCCACCTTCATCAGCATACACTTTCCGCGAGAGCTGCTTAGCGGCGTTGTTGGCTCCGACCGTGGTGACAATGCGCCAGTCGAGCTCGTCGACGCTGCCGACCTTGCTGCCGAACGTCCACGTGCGCGTGTTGTCCTGCAGCGCGAGACACTCCTCCTGGCCCATGAGCGTCATCCTCGTCGTCTCGAGGCTCCTGGTCGTGACCTGGACCTGCATGTACTCGACGGAGGCGTCTCGCGCCCACAGCAGCGGGAGCACGCCCAGCCCCGCCGTCTGAGCCTCGTACTCGGTGCGCGTGAGCTGCGCGTACCTCACGGAGGCCACGACCGCGCTCTGGATCTCGATGCTCTGCAGCTCTAGCGTCATGTTCCGGTCCCGCAGCGTGTGCGCCGCCGCGTCCTTGAGGCTCTCGAAGAAGCGCGGCGTGCAGTAGTCGGAGAGCTCCGCGGCCGCTACCGACTCGCGCGTGAGACCGGCGGCGAACTGGGCGAAGTCCGCAGAGTTGACGGCTCGGAGCTGCGTCTCGGCCGCCGCCTTGGCGCCCTCCAGGAACTCGGGCAGCTCCACGCGCGTCTGCGCGGGCATGTGCAGCTGCACCAGCGTCCACCAGAGCGCGGCCGGGTTGAGGCCGGCGGGGAACAGCTGCAGCTCCGTCTCGTACGTGGACAGCAGCTCGGCGTTGGCCGACACGCGCCTGCACGCGGTCACGAGCGTCCCCAGCGCGCTCTTGGGGGGCGATGACGAGTACGAGCGACGACCACCGCGGTGGATCTGCAGGGGCAAAGGAGGCCGTCGGAATTGAGAGCCAATAGTTGCAGCGGTTAGTGGAATTGCATGGGGTGACAGTGTAGAGTGGATGGGACTGGAGCTGTAGGCGGTGGAGAGCGCACCTTGACGCTGGGGATGGAGCGCCTGGAGCGCGAGGCTGCCAGTCGAAGTGCCATGGTTGACTCGACCGACGCCGGTCAACCTCAGGTTCGAAATAAATAATGAATCGCGTTTCGTTTTTGGAAATTATTGTCAGTTGTTTTTTGTGTATAGGATCCTACATGTATATGTACAGCAATTTAATTCGCTCATACAAGATATGACCTATATATGCGTAAGTAATTCTCAAAGAACGTCCATACACTGGCAGCTCCACCACCGCTGGCTGATGGAGCTGCCGCAGTGGGTCGAGATGATACGTTTGGCACGAAAGACCAGCTACAGCGGGGACAAGTTAACTGAGTCCGCGGGATCAATGGGTACATCTCACGTAGACATCACCTGTGCTGTGAGCTTGGTGCAAGCAGCAATGGCTACACCTTTGTCGACTCTACCAGGCTCGCCCCGCGTCATTCGGCAATTCTCTCCCTTTGGCCAAAGAAGAGCTCAACGAAGCGTCAAATTCAATGTCGGCTCGACCGGAAACGCGTCTGCGCGATGCCTGCGAGAGTCGGGACTTGGCTTTAGTCACCACTTTGGTCGTAGACGAGAATGCGGACGTGAACGCCAGCGATGGCAACTCCAAAAAGACGCCGCTGATCCTCGCAAGCGAGAACGGACACGTCGACACCGTCAAGTTCTTGCTGGAACACGGGGCCAATGTCGACACGAAGGACTGCGACGGATCGAGGGCTTTGAGCTTCGCGGCCCGGAAGGGGGATGTGGAGGCCGCCTGCTGGTCGACTACCAGTCGAGCGTGGATGAGCCGGACGAGAAGGGGGACACCCCGTTGATCCTTGCGAGTTACCGTGGACGCTACAAAATGGTCAAATTTCTGCTGGAAAATGGGGCCAAGACCGACCCAAAGAACAAAAAAGGTTGGACAGCTCTGATGGCAGCTGCGGGTACTGAATTCGACAACGACGACACGGCTGGGCTGCTGAGCCTGTATGAGAACTTGAACGATCCTGATGAGCACGGTCGTACGCCGCTCTGGTTTGCAGCCAGAGACCTCGAGGCCTTCTTCGTGTACTACTTGGTGGAAGTGTGTGGCGATGTGGACGTCAAGGCGGACGAGGATGGGACGACTCCGCTCATGCAGCTCTGCAAGAAGGGCAAAGCGGAACACGACGCACTTGTTGAAAAGTTTGTGAAGAGAGGCGCCGATGTCAATGCGAGAGACAAGCGCGGCTTGACTCCGTTGATGCATCTGTGCAGCAACGTCACCTACTGGAGGGTGAAGGAGAACGTTGTGAGGCTGCTGGTGAAGGGCTCTGATATCAACGCGAGAGATGGCGAGGGGAACACAGCGCTAACATATCTGCTGAGGTCTTTGAGAGACAAGGCAGGCGAGATGGAGATGTGGCACCAATACTAAGACCGCGCGGCTGATGATCACGGAGTTTCGTGCTGATGTCAACGCGAAAGACAAGAACGGCTCAACGCCTTTCATGGACCTGTGCAGGTTCTCAGTGATGGAGCTCTGGAAGGACTTGGTCGATGCAGAGTTCATGCGGCAATTGGTGGTGACCTACGGAGCAGACGTGAACACGAGGGATCAAGACGGAATGACGCCGTTGATGATCGTCTGTGAGTCCAGCGACGTTGACAACGAGATCTTGTACACGCTCATCGAGAATGGGGCGGACATCAACGCGCGCTACAGTGAGGGCAAGACGCTGCTGATGCGGGCTGCTCGAATCGGGTTCATTCCTATAGTGCAAATTTTGTTGGACGCGGGTGCGGACTCGTTGCTTACAGACAACGAAGGCCATACCGCACTCGACCACGCCAGGCTTCGTGAAGACAACCAAGCGACCGAAGAGGTGTTGGCCTCGCCGGACACTGTACATCTTGCGATGAAACCGATCATGGAAGCGCGACTGCGCTTCGCCTGTGAAATTGGAGGTTTGGAACAAGTTACCCGCTTAGTGGACGTCCGGAAAGTGGCTGTGAATGCAGTAGACAACGAAACTGGAATGACGCCGCTGCTCCTTGCTTGCCAAAATGGGCACGCTGATGTGGTCGAGTTCTTGCTGAAGCACGGAGCAACTTCGTTGAAAGAATTGACGAATGCGGTGAATAATGAAGGACAGACTGCGCTGCATCTTGCAGCGTTGGGTGGACACACCAACGTGGTGAAGCTCTTAGTGGAGCATGGAGCTGACACTGGCGTAAAGGACAAAGATGGTTCTACAGTGCTTGGGCTTGCTGCGAGTGCAGGGAATTTGGAGATTGCCCAACTGTTGTTTGATAGTGGAGTTGTGTGCGTAAATGAAGGGGACAAGGACGGGTGCACTCCGTTAATTCTCGCGACTAGGGACGGTCACGTCGAGGTGGTGAAGCTCTTACTGGAATGTGGAGCTGATGCGTGCGCGAAGGACACCGATGGAGACACAGCGCTCTGATCTCGGCGGCTGGCGGAAAAAATGTGGAGATCGCCCGCCTACTGGTCAAGCATGATCCCACGTGCGCCAGCGTACCAAATGCTGCTGGGAGGACCCCTCTCTGGAGTGCTGCTTCGACATGCGACCCAGAGATGATGGAGTGGCTGCTAGATGCCACCGAAAATGTGGATGTGAAGGACGAGGACGGGTTAACGCCGTTGATGCAGATGTGTTTCAGGGGGCGCGCCACCTGCGACCTGGTCAAGCGCTTCGCCGATAAGGGTGCGGATCTCAATGCCAAGGGTTCTGATGGCACAACTCCGTTGATGCATCTCTTCAAAATTTACAGTGCAAACGCCGATCTAGTGCGATTCTTCTTGGAGAATGGTGCGGATGTCAACGCAGTGGACGCACAGGGGAGGACAGTGTTCATGATAGCGTGCGATCAGAGCAGCAAGGAGAATATCGAAATTGCGCAACTGTTGGTGTCAGAGTACAATGCTGACGTGAACGTGAGGAGCAACCACGGTTGCACCGTTCTCTCGTACTTGTGCGAGAACGAGTGCGCCACGGCAGATTTCATCCGGTTGCTCGTTGTGGACCGCGGAGCAGATGTGAACAACCGAGATGCGGACGGAGACACGCCGCTGACTCTTCTGTGCTCTGCTAAGAAGCCCAACACCGAGCTGATTGCTGTGCTTCTGGAGAACGGCGCAGAAGTGGATGCCAGAGTCTTAAAGCGCGACCGGACGCCGTTGATGATTGTTTGTGCTGCTCCAGAACCTGCCGCTGAGGCTGTGCACATGCTGCTGGAGAATGGAGCGGACGCTAACGCAAGAGATGAGGATGGATTTACGCCCCTGAGGATTCTGTGCCGCAGAGAACCCCCCAACGCTGAGGCCTTCCAAGTCCTTCTCGAGCATGGTGTGGACGTGAATGCACAAGACAACGATGGGGAGACAGCTCTGACGGAAGCTGCTGAAGCAGACTTTGTTCAATCGGTGCAGATGCTGCTGGATGCGACCGCCGACCCCTTTCTCACTGACAACCAGGGTCGAACTGCTCTCGATCATGCCTCCCTTCGAGGTCGCAAGCGCGGAACGGAGGAGCTGCTGCTACCGTTAGTGAAGTTGGACCTCCTCCGCTCCAGTGACCCGGTCGACGCTCAAGCTGCAATCCGAGGCACAGAAGTGGAGTTTGGCGACATTACGGCAGCAGACAAGGACATCGGGGGAGATTTCCACGGACTGTGGCTGGATTCGGACGTGGCCATCAAGCTGTTCGTGCAGTCTCGCGATGTCGATGCCTCCTTCAGGGACTTCGTGTCGAATTGGCGCTCTCTTCGCCACCCGAACGTCCAGAAGCTGTACGGAGCCATCGATCAAGGATACCAGCTACTGGTCTGCGAGTACATGGCGAACGGGTCGTTGGAGTCGTTGAAGCTGCAGATACAGAAGATGGATCGTCACGAGTCTGACTTGATTGCAACGAGCATTGCAGCGGCATTCCGACACTTGTATGAAGCTGCACTTGGTGTCCAGTATCTGCATGAAAGGAGAATCACTCATGGGAACGTGTGCAAGGAGAATATTCTGATCGGCAGCGATGGGATTGCCAAGCTGGGGAATTTCCCAGCGAGTTATTGCGCTCAGTTCGTCGCCTCGTGATCTCGTGATATCCAGGTTAGAGCGCCACCGGAGCTGAAGATGGATATTCACGGCTTGGACCAGTGCTTGATTTGGCTTTTTGTCGGGGTCTACGATCAGTACAACTTCCCCACTGCGTTCCTTACCTTGATTCAGGATATGACGCGGATCGGTCGAGAGTATGCCACGGTTTCCGCCTTTGTCAAGGATTTAAAGCGCCTGATCGATCTGCTGACCCCGGAAGAATCTGTGCAGACTCAGCCCATTTCTCGAGACGACATTGTCACCAAGCTCCAAGACGTCCAAATGTCGGTTGAAGACTCCGAAGATGAATTTTACATTGAGCTTTTCACGGACCTGGAAGCGGTTTGCTACCGTGTACTCGACTCGAGCGACTCCACGGACGCGCGCATCGGCATCCAGGACTATGAAGAGGTTTTCCAGGTGCTGGACGCGATCCAGGAGGCCATTGAGCAGCAGCAGTCGCGGTCGACGAGCCCCATTCTCCGTCTGTCCTCCAGCTGCGCCAGTGATCAGTCCCTCGACTTCTTCGCCAAGCAAATGCAGCGGTTGGTGAAGTTACTGGGGGATTCGTCGGACCTGAGCCTCGAGATGGACAAGAGGTGGTCACAGCTTCGCAGGAACAAAATCGATCTGTTCGTGTCGGAGGTGGACAAGACGCTCACGTTGCTGCAGCCAACGGAGACGGAGGATCTGCTCACTTTGCTGCATCGAGAGCTGCAGAGTCCTAGCTACTCGTCTTCCCAGCTCGAGGTCATCCAGAAGGCGTACGACGAGGCTTGCTCGAAGCAGTCGGCGACGGTCTTCCAGTCGCTTCCCGAGTGGTTTATCGGCTGGTACGAGCTGGAGAATGAGGTCGTGGTCGCTCGAGGCGGCTACGGCGAGGTCTCCAAGGCCAAGTGGCTCAACTCGGACGTCATCGTCAAGCGAGTGCTCTTCGACTCGGACCGGAGCAATCGAGGGGACCAGCGACGCATGTTCGAGCACGAGGTGGCGCTGTGGTTCAGTCTGAACCACCCTCACGTGGTGAAGCTCTTCGGCGGCTGCCACATCGGCACGCCCTACTTCGTGTGCGAAGAGGCCAAGAACGGCTCGCTGGACCGGTACCTGAAGGACCACCCGTCGGGCGTCTGGACGATGCTGTACGAGGCGGCGCTGGGGCTCGAGTATCTGCACGCGCGCGGCATCGTCCACCGAGACGTCAAGTGCGACAACATCCTCGTCGGTAGCGATGGGCAGGCCAAGCTCACGGACTTCGGGCTGAGTTCCGTTGCGAGCGCGGCAGACCAGGGCAAGCGGTCGGGCGCTGTCCGCTGGGTGGCGCCTGAGTGTTTGGCAGGAGAGAAGGCGTCGTTCGCCTCGGATGTTTATTCGCTGGGCGTGTGTGTCATCCAGGCGGTGAGTGGGAAGCTACCGTGGGGCAACCAGCTCGACAACTTCGTCGTGGAGCGGCGCGTGGGTAACAGAGAACTGCCGCAGCGCCCTCCAGAGTTCACGGACGCGCAGTGGCAGTTGGTGGAAAACATGTGCCAGTTTGAGCCTGCGCATCGGATGAATCTCCTGGTGGTGGTGCAGCGGCTGAAACGATTCGCGCAGTATCCGAGTGCAGACTTTGCTCAGCCAACACCGACTCAAGCTTTGGACACGTCAGTCGACGACCTGGTGCTCAGGATGAAGCGAGTGGAGGGGGAACAGGATGGAAACCAGGGAAAGCGACTTGCTCGTGGCATCTACGAGCTGCTGGTAGAGCGCATCGAGGACGTCAACAATGGGAAGTGGGATGCAAAGTTGCGAGTCAGCTTGGACGCGATCGTTGTGGTGGCCGACACGTGGTTGACCGGCCTGGAGAAGCACCAGTCGACGATGGACGTGGTGAAGACAATTTTCCGAGGATTCGCACTGCATCGACAAGTGGACCGAGTGCTCGCCGAGCTCTTTGTGGTGCCGACCGGCGAGATGCACAAATGGGCGGACAAGTGCTCGGAGATGATGCAGCCTGGCGGACAATGAACCGGAGGATGGGAGGGGGCAACAGCTGAATCAATGTAATTTGTGCAGCTTGCTCGGAATGGATTTCAGTCCAACGACTAAAGTGGGGGGAGGGGTGTGCTCACAGAGCGTCCAAACTTTTCTGCACAATGTTTGGTTCTTGATCCCCACTAAGTCTATGGATATTTGTTAATCCACGAACTGCTACTGAAGTAGTTGGTTTGGCCTAGATATTTTTACGCTCGCAATGATTTGGTCCAATCCGATGGTCACCGCATTCATCAAATACTATAATAGTACGACTTTCTGCGCACTTATTAATAACAATTGCGTCACAATTATTTAGTTGTCCAGGCACGCTGATTCTGAGTTCTATCGCACTAGCTGTAGCTGCCGCGTTTGCTGTGAGCTGCGACGCAGCCGAGTAGACTCTCGCACTCAAGCGGCAAACGCCCAGAACAACTACAACGGCAACCCGGGAGAGAGGCGCCTCATCCAGAAATCCAGAATACCGAACATTCCGTCTTGGCCAGGGTCGCCAGGTGAATCGATTCCAACTAATTCCCCTTTGTCCGGTTCACGACTCGCCCCATTTGGTTCATCTTAACAATGCGCCAGTCCACGTCTTCCGGCTCCGTGACCAGCGACTCGAAGCTCAGCGTCGTCTTGACGTCCGTCGTGACCGTCACCCTCTCGGCCGTCTTGGCCTGCACCGCCTCCACCGTCTGCGTCGTGTGGAACAGTGCGTCCAGCTGCAGTCTCTCCACGACGGCCTCATCCTGCGAGTCGTCACTGCTGTCTCTGCTCTTCTGCAGCTTGTGCTTGATGTCGCTCAGGTCGGAGACCACCTCCATGACGTTGGGTCTGCCCCCGTCCTTGAGCTGCTTCTCCCTCTGCTTCTGGGCGATGGTCTCCCCCACCACCGCGCGTAGAGTCTCCTCCGCCTTGAGGTTGGCGCGCGTGGTGCGCTGGCACGTGACGCCGCTCAAGTAGACGCCCGTGAAGTCGAGCTCCGTCAACTGGAGGCTCGAGACTCCCCCTCCGAGTCGCCTCACGCGCGGCAGGAACAGCCGCTGGTAGCACGTTGGCTCGAACATTTTCTCCATCTCGTCGGCTTGTTGCGGTCTCGGCGCGTTGTCCGCCGCATAGTCGACGAGCTCCTGCGAGTGCATGGCGCGGATCACGCGATCGCAGGCGAAGCGGGCGCCGGTGAGGAATTCGACGGCATCAATCTCTGTCTTGGAGGGCAGTTGCAGCTGCGCGTAGAGCAGGTAGTTGCTGAGCGTCCAGTTGGACGGTGGGAAGACGCTGTGCTCCGAGTAGCGCGTCAACTGGTGCGAGCGGTCCACGACGCGCTTGAGGTAGAGCGACAGGTCGTCGTAGAACGTGGGGGTAGAAGGAGTAGGGGGCGGAGAGGGGGAAGAGGAGAAGAAGCGGGCATGGCGACGGAGGACGCCACAGCGGCGGCGGAGGGGGATCAAGCGCTTCAGCATATTCGTCACTATGCAGCTCAGATTTGAAGTGGTCCCCCCCCCCCCTCCCCCGATGTGCAACGGAATATTTATCAAAAGTCACCACAAACAGGTGAGGTTTTATCAAAAGTCACCACAAAGGTAATGATTGGCTATTAATCAGATCACTTTACAATCGACGGGCCGCTAGCCAGCATCGCCTAGCTCTCATGCGCTAGCCAGAATCGTGCCGCGCCCTGCATCATTGCCTGGCTCAACGGCGTGCCCGAGGACAGCGCCGTCTCCGTGCCCAGCGCCGTCGCCGTGCCCATGGTCGTGTTGGTGGCCGCACCAGCTCCCGTCCTAGGCTGCAGGTAACCTCGGCCTCATTTTCTTAGATAAGACATGAAACAAAATAGATCAGAACGCGTTCTTCATTTCAGCTCGTGTTTAAATAGACTAACTTGTCGAGGCCTTCACTTTCAAGCTTACCCTGTTAGCAAGACTACCCACCCAGTCAGCAAGACTGCCCACCTCACACATCCGCTTCCAAGCAAACTTTTTCTCCGTGGATTCGTCTCTCGTCGCTTTGACTGCCGCTGAATCCAGCAATGAGGACATGATAAAAGTTGGAAATTATTTTGTCGATAGGAAGACGAGCACCAAGTTCTGGAAAACGAGAGCTTTCAACGACGTTACCCTTTGTAGTACTTCTTGAAGGGAAAACACAACTCGAGCGAAAACCTCTGAAGACGAAGCTGATCATGGACATCCACCCCACCCATGTTAGCGTGGTAATCCTTGACTAATTTTGGGCAAGGTACTTCTTCTGGCTGGCCGTAGCCTGTTGTGGAAACTACAAAAAAAAAAGTTAGAAGGGTATACATCCACTACAACATCATCAAACGCACCAGTCGTTTGCTCGTGTGTACTGGCACCAGTCGTCAGTAGATGTACTGGTTTAGAATCCATCCAAACACAGGCTACCATTTCAGGTACTTTCTTGTTTCGCGCGATCCTGTATGCGCCGCGTCTGATGGTTTCTGGTCGCTTTTTCGACCGTCCTTCAGCGCCTCAGGAAACCCGATTCGCCGCGTTTGAATTGTTCCAACCGTAAAAATTTTCCGTGAAAGTAGCTCCAACGATAGCGACACCGAAGTATAGAATCGATCAGTAACCACCATATGCCATTCTTCGCGATCCGCCGGAATGACATGCGCCATGTTCGGTAGTACTGCAGAGGGTCCCGACTTGTCATCGATTGTCTGGGGTCCGCCAAGGTGTTGTTTTTTCCGCAGTACACTTCCGCCCTACAAAGAAAATAATTGACAGACATGAGAGGAAACCGCTACACCCGCAAAATTAAAGTTGGGGTCTTACCTTAGACAGTAAGATGTCTTGGGACAACAGGTCAGAAATAACTTCGTTCCCCACTAGTGAGGTTTGTCCTTCATAAAAACGCGGGTACCGTTGAACTTGGAGTGCGATGGCAACATGCCTTCGTCGAATGAAAGTACACCACCCGGGACATATCCACTTTTGAACGTCCTTTGCAGTACATCTAGGATGGGGCGAATTTTCCAAGCCCTGTCCAAACCAGCTCGGGGGTCCTTGTTGTCGCCACAGTGAAGATGCTGGCTAATTTGATCAAACCTTTTACAAGCAAGACAAGTACAATCGTTCTGTTAGTCGTACATTTTAGTAATATTCCATGACAGATCATACCGGTTCCGAGCCATCCACATGCCAAACGTTCCGCTAGGAATCGCCCCGATGCTGCTTGTACTCCAATGCGCAGATAAACGATGCCTAATCGGTGCCAGTGCTCGAGCAATGAGGAGCCCTAAAAACACGTGGAGTTCGCAAGGCTGAATGGGAGGCATTTTCCTCAAGCGCTGTCGGATTTCGCGAAGCGATTCTACTGGCGCATTTCGCATGCCGCCTTTCCGCCTGAGCTTTTTGTGGAGATCTCGAATGCGTCGAGCACGGGTAATGACCGTTTGCTTCGCATACTTGTTCGGCTCGTCAGCAATGTCTTGCCAGAGGCTCTGTGGTAGAAAATACCAAAACCGCTTGAGGGGTGAATCCGCAATATCCACCAGCTCCTGCGTCGGACCGAATTCTCCGCTGTAGATGTTACCGAATTCGGTTTGGTCCCCCACCGACGGGTCAACTATAAACCATATTGTGAGTAAACCCGCAATTGTTAACGACGTAGTTGGCAACAATGTAGCTTACCTTCTTCCCATCCATCAGTTTCCCATTCCTTGATTTCGTCGCGATTCTTAGCCAACTTGAGCAGCTCGTCGTCGTCATTAACGTCGATGCCGTATTCATCAAGATACCAATCGTGATCGTTCTCTTCCATCAGCTCGCGAATCATCTCGTTAGTTAAACAAGATTCGTCTTCATCGTCCGCCGACTCATTTCCATCGATCTCATCATCGGAGCGAATGTAATCATATCAACCGACGATGTTCTCGAAGCATGTGTTGACGTCAGGGTTTGAGATAGCGAGACGTTGTTGTAGTTCAGCCGACGCTGCAGCGCTCGCCTCAGCTTGCTGCAAATACTCTCTGTGCTGGTCGTAACGTTCTGCAGCTTCCTCGTCTTCGTCAGAGAAGTCCGAGCTTGCGCTTAAGGCACTATCGCTGAAACGATCTGCAGAGGTATACACACCCGGCGTTCCCTCTTCCGCTTGCATCTCGATAGCACGGCGTTTCTGTTGTGGGTAGTCGGTAACAAACTTGAGCTACGTTTACGAGACGTCTCAACCGTAGTAGTTGGTGGACTAGCTGCTTGCCCATTGCCTTGTCGTGCAGTAGTAGTCGGTGAACTAGCTGATTGTAGATATCCTTCTCGTTCTGCAAACCTATATATAATGACGGGTCCGGGGTAGGCTTCTTCTTCTTCGTTGACTTCGCTGTAGACTGTGTTGCTGGGTGCGCCGTTATTACGTTCTCTACTTCGAGTCCAACATCTTCTCTATTTACACCACGTAGTTGCTGAGCTGTCTTGCGACCGGTCTTCGGCGGAGGCGGTGGGCCCTGCTTCGTCCGTGCTGCCTTCTGTCTCGCACGGGTACCGCGTGCCAAGCTTACGTCCTGCATCTAGTAGTGCAAACTTGTTGTGGCCTCCAGTAGTTATATGAGCTTTTGGAATGGGTGGATTCAGGGCGATGTACCGATCTACAAATCAAATGACTAAATACTTGTATACAGTATGTATGTATTAGGTAGTAGCTGTATAAACGACAACAATAGTGTGGTTTTCAACTTTTTTGCCTGCTGAATCAAGCTTGTTATTGGGGCCTCACACTAACGCCAGTCTGACCGAAGTTCATGCAGGACGCCGTCGCGATGGGTGTAAGCTCTTCGCATCGAGGTGGCTTGCTCGGGGTACATGTGCGCTTGCAGTAAGGTTGATGTCGCTAATCTCTAACGCAGTGGTTTGGTTGTTTGGTGCGTTGTATAGGAGTAGTGACCGCTACATGAGCTCCAGCGGCAACCCGTCTACTATAGCGACGGCTTTGTCGGCTTTGGGTGTCGCTTTCTCCTGACAGCACCTGAAGCTGGTTGAGCCCATGTAGGCGATGATGGCGATGGAGTGTGTGCATGATATGGCATTGCACATGTCCAAGTGCGGTGTACTGGTCGTCCGGTGGTGAGCAGAGCCTGCAGAAACTGACTGCACACGGGCAGATCATCGCTGCTCGAAGAACTTTAGCGCAAGCTGCACTCTGCGCCATAGGAGTGGCAGGCCACTCTGTGTCGACAAGCGGCAGGGATCTTCCCGGACGTGGCCATGCTGTCCACCACCGGCATGTCAATGTCCCAGCTGCCGTTGGGGATGAAGTTGGACGAGGTCATGGTGGCCTCATCCTGGTGGCGATCAACGAGCAGGGCACACCGTTGGCTAAGTCGGCTGGCTGCGCTGGTCGCTCCTCACGCGCAACATGGACACCATGGGAGGGCAGGGCTAGGCCGCTTTAGCTGCACTCAGAGCATTGTGTTCTGCACTTGCCGAACTTGCACCCCGCGCGCTTTTTTGGAGCATTGCGTCCTATTGTTCGCTATTGTGTAACTTTGTAGGCCTACGTTGGCGTGCATGAAGTATCTGCTGCCGGACGACACTCACGGTAGAAGCTAATGGCATGGAATAGAATGAGTAACCTAGTACGCATTTATTGTGGCCGTAATAGTGTTTCTAGTTGCTGGAGAACCCTCACAAATGTACTTATTACAATATGAAACATCGCCTACAAACAAGTTTAGTAATGGTCTGCAATCGTTTACAGCTTTACCAGAACGGTACTCGACGTGGCTAACCGACCGAGTCCAGCGTTTCTTGCTGTGCATCGCGCTGTGAATGGTATTAACTCCACCCATCTTGGGTGTTGCCACTGACCATGATGGCCGCGCAGCTCATGCCTCCACTGTTGGCGATGTACGTGCTCAATCATGCGCTCATCGGTGCGCTACAGTATTGCTTCTGTTGATCTACTACTACTTGTTGCCGCTGGCCACGATGGTCGCGCAGCTCATGCCTCCAATGTAGGCGATGTTGAGATGCTGGTTGGTGCTCCAAGATCCTGATGCTGTTGTGCTGCGGCGAGTTGCCGCTACCCGTGTTGACCGTGGAGCCGAGCTCGTGTTGTCCACGATGGAGATCGCGTGGCGCCGTCTGGTGGGGCGGTGGATCGGTGCGACGATGTAGTGACGCAGTTATACTACAACCTGGTGCTGCAGGTCATCATGGCCGCGCAGCCCGTGTATGCCAAGATGGAGATGCTCGTCGGTGTACCAAGGTCCTGACGCATTTGCACTACGCCGTGCAGCCGCTGTCCGTGTTGGCCGTGGAGCTCGTGTTGTCCACAATGGAGATCACGTGGCGCCGTCTAGTGACGCGGTGGACCGGTGCGACGATGTAGTGACGCAGTTATACTACGACCTGGTACGGCAGGTCATCGTGGCCGAGCCGCTCCGAGATGGAGATGGAATTATATCAATCCTGATCATGGCTGTGCTACTCTTTACAAATTTTGTCATTATTTCTAAGTACATTATTATTCTACAGTGATTGTAATACCTAGTTGCTACTATCATTACTACCATTAGTACTGTCAGTACTATGTTTCCGTGCTCCAAACCATTGACCAGGTGCAACACGCTTGGCACCACCTGCATCAGCGCGCTCCACTCGGGCAGTTTGGCCGTCACCGTCAGCCGTAATAGAAGCGTGGGTATGTCATGCACCGCTTTGAGGAACCCCGGTAGACTGGGCCACGCTACCTCCGTATTAGGCTCCCTGGTCAACACGTGGTGCCACAAGATCGGTGTCGATGCATTTGCGCACCAACCATCACTAAAGGGCGCCACGCTATCGCAGGCAACACAAGCCGTGTGGGCAACGCGGCCAGCAGCCAGCGGCTGCGGTGTTGATGCATTTGTGCACCATTGGTTCAGCACCAACCATCGCTAAAGGGCGCCAGCCAGTGGCTGCCAGCCACTTGTCGTAGTACAATAGCGTCAGGACATCACCGCACTGGCCGCCATCTCCATCGCAGGCAACACGAGCTGCGTGGCTATCATGTCTGCAAGCAGCATGTCATAACAGCATGAATACATTGGCACCGATGCATGTTTGACGGTGCGACGCCATCTCCGTTTTGGGTGTGAGTTACCTGGCCATCATGAGCAGCAGTAATAGAACTGTAGGCAGGATCAGCAGCGCAAACATCGCCTCGTCAAACCTTGGCAGACCGCGCGACGCTGCCGATATGGATATTGAACAACTTGACCTCCTGACCATCACTGGCGCCAACGTGCAGATAGTAGATTGCACGAGCTGCGTAGCCATCTGGCCACAAAGGACGATGCTAGTTCTATTTATGTGCTAACGTTGCTGCGATTTACCGTCAGCTCCTCTGACATGTCTTACGAAACGAACATCAAAACGGAATTGCATGTAGGAGGTCGTACCGCGTACTGCGCCAAAAACAATGATGTGCATACATAAACGCTCCAATATTTTTGTATTTAATAAAGTTCATACAAAAACTATATATAATGTTGTCGGAGGCTCCTACAAGCGACGTCCACTGGACTTTACGCACTGACCCCCGCTGAACAAAGGGTTAAGACTACTGGGTGTGCAAGTGCCCCCGTTCCGCTCGCCTCGTCGGTTCGCTGCACTACTCGCAGCGCTAGGTTAATTATGTAGGGTAGGCGGGCCCTGATGGGGGCCCGCAATGCAGCATAAGATTTTATCGCTGCGCTCGATAGCTATTCGGAATTAGTGGGATTCGTACTTAGTGAATAAGCGTGATTTACGCTCAGACACGACGCTCTGATTGATTCTTAGGATAGATTAACCCTTTCGTGAACACACCTTTTTGACTTGGTTTTGTATGGTATGCAAAACTAGCACATTAGCTCGTCAAGGGGGGGGGGCATTTTGCCCCCTTTCATAAACAACGGTACTCGCCATAATGAGTGTCTCTTCCACACAGTGGAATGGAGATGGTGAACGGGGGCATGTTGCCCCCCTTCACAACTTACGGTACTTCTGCTTGTCATTTTTTCATTGGCTAATAGTGTGGCAATCTCAAACCAAATCTGAAGCATGTGATGTGATTGGTTATCGATCGAACAGGATGTTCACGTAATGCGTGCAGATCCCTGAAATATATCACAGATCCAACTTTGAATCGTACCGTTTAACTTCAATCATGCCGCAGCGAGCTGATAGGATGCTCACTGTCACACCAGCGCGCAGGTCCTGACGATTTCGCGCCAATATCTAGTGTAATGAATAGTAGATAATGGCGCGAATTCGTTAGAGTCCGCGCAGCGCTAGAAGCGCTCGCTGGTGACGCTTGGGGCTGTCAGTAGCGCCTTTGCTGGCGCGCCGCAACACCCGCCACCTCTGGACAACTTGGTAGGAGCTCCTTCCGCTTTGATAAGACCACTGCAGGTCACCCGCATGGTAGCCCCTGGCATCATGCCAGCTCCAAGCCCAGCCACAGTCGCGAAGTGGGTATTTATCTTGATTTCACTATTGAAATATACATGTGCATATTACAGCATTTCACTATGAAAAATGGTTCCAACAAAACTCGATATCCCGTATCTATCGTTGCATCACTTTTGATAGCTCTATATACAATTACCAAACTGATCCCTTGAATGTTGATACGTAGGCATTGCGCTTTTCGAGGCTTACAAGCATTTGCTGGCTGCGTTCGATTGACGGACGCAAGGCGCGCACGGCGGTGGCGGCGTTGAAAGCACCCTCAACAAAGCAACGGAGACTGCGACTGCCGGAGGCGCTATTGGTGCCGCTTGACCAGCGAGCGCACTGCGGGTAGCGCCGTCGTCGCCGATACACCGCTGCACAGCCGTCGCCAAGCCACCGCTACACCGCCGTCGCCAAGCCACCGCTACACCGCCGTCGCCAAGCCACCACCATCAGAGCTGGAGGCGGATGAGAAGAAGGCGGTACAGCGGCTACAAGACCAAGGCGGAGGACGAGAAGAAGTAGGGGGCAGTGGCGGCCTTCTCCTTTTCGCCCATCAACGTCAAGGAGTAACGCGCGGCCGTGCACGAGGTGAAGCACGAGTTCGACAGCGCCGCCGAGGTGTTGCCCTCGGCCATCACCGAGGGTGTGTTGGTGAACGGCGCGTGGTGGTGAGCGTCATGAAGCGGAAGGAGCGCGGGGTGTCGGTGCAGCTCGGCACCAGCCACGGAGTAGCTGGAGACTCAACTCCGTGCTGGCCGTGCTAGCTCAACTTCTCGTGGTTGACGCGAAGGCGGGCCTGCCTACTGTTAGGTGTGTAACAGCGATAGAGACAAGAACAATGAAGCTACGTGTGCATCGTCACCTTAAACTCGTAATTTATTGGTATTTGCTGACGCAATCTTCATAAATGACGAACTTAAACGCGTATTTTACTGTTATGTCTGCCACACAGCGTAATCTATTCAAGGGGTGGGGGAGTCAAACTCGCTGTGATTGGCGGATTTAAAAGTAGGTGGGTTCGTAGTTGAACTTCTGTCAACGGGGCATTTTGCCCCCCTTCACGGTGGTTTTACTCGCAGGTTTTGAAACAACCATCAAGGGGGTCAAAATGCACCTTTTGGCCACGAAAGGGTTAATAAAAACGACAAACGTCCTGCCCATGTATTTAAATCAGGTATTACTCGCGTTTTTTTCCCATGAATTGTCCATGTTATAGAATGCATTGCACTACGTCGTAATTTACGGAAATGTCCATTTTCTGCGACGATGTGTTGCACCGATCAGAATCATTGGGATCGGTCTGAACCGGATCATTCCATATTTCTCCCCCAAGCACACACTCGACCATTCCCCGCCATTGGGAGCTTTCCCCGCCGCCGCCGCCGCTGTGTTTCCACAGTTGCGAGCTGCCAACGCCGAACGCGCGCTGCTCCACGCCGCGAACACTGTGATATTCGCCCCGCGCTTCCGTGGTCGTGGGTGGGCTTGAGCTGACAGCGCCGCTATCCGTTCTCTTCGTACGTACCTGTTGAGTGTTGTTCCTTTTGTAAGACATGGTTTGGTCTCGATCTAACTTGCTGTACTTCCGGATGCTAGGGCTCCTTCCGCAAGATCCCCGAGCAGTTGGTGAGTTAGCCACCTCAACGCAGAGAGGCGCTAAAGGTGAGCGCGTGAGTTGGCGATGCTCAGTCACGCTCGAGTGAATATTGTTCTGACCATGTATTGACCACATATTTTGACATGTTTTGGACAGGATTTGTCAATCGATGGCTCGCTCCAAGAAGACAGCCGCTATTCTACAGAAGATGAAGGAGACAGAAGAGTGTGCCGCATCGACCCAAGCTGATGACGAGATCGGGAGGGAGGAAAGTAGAGAAGAAGATCAACATGAATCGGACAGTGAAGAAGAGTATCAGCAAGAGGAGGAGAGCGAAGATGATGACCAAGATGATGAGAGTGAAGAAGACGAGGAAGTAGGAAGCAAAGAGGATGATGGTCAGGATGGAGAAGACGCGCCACATGAAGCTTCAGAACGTCACGCGATCACAAGCAAGAAGCGCCGTCGGGCTTTTTCTGACGCCGATTTGCACTACGTCCCGATCATGAAAAATCGGCAGAAGTCGTTGGAGGCCTTCGAGGCTTAGTTGGAGAGATACAGCCGCACGACTAGCGCGAAGACGGGAGTGAGCGAGACATTAAACGTGCCGCTGCATAATCGGCGGCTCAAGAAGCAGAAGCAGTACCTAGGCAAGCCGAAATCCAAGATTCCGTTTGTACCTGACTCCATGGACCCATATCAGCGTGTCTACATTTGCACACACGCCTCGTTCGCGATCTACTGGCAAGCGGCCTGCGCAGAGCACTTTTTCTTCCGGTTGCGAGTTTCGGTTTATCGCACAAGTGACTCAGCGGTCTCGTGGCAAGTGGGGAATCGAAGTGAAGCGCGAGTTCTACGGGCACAATCACCAGGTTTCGGAGGAAGTGTACAGGTCTCACCCAGGTATTCGCCAGGTTCCAAAGAAATCACGTGTCATGGATGACGTCAAGTTCATGGTGAAAGTCAGCGGCAGGCCTTCGCGGATCTATGACTACATCCGTAGTAGCACGCCATACCGTGGCCTCATGGGAGACGTGCACAACATGATTCGAAGGTTCAAAAAGGACGGTTGATAAATTCACTATTAACTCTGAGAACGGAGTTTACATTCTAACAAAGCTTTGCTACTGTTTCGTGCTTGAAAAGGCGACGGGCTATCTGACGAAGACCAAGTTGCTGAGTTACTGGTCTCCTTCAACATGCAGGCTGAGGGAAACGTGGCAACGGTGAACGAGAATAATAGAGGCCAAACCACCGTGCTTTCTATCTCGTCTGAGCTCATGCGTAAGCACTACAGTCGGTTTCCGGAGTTGCTGCTGGTGGAGTGCACCCACAAGACCAACCGGTAAGCGTCCACTTCATCTGTAATGGACCAGGTTTTCTGCACGTGCTGACTATGTTTTTTTCATGTTTTGTAGAAAGCGCTATCAGCTACTCACGTTAATGGTGATGGATCAGTTTGGAAACGGGCAACCGGTACAATACTCGGTGAACGAGCGTAATGCAGACTGGTATATGGTCAAGGCAATTGAGCATTTCCAGGCTATGAACGAGTGGGAGCGGACGATAGTGGTCATGGTGGATAAGGACTAGAATGAGGTTGAAGTGTTGAAACGGATGCTGCCGAATTGTCGGATCTTGCTGTGCCATATTCACGTGATCAAGTGGTTAAAGAAGGCGATTCGAGATGACAAGAAGTACGGAATTTATTCCAGCGAGGTCCTCAAGCAAATGGACTTTTGCGTGGCGAACATGGTTTACTCTCGAACGGACAAGAGTTCAGAGCTGAACTCCCCTAGAACTTGCTAACAGATTAAACAGGTGTTCAGACGTTTGTCTCTCATTTGCCTATTCTTCTCTGTAACCGGCAAGTCGGCTCTTCTGCCGACTGCCCTGCTGCAAGGAGCGACTGCTCCACTCAACACTCCGTAAGGCCCTGCGCGCATAATACGTCGCTGAAGTAGTGGGCTACAATGAGACGCAAAAGCTAGGACTTTGCGAACTCCAATCTTTTCTCGACACGTTTGAGGTGCGCTTCCGACGACACTCCAAGAAAACCATCTCAGTGGAGGTCCGTGTGCCGATGGAGCAGACGATAACGTTTCGGCTCACGCTGGAGGTGGCTCGAAACGCATTGCAGGCGATCAATAGGGCTGGGACAGAGGATGTGGATGCAGCGCATGAAGGTCAAGCATCTCGGTACGTCATCGATATTGAGGGTGCAGGTGAATTCTCCGACCAAACGTTTGCAGCAATGCATTACCTGGGAAACCTGGTCAATACCTGTAAACAGGGATCACAGTGTTACTCATGGCTAATGACGTCTATCGACGCACTGCTTGCTAAACGCAACGATGATAATGACGAGGAGGATACGGCAGCGCTGCGCTTGGAAAAGCAAATGTACCAGACGTGGCCTCATGAGAAACTTGTCGGATTTGGCTTCAACTTGGAAAGGTCTTACGTTTACTGCGCTCGCGAACAAACATGGTTCAACGACCTGATCATCGAGACATTCATGAAGACGCTGTGTGAGAAGTACGGTAACAACAAGACCATCCTCTTGCCACCGATCCTTCTTCCAGACAAAGGAAACAAGGGAAAACGTGTACCACAGGGAATTCGGAACGCTCTGGAGACAGCAGCAGAAGACTTTGCCTTCTTGCCAATCAATCTGATCAGCAGTCACTGGGTTGCGTAGTGGTGGACAATGCCAACGGTCACCTATACTGTTTCGACAGTGTCGACAAACGGACGCACCAACTGCTGCAGGAGATATCGACAGAGATTATTGGAACAACGTTGCGTGGGTTTACGCAGACAACTATCCACAGCCCGACACAAAAAGATAGCGACAGCTGCGGGCTGTTTGTGTGCTTGTTCTTTTGAAAGAAGATGTGGAAGGAAGCCGGGAGCTACTACTCGCACCTAGGACTACGGCGCTGGCGCAGGGAGATTCTCAACGCAATAGTCGTTTTTAGCAAGAAACGCATGGAAGATAACGCCATGGAGACGCTGCTTCAGAGCTGAGGGTGAGACTCGAAGGGATGTTCTCCTAATGCAATTGCCCGGAGTGAATGCAGTACATAGTTCAAAGGGAACGGTCACTGTTTTTTTCACGAAGCCGTTGCTGGTGTCGTACCAGGTTTAACTCCGAAATACATACATGAGTGCACACTTCGTCTCTCTGTAATCGCTAAGTCTTCTAGCAGGGTTTACCCAGGTTTGTCCGTGTTTGATCCTTATGGGTACGGTCTCATTATGTCCGAGATAAGCGGTCACGATGCTATTTAGCGAACGACGCCCTCCACCGGACAGATGAGGTTGGCTTCACAAAGCCGACGACGGCATTTGCTGGTCTTGATTTTTCCAATGTACTGTCAACAGGTATTGACCACTGGTCACTAGACGATTCTGCACCCTGGTGCAGAATCGTCTGATTGAGATGATGATGTGATCGTACATCTGGCTGGGCATAAATAGCTACATCTTCACCAAAGAACATGCCGAAAATATATTACGGAAGGCTCGATGAGATATAATCTCAACATGGGCAACACATGGACTCGAACATGGAGAATTCATGGATACAATACATGGGTAGGATTACCTGCCTCATAAAAATCAGCATTGTGAGTCAGTGGGGGCAGGATATATGCATGGGCGGACAGGTCAAAGAGTAAATTTTTGCTGAGGATGTCGAGATTAGTAGCGTCGTTATCGTCAGCTAATGTGCCAAAATACGCGGCACATGTCCAGGTAGTTTGGGCCCTCAGAAGATTCGCTAATCTATGGCGACTGAGTCATTCAGTTGGTTTGCTAGAATCACCAGTAAAGATCCATTAAGGGTTTTGGCCAGTTTAGTAGAATTGACCAGTTTAGTAGAACCAGTAATATTGCAGAAATAATGAAATACGTGCTATAAAACTCTTCCCACGCGTTTCCATATGGTAGTTTGATACAAAGACCAGTATTATTCCGCTCTACTAAACTGATCGCAGCATACTGTAGGCATGTTTTCTTTTGCGCGCTACAATAGCACTTTCATAGCTGCTAACTGTGTCTGGATTGGTGCACATGTTAGAAAAAATCTAGGGCTTTCATTGTGTACACGTTTTATCTCCAAAAGATTTGTAGGTTTCAAGAAAATACTTTTTCAAAGTAAAAAATTCAGTTTGCTCTACTAAACTGGCCAATCCCCTTACTACCATTTTACTACTGAAGTGCAGTTGCAGCGGGCCTACCACCAGCTATAGGAGACGAAGAATCTTCTGCTGTGGTGAGCTAAATCTACGGTCTGTGATCAGAACCCAGTTAATTTGTCCTCCTCGTGTTACGGGTGACGCCGCCATCGAGTCGGTGGGAGTACTTGTTCCAGGCGTTGAAGAACTTCTTGTTCTTAGTGAACCCTCGCATTTGGTTGAGGATTTTCTGGATCGCAGCCATCCGCTCCTTCTTGGGCGCAGCAGCCCACATACTGAAGAGTTTGTTCCGCTGCTTCTTGTTGCCGTTCCGCGCGCGGTCGAGCATGTTCTTGTTGAGTAGGTCGTCAACCTTGAGGTTCTCGGGCTTCAGCAGTCCAGCAGGGAGCTTGGCTCGCTCTTCGCTGTCCTCGGCATCGTCGAGAATATCGTCGCTTCGGAGGAACCGCTTGGCCGCGTCAAGCGCCTGTGCTTCATCGACTGCCGGCACTGAGTCGGAAGAGACCAGCTGAGTGGCGGACGCCTAAGCTCTATTGCTGGACGCGACGAGAGCGAGAGCGGCAACTAGCAGGAACTGGCAGATGCGCATGATTCGACTTGGATGGCAGATTATAGCAGGACTTCAGTGCCGCGAAGCAAATTGAGAAATGAGGACTTGTCGGCGGTTGGAGGCCCTCCCATCCGTCCATCGATCGGCAGCAAGCTCCCAATCGCCGCATCAACTCACCAGGGCATAAGGGCATAATCATTCAGTAATACATGTAGGTACTGTAGAAATACCAGCCAGTTCAGCAACCAGCTTTGCAACCGTCATCTCATTGGTTAAAAATGGAGTACCAGGTAATGTGTCACTTTGCTGCAGCCCTTTGAGGTTGCTTTATGAGCAACGCGCTGTGAAATGAGCTGAATAACTCTTGTGCATGTAGTACTGACTGCGAGAACCTCTTTGTAATACACTAGCGTCGCCCTCGTAGGTGCAGTACCGACCGCGAGAACTGGTCACGACCTTGTACTTCTTGAACGCCTTAACTTTCTTCAACAAAGCGGCAACAGCTCACGGGTGCAAGCAGTACTGTGGTGTAGTTATTAGGCGGTAAACGAGAATCGAGCTGACGACCAAGCTTCAGTGGCGACCCGAGTCGTCGGGACATGTTCAGCAATGTTCGGCGGATGCTGATTGGCCATTCTGGACCGGTGCCGAAGACTCGTCGACACCCAAGTTCGAGATCCAGGACTTCAAGTACGATCCGAACCTACAGCGAACTTTGACCCGAGATCCGCACTTAAGACGACCGTTCGAGCCCCGGCGACTGCTCCAAGTCAGGGAACCCCTTCATCGTCCAATAGAGTCATCGAGAGGCCTCTTGGGGCGTCGAGGAGGCTCTGAAGGGTCGGTGGTTACTTGGGAAGATCCAAAACGGACACGTTTATACTAGATATTTGTATTGAACCATAGGAAAGAGAAGATAGAACAGATAAGCCCTTTGGGCAACAAGAACAGAACAGCTTTTCCTCCCAACCACTCAAGGAAGACGTCCGGGCTATCAGTAAGTTCCCGTAGCAATTGGATAAACCTGTTGGTAGGATTATGACTGTCGGTGGACGCGCCTGCTAGTATCGTAGCGTGCGTTTACCCGTGGTCAGGCCAAGAGTAGTGAAGAAGTGGCCGTGTATACGAAGGGCGAGTCATCGCCGAGTAGTGGAGGAGCGAGAGCGCACTCCATTTATCCTTCCCGCCGGAGTATAGCTCCGGTACCCTCGTATCAAGCCGTGACTGGCTGGGACCCTTCCTTCCTGAGGGCCTGCGGGGTTTATATTGCGTGTGAGAGCGTGTCAGCCTTTGCTCGTGGCTGGTGACGCTGGGTTTCCGTCAGTTGACTAAGCGGAAACACGGTGCACAGAGGAAACATCAACCTGGTGCAAGGGAAAGCTCCTGGGCCTTCAGGTTCTAACCCTAACAAGCCCATTGAGTCATCGGGACTTGGTGGGTGTTGTTGGTGGGGAAAGTGTGCTATTATATAATTTAGTGCGTGTTCCTACACGACAACTGGTGCCGCGACCCGGGATTGGTGTGACCTTCTGTGTCTCGTGTTACAGCAGGTCAACTGACGTTACGAGCAACAACCAAGAAGAAGAAGAAGAAGAAGAAGAAGCTGATGAAGAAGAACATGGCGACAGGATCTCAATCCGCGGTACCAGCAACTCCGATGAAGTCCGGCGGAACGCGCGGCGACGACTCGACGGCGGTCTTGATCACACCGCAGCCCGACCCGATTGCTGAGCGCAACGTCAGCTTCGACGAGCCGATGACTGGATCCGACGCCAAGGATGAAGAGATGGATGAAGAATACGACGACTACCTGGAGGAGAAGGCGCCTGAGCCAGCGGTGGTGACACCCGAGACTCCGTAAGATGCAGTGATGTCCGCCGTGCGCAGCGGGGGCTCGCGCTCTCTGGCGTGAAGTCTTGCGAGCGAGGTGGAAGACGATGCGCCTCCCATAACGCGCAACCTCGCAGACGAACGGGATGATTTGAACAGCCCCAAACGTGCCGACTATGGCCCGGGTGCATTTGAAGACAGCGGCAAGGAGGCATTACATGCACGTGCCCTGAAGAACCCACGTGACGGTGGCACCGATGACTCAGCGGATCCGGGGACGACGAGTGACGGTTCTGACGGCTTGCCAGGGGGCAATGATCCGGAACCGAGCTCCTTGGGACCGGGCAGAAGCAGTCAAGTCGCTCCCGACGACTCGCCAGCCGATCCACAAGTGGCCGAAATTGCCTCCGATCAACCCTCGATAACTCAGTTCCCGACTGTGGCGACAAACGGTGACACTCCGGATTTGAAACCGCATTGTGACCTGACCAATGAAGCACCGACAACTCATCTGGTCCCCCGTTACGACGCACACACTCCCCTCGCTATGCCGGAGCATACCTGTATGTCGGTGATGGGCGTACTGGGCATGGACGAGGATGATGTGACAAATGACAGCGCGTGGCTACCGACTGGAAGTTTCCCGACGACTCCTACTGCGCAAAGCCTCTCACATACACGGCTCCCGAATAGTCATACGGGGTGCGTGGTATCTTTCGCGGGCTTGACACAGCCTGGACAGTATGGTGCAGGTGGAAGCTGTGCATGGATTGTGTGGCGCCTACCGGAGTGGAAATTGATGATTGCCGCGAACGCTTACCTCGCCGACACGACGAGCCACCTTGCCCAGAGCGCCGGTATGACATACGGCGTGCTGGCGGCTTTGCAACTCGGTGCCGACGACTTGGTGGTTGTTAGCAATTCAAGGCTGGCGTTGTTGCACTCGCTAGGGGCAGCTGATTCCGGGGCGATGACTCAACCAAGTTACCACGAGGAGGTCAAGGCCCGACTGCGATCTGTGAGATACATTCACGTCGCACAGGAATGCAATGCTGCCGCTGACTCGCTAGCTTCTGAATCGTTGGAATCTCAGACGTCGAAGGTGGTTTTGAGTGGCGATAGGATGGCCGCGCTCTGTGAGCTCAACCAACTCCAAGCTGTGATCTACAAAACCGATCCGGACGGGATATCCCCGCAGAACGTGCTTCCCGGTGATTCTTTTCGGTTCCAAGATCTCCCCAGCAGTAATTCGAGGAGCATTGAGCCTACCATGGCTGCGCCGATGACTCGTTCACAAACCACGCCCAAGATGAAGCTGCTGATACGGACCGACAAGTCAATGACACCAATCCCGACGACTGGTGAATCCGGATTCTGCGCAGACAGTGCAAGTCAGCCGGAGCACGGACAGCCTGACAGCATGCCGAGTTCTCGCGTCAACTGGGTCAGCCGCATCCGGCCGTACATGGAACGGGGCAAACCGACTGATGAAAACAAGGTCGCTACGTGCAAGGCTCTGCTGTCTACAAGCGCCAAGGTTGCTACACGTGGACTGTGCCGAAAGAGTGTCGAGGCTGTGAGCAACGCCTAGCACCTGCTCGCGACAACTCAACCTCACGGTGAACTGCGCCTGGGGCAATGCAGCCCAGGAGTGCAGACGAAAATGGCTACTGCAGCTTTGCATGCTACATGGATATTGAACGCGAATGATGCGGATGGAGAATCCCGATTGGAACGAACTACAACGGGTCCCGACAACTCAAGGGCAGTGCTGGCGAAGACTTGGTGTGCTTGGAGCTCGGACGGAGGTGCGCTGACAACTGCCGATGACTCGAAGCACCTGAAGCAGGATCTACGCTGGGTCAGGCGCGCTACGGCAAGATGGTGGCTGAGGAGTTTTTGTGAGGACCGGATCGGCCGCAGGAACTTGCTGAAGCCTATGCGCAAGGAGCTACCGCAGTCTACAGCCTCACCAAGCTCGTCCAGGTCATCACGCATCACGATGCTGATCATCGTATGGTTCCCGAGAACCGGGTGGTTGTACAGAATCAAGCCGAGCGGTCATGGAGTGTCGTGCCGTTGTCTACGAAGCAGAGTCTGACGAAAGCGAGGATGCCACCTCACCAAAGGTCGTCGAACGACGGCGAAGGCGGACAAGATGTTGGCACTGTACCGGACGAGGTCGGAGACACTATGCGGCGGTCGCCAACCCGGCCCCGACGACTCGGTGCGAACCCGAGTTATGGAACCAGGTAAGCCTACAGCAGCGAGCCACCGGCGGGACATTACGACGGCGCAGACGCCTACCAAGCACGCAACCGGGGCAAACAACACCAGACGTCGTTAACAGCGAGAGGAAGCAGAAGCAGAACGCACCACGACGCTCGCCACCATGTGGTTCGCATAGTGGTGGGGGCAGCTGTGGTGTAGTGATTAGGCGGTAAACGAGAATCGAGCTGACGACCAAGCTTCAGTGGCGACCCGAGTCGTCGGGACATGTTCAGCAATGTTCGGCGGATGCTGATTGGCCATTCTGGACCGGTGCCGAAGACTCGTCGACACCCAAGTTCGAGATCCAGGACTTCAAGTACGATCCGAACCTACAGCGAACTTTGACCCGAGATCCGCACTTAAGACGACCGTTCGAGCCCCGGCGACTGCTCCAAGTCAGGGAACCCCTTCATCGTCCAATAGAGTCATCGAGAGGCCTCTTGGGGCGTCGAGGAGGCTCTGAAGGGTCGGTGGTTACTTGGGAAGATCCAAAACGGACACGTTTATACTAGATATTTGTATTGAACCATAGGAAAGAGAAGATAGAACAGATAAGCCCTTTGGGCAACAAGAACAGAACAGCTTTTCCTCCCAACCACTCAAGGAAGACGTCCGGGCTATCAGTGAGTTCCCGTAGCAATTGGATAAACCTGTTGGTAGGATTATGACTGTCGGTGGACGCGCCTGCTAGTATCGTAGCGTGCGTTTACCCGTGGTCAGGCCAAGAGTAGTGAAGAAGTGGCCGTGTATACGAAGGGCGAGTCATCGCCGAGTAGTGGAGGAGCGAGAGCGCACTCCATTTATCCTTCCCGCCGGAGTATAGCTCCGGTACCCTCGTATCAAGCCGTGACTGGCTGGGACCCTTCCTTCCTGAGGGCCTGCGGGGTTTATATTGCGTGTGAGAGCGTGTCAGCCTTTGCTCGTGGCTGGTGACGCTGGGTTTCCGTCAGTTGACTAAGCGGAAACACGGTGCACAGAGGAAACATCAACCCGGTGCAAGGGAAAGCTCCTGGGCCTTCAGGTTCTAACCCTAACAAGCCCATTGAGTCATCGGGACTTGGTGGGTGTTGTTGGTGGGGAAAGTGTGTTATTATATAATTTAGTGCGTGTTCCTACACGACAGTACTGCTGTGGGGTCCTTCCATACTGATTTTATGAGTCTGTAGCCGCGGGACGGCTTCCATTTCACGCAGATTGCTACTGTGCGGTAGGTCTGGCGGGCTGGCTTTTATTTGTGTGAAGATGTCTGAAATGATGACACAGTTTACCTGCGTTCTCTCATCTCAGTGAGAGCTGGATAGAGTGTGCCTCTGGTCCTACCTAGTAGCCGTAGATGAGAAAGTGGTAGAGGTAGCCTGCATGAAATCGTACGGGTTGTGCAGCAGCGCGGAGCTAGCTCTACGGGTAGCCCCGCCGCCATAACAGGCCTTCGGCTCCGACGTGACCTCCTACTACGTGCAGGTACGACAGTATGAGCTGGTTCGACCAGCGATGGAAAGCTCCTGGCCGCCGTAGGCGGTGCCACGGCTTGCCACGGTGATAAACGCTTTGCAACCCTGCATAAACGAATTCACTTGTGTTTTGTATACTGTCTCCCATACGGCGTCGTTTTGCTACCGTGACTTGCAGTTTGTATAGGAGTTGAGTTGCAAAACAGACTAATACTTGCTACCGTGTGCGCAACCGAAGTTGCAAGCGATACCGTACCATTTGGCTACAGTACAAGCAATAATCCTGGTCGATACCATGCAGCTGGCCAAACAGAGGTGGCGATTTCTAGAAATACAACCTGGGTTGCAAATGGCCGGTAATGTAACTGTACATCGTGAATTCAATTTTCAAAAGGACGGCAAGAATGGGAATGATTCTTGAACGGATTTTACAGGACATTACCAGGACACCCAAAATTGTAGTATTTTGTCCAATCAGAATTAAATTAACATAGCATCGCAGTTTTGCCTGTGTTTGGCCTCACCGCAACAGCAAACATGCCATAGGCTGCCCCACCTGCACAATACTATAACTTTACCTCTTCATCATCAAGAAAAGCTGGCCGAGACTGGGCCGGCGTAGGCGGTTGTAATTTATTGCCGAGTCGGCGTTGAAGCACGCTAATACGACCAGCTCTTCTTCGACAAGGACATCGTCAGCGATATGGCGCTCAACAAAAGTCTAATACTATGCTCACCACCCACGCCGATGACTCCGTCCTACTCGCATCAGGAAACAAGTGGCCGAGGGCTTCGAGTACAGGTGATTCGGTCTCGGGTGGCATTCTGGCCTGGATCTCGACGGGCAGGAGATGACGCGCGCAGACCAGCAACCATCAAGACTGAGGGCTCGCTACGGTAGCGTCGTGGGCGACTTCGTTGAGGATGATCACGATCACGACAACTAGCTGGTACGGCAGCTCTGGTATGGGCGTTCGGTGGAGGCTCAAACGTGGGCGGCTTCAGCGGGTCAGACCCTAAGGGAAGGTGCTGCAATTGCTCTTCGCTATCCAGGGACACTACACATACAACAGTCATGGCAAGCATCGACACAGCGTGTGCCCCCGCAATTAAATGTTGCGATTAGCAATGGGTAATGGAGAGCTATTGTTTGTACATCTTTCAGCGTTCATATACGTACTGGTTCGACTCGGCGTTACTGCTGACTTAGTTAAAAAAAAAACTGTTGAGAATGTATGAAATGTATGGCTGAGCTTAGATTTCTTTAACTGGTACGACTAAAATGCTCCTTGGTCTACAGAGCGAGCCATGAATACTGTATCTTCCTGGTGGGCACGCTACGCTAACGGACACCACGTGTGTGTTATATTCTGCTTGGCGCATTAGCTCGGAAGTTTGCTGCATTGCGGGTGCGGCATCCGCAATGCAGCAAATCTTGCAGGACATGTTGTCCTGCAAAAGCACTAAAGATTGACTTTGCCAAGCTTGTGCCAATAATACTAGATTTTGTGTAGGATTTGACGCCGGGATGTTTCGATTTGGAAAATACAGGACATTCCGTCCTGCGCTTATGCTCGTGAGCCATATCGATGTCCTGCAAAATCTGGAGAATGGGCTTTGATCTCCACGAAAGATCATATCACGAATGCTTCAAGCCAGGATGTGGGACTCGTGGTACAATAACGTACTGTACTGTTCATGATGTTACTTCCCTTCACGATATCGAAGTGTGCCAACACAAGTTGAGGCCACCTCGTACACTATACGGTACACCAACACCAGTCAGTAGCCGACATCCGAGGGACCCCGTCATCCTACAGCTACGGCCCCGTAAGCTGCGTGCCGCGCAATCTGCGAGACCTTATAATCGAGTGATGCTGGAAAGCTGGTTGTGCGACAAGTTCGACCAACAGAGATTCGTATTAGCTGCGGTTCTGCTTGTTGCGTACAGGGATACAGAAATGCTCTACTCGGATACACTGTACAGTACTGCATCATACAGTACTCTCTACCCAGACGTCATACATGGACTTTGAAGAACTGGAGCTCCACAACGAGGCAACGCTTGCTTGCCTGCTAGCAGATGTGCACCCGCGGAAAGATGGTCAAGTACGTCACCAAGGGGAATTTCCTGCAACTTGCACGACGTTCTTTCAAGCCTTCTATGCCCTTGATGCCATCGAAGGCTTGCCCCCGGACCGCGTCTGGAGCTCAGGGATATGGAGCGATTGAGTGTCCGTGGCACCTCGAGTCACGTCAATTGGCGCGTCAACACGAATATTGGTATCATGTTAAGGAGGACACATGCGGCCTCTATAGTGTCCACCAAACTTACCTAAAGTGTCCTTGAAGACACTCCACCTCATTACCTAAATTTCAGCCAATCACAGCAGCGTCTCTGATCCCAGCCACACAATCGAAAAGAGTTCTTCCCTCTACACAAGATGCAGCTTCTAGCACGTCGCGTCCGCGCTTCCCTGCGCGTCCACAGGGCGCCCCACCTCACGCAGCCACTCGCCCCTTCAGTGCATGTACGTGTTGCACCCCCACCTAAAAATTCGCAGCGTGAAATACTTAATAACGTGTCCAAAATGTCGCTTGACGCAATGTATCATTCTGTATAGCACTATTCGTCCTCCCCGGACCCCAAACCGTCCATCCTCGATGGGCCCGAAGGCATTCACGCCTTCGCCAGCCGCGCCACACAGCGTGTCACCACGCATATGGACAGATACCGCGAACACAGCGTCTTCCCGCCGTCCAACTGGGTGATGCAGAACTACCTGCTTTTCGCCAAGCTGCAGCTGCCCACCAACACGGAGATCGACGCCGTGGACTTCCTCAACGGCGCGCGCTTCGCCTGCGACCTGGCAGTCAACACGATGTACTCGAGGGAGTTCGTCAACTTCGCCACGGGGGCCATCTCGGCGTCCCCCGCCGCGGACAAGATGAAGTCCGGCCTGTCCGAGGGCTGCTACGACGCCTTCCTCTTCGCCATGAAGCAGACGAACAAGACGGGCAACACGTTCACGCTCAAGCAGCTCGAGATCAACGGCGTGTACTTGTACGACGTGAACTGGGACAGGATGTCGCTGGCTGAGCTGAAGCAGGAGGGGGCGCTGGAGGCCTACAACCGCGCGCAGGTGGCGGAGTTGGAGAAGCAGGAGGAGCAAGGAGAGGCGAAGGACAGCGAGGAGAAGGTCGTGGTGAACCCCATGGCGGACGTGGCCCCCGAAGACCACGCGACCATGATCGAGAGGTTGCGCCTCGACGTGTTACTGGATAGCGTCGAGCACTTGGAGATCGTGACGGCCGAAGGGGAGGACCAGACGCTGGGCAAGAAGTCGTCGGCGGTGTGGCGCTTTGAGTCGCTCGTAACACAACCCGATGATGTGGACTGGCGGATTGTCAGCGTGTTCTAACTGCATTAACTTAGAGGTTGTAAGCGTGGGCACAATGGGAGGCTAACCAGCAAAGGGTGAACCAGTCGAGTGAGTGGCAGGGGTTGTTTATTTTTCAAATGGAGCCACTGACTGCCAACTGGTACGGTCGGCTCCCTCTTTTTAGGCGACGCACGTGCTTTTCATGACTGAATCGATTCACTTGCAGTCGCTGGAGACGCGTGCGAAGACGCTTGGCATATTGACTCGGCCGCAGTCCATACCCCTGTTCATCAAGCCAACCAGAGCATCCTTGCCTGCCTGGAGCTAGACTTCGGAGTGACAGCGAGTGGGCCGCCATACACTGCGGGGATTGGATCCTCGATCGACTGACCACCGGATTTATCACCACCTTCATTTCAACCATTGGCCGGCGCTCCCCGTTGCGCATGATCTTCGACCAGGCGCTCTCCAGTTCCGGTTCACGCTTGGTACTTTGCTTTATGAACTTCCCACGAGAGGACGCTGGCCCAGTCGCCGAGGTTGAGCTCCGTGTCATCAGCTGCAGCCAGTTGCACAGGAGCAAACTTCTCGAGCTTCAGAACAATGAAATCGTTGATGAGCTCGCTATACGACGGGTGCATGAACATGCCCGACATCTTGATCGGCTCCCCCTCCTTGATGCTGTTGTGGTGGTGCATCCCGACGACCGCCCAGCCGGATCATGAAAGATGCAACTCGCCGCTGTGAGCACGTGGGTCGGATGTGGTTGGACCGTTCTCGTAGAAGCGAAGAGCGACGAAGTTCGTCTTTTGACCGACTGGAACGACAGTCGTTTCAACGGTACCGAGGGACCTGTCGTGGCCAACGCGCTGGTAGAATGCACAGCAGCGATGATGGGGAGGGACGATACCGCGAGAGAGGAGAGGAAGTGCATTGTAGTCATAGTCACAGTGGGTAGTGCGCTTGAGGTTGGACAAACTCGATTGCCTTTGATGAACGAGTATCGCGGGAAATGCGTAGTGTTACGCCCTAGAGAGCATGCTTGGGTCGCAGATTGAACAAGCTGCCTCGCTCACTCGCTGCTGAGAGCTCGGATCGTACGTCTTTGTACAAACCACTGGCTAAGGTGGTAACGCATCATGGTACAATTTCCTATATATTGTCAAGTTGGCTGTCAACCCATCTTTCACCACTCCAGTTATGATTCTCAGTGTTACTGCGTGTTTACACTTGATGAATCACTGTTGACGCGGTTATCATGAGCTTGTCGAGCAACAGTGAGCTTCAAGAATTCGTTTCACTACGCCGGAAATTGTGTCGAGGGCAATCTGCAATCGTGGAAGGAGGTCGCTGCCAAGCTGCGATTAGATACTTCAAGCTCATCGTTTGATTACAGGACGGGCCAATTGGTTGCTGTGCATGAACCAGAGCAAGCTTGTTACTTAAGTAGCAAACTGCTGCTACATACTGTAGGTACAAGTTCCCCCCCCCCCAGTTTTTTTCAGACTGCGTGGATCGACTCACCCGAGTGACCGTTTCGGCTATCGCAATCGCGATGGTGGTTGAAACCTCAGCTACCACTGCGCTTAAGAATTCTTCCCCTCCGAGCGAAAACCTGTTCCTATCTGTCGGTTTGTAACTTGTATTACTGGGAAAGCCTTTCCATAATGGTGGGCTAACAGCTTGAATTGGTAACGAGAAGCTGTGCCTCGGGTCATTTCTTTTTAGCGTTTCGCGCCAGTGGCACCACATAGCACACTACCAATCACACTGGGATGGTCAGCAAATCGGAGCAAGGCAAAACATCCAAGTCCTCGCCATGATGAACCACCCGAACTACTCCGTCGAGTGAATCAACGTAATTTCCTTCCTTCCGGATTTTTCGGAATCCCATTGGCGATTCCTAAGCTTACTGTCCGAGGAGATGCAGATGCTGTGCCACAGCAGCTGTGGGAATGAAAGGAAACAAAACCAAACTTGTATGGTATTATCGCGAAAGGGTTAACATGATAGTACCGCCCTTCCTTTTAAATTATGCACTGTTCGTCTTGTGCGAAATACCCTCACCATATCTTTCAGTACTTTATTTGACATGAGGGGTTACATATAATTTTTGTGCCTTTGGGTAGCCCGTACACCGAGCTTACTTTTAGCCAACTAATTGGCGACCTACTTGTTGGCTATTGTCGCATTTTGAGTAGGTGGGCTTGGAAGCTGCTTTCCACTATCGAAATAATGCTTGGTGCGTAGGCTGCTGGGTTCGAACCGACTTAATCACAGATTTTTGGAAAATGACCTTTTATTTGAGCTTACAGTTGATCAAACTCACAGGTTAGATGTGTTGAAGAGAGAGAGAGAAAAAGGTCGTAGCTAGTTGAGCTCGCTGCTTAAGCTGGTTCATGGCTTGCTCGATGACCTGAACTGGCATACTTCGAAGTATTAGTTTCGGTGACCGGCTCGTCAATTGCTGTGTAAAGTATAATACAACTGCCGATTATCACCCGTTTCAAGGTGTTTGCACACTACACTGTACTATGTATCGGACTCACTCATCCCAAGGTTGGATGTGCTGGAAATCTTAACTTTGAGATCATTGATCAATGCCGCAGTGAAATCACTGCTGGCGTGATTAAGCTCTGTTTAACCAGTCTCCTCAGGCGAAACCATGCGGCAATTCAATCGCCTGACTTCTACCTTTCAGGAGTTTTAGCGGCGAGCCAGGTATGGACATACGTGCATTCCAAGTTTTGCATCGAAGTCCTCCAGCCTCAATGCTTTCCATTGTTATCGGTTTCACACTCGCGTTCGCTGGCATAGTGTGTCCTGTTGATAGCCATTCTATTGCACGAGCAGCCTGAGCGCAAGCTAATCGTCGGTGGGGAGATTCTTCAACGCGGCGCCAAGTCCTACACTGCTGGTCTTGGATCCACAGCCGCTGGTGGGAACTTTTGTGGCGGATCGCTTGTCACCCCCAGCCATGTACTAAGTGCAGCGCACTGCATCGAAGGTGGGATCCGCTGGGTTTCGATTGGCTTGCACTACATCAACGGCACTCAAGACGGCGAGCAGATTCGAGTTGTGTCCATCCCTGGCCACCCCAATTACTCGACTAATGTCCACCAAATGTGGAACGACTTCGTGGGGCTGGGTCTTGAGAGACCGAGCCAGATCAAGCCTGTGAAGATCGCTGCCGCTGACGGATCGGACATCAACCCTGGAGAATTCGCCGCTGCAATCGGGTGGGGGAGAGTCGACGAAAACGCAACCACATCGTACGAACTTCAGTCCGTAAAGCTACAGTTGCTGAGCTACGACGAATGTTCCAAGGTGCTGGATATCGACGAGTGCGCTGGCGGGCCGGGCAAGAGTCCGTGCTATGGTAACTCGGGTTGTCCTTTGGTGAGGGAGGCGCCAGGCGGGGACGATGTTTTGATTGGCGTCGTGAGTTGGGGCGACACTTGCGGAAGAGATGGAACCCCAACAGCGTTTGGAATTGTGTCGCGAGTTCGAGGGTGGATTGAGTCGCTTACGGGGAAGCTTTAACGTACTGTAAAACTTTGTAGAATTGGCTGCGGTAATCCTGCGAAATTCGGACACAGATCTGCGATCAAAGACAACTGCATCAGAGAAGCTCCGAAATTATTTCCTGCAATTTGAAAATAAGGAATTCGAAACGCAGTACAAGTTTCTGGAAATATCTACTATTAATACGTAGGATTAGTAGAAATCGGCATATACTAAGTCTAAAGGACTGCTTCAAGAAATCACTCATGGTCGTCATCAAAGTTTCAGCGCAACCTGCATCAGCCATGCGTATTAGGCCGGCCAATTTACAGCGCGTATGAATAAGTCAAGTTGTTATCGATTTTGCGAACTTTCATTAATTGCCTGTCACTCTCAATACTACTGTCTTAGTGGAAGCAGACACCACTGGCAACGGACTCGATCCATGCCCGTGCACTTGACACACTAGAGTAGATACTAGGGTACCCCGGTTGACCACAGTCGTTACCCCAGCTTACGACACCCACCACAACATCACCACTGGGGCGCTCCACAACCACAGGGCCCCCGTAGTCACCCGTGCAAGAAGTTTCATTGGCTACTCCTCGCGAGCACAGCATCGTGTCATCAATGGTTGTCTCCTTGGCGCAGTTGGCATTGCTCATCAATTGAACATTAGCGCGTGAAAGCTCATTCGCCATTGTGCCTTCGCCCGCAGTGTCCCAGCCCATTTTCGCGGCCCACTCGCCGTCCTTCACATCGGAGTCATCCGCTGTTGCAAGCGCTACGGGTTTGAACTTGCTCGGTCTCTCCAGCTTGAGAATTGCAACATCGCTTGAGAAGTTCGCGCTCGAGCTCTTCGGGTGCTGCAGTATCGCCACGACCTTAATCTGCTCGCCATCTTGAGTAGTGAGAGCCGATCGAGGCCCAGCGAATGTTGCCCGAGTAGCAATACGTACCGGCAAGTAGGTGGGTCGGACTGATAAGGGCGGCAGTGCAGAAGTTGTTCCCCGCCGCACTGGATCGTAGCCCGGCAGCGTAAGTCTTTGAGCCGCTTGGTACGATGCTTGTGGTCTTGGGCGAAATCGGGATGGTTTCGCTGGAGCCATTGGCTGGGGTTAGCTCGGAAACGGAAAGGTTGGAGTACACGTAGCTGGGTTCTGCTTGAGTCTCGTTGTTTCCTGGAGCAACAATGGTTACCGGAGAGGTCGCGTAGCTGGATCCGCCTTGAACGAAAGCGAAAACAACAGAGGCGATGGTAAGAATCGAAGTTAGCTTCATGTTTTAGCAGGGCTCTGTAGCCAAGGAAAACGAAAACTGAACGGTTTGGCCACGCAACAACAGCAAAGGGCTTGCTAGCAAGCCCTAAGGGTTGTCCTTGTGGGGAGCATAGCCTCGACAGGGGTTGCAAAGGTGAGTCACGGTTCAGCCATGAAGAGTGAGTTAGGAGCTATGCTGCGGATGTGCTGTGCTGCGGATGTGCTGTGGCGGCAGGCACAAGTGTTCGGCTGCATGTTTGTAGGACTGTTTCCTTGGTAAAGCTGTCTTAAGACCTTAATAGATAGCTGGTGTATTCTTGCACTTGAATCCTTGTCGCCAATGTCAAAATAGTGCCACGAATATTACATGCACTGAAGGTGTGGCTCGTAAAGCGAATCCACGGACTATGTACATGTACAGTACTACTGTAACAGTAATACGATCGGCTTCAACAACACGAACACCCCAGCTTGAATGGTGAGTCGGGTATACATGTACATGTTCATGTTATCTTTCACTTATGTAGGGAGATAGAAAAACTTATACAGAGTGATTTTTTACGGGTCCAGATCCACGTTTCAATACTACTACTAATAAATAAGAACGTGCATACTGGTACTGGATGCAGCAGCAACGAGAGCGATCTTGATTACCCCGGACACAGGTATAGTAATCCACGTTCTTCTCAATATACTGTACGTTCACATCTAGGGTACGTGCCCCTGAAGTTTTGCGGACTATCGATACCAATTAACTTTTATTACAATAACGATTGTACATATAATTTTGATCGATGTCACTAAACAAGAACTATTTTACTTAAGTAAGTCGAATTTCTTAATCGACCTGAAAAAGAAATCGACTTGCAATGTATTATGTGATAGAATAATAAACCTGCATGTATTATACAAGTCACATCTATTGTGAAAACCGATTAGTTTGTCCTGCTGAATTGACCAGTAAAGCATCGCTCACGGGGGATTTGGAGGTACTAAATCGGGGATGTCTCAATTATAATCGGAGTATAAATCGTTCGTCCGTCTCGTAATTATGTGCATCCTAGCAATTTCGATCAACATACATGCACCTCGGCCCTAGACTAGGCAAGCTCAGCGGCGTAACCGCGCTTAGACCCGTCGCCTCCATACCTCAGCAACCTGTTCCGTAGCGTGTAGATTTTTCGGCTTAGCTGTGCTTTTAGTGGTGTAGCCTTGACTCGTAAACCAAGAGCGACTGCAACGATTGTTGTATGGCGGCTGATTTAGCCTACTGTACAAGGAGCGAATGCCGGTTGCACATCGGACATTCCGTCTGAATTGCAAGCAAATCAGCCGGCTCTGGCTTAATCGACCGATTAGCAAATGTATATTCGACTCATAATATGAGTCGAATTTACTTTACTAATTATTAAGTAACATTTTGTTTGCCGCTGTCTCATATGCTCTGACTCTGTAAGTCGTCCTAGGTAATAATCCTGAGTATAAATCGAGGTACCCCAGTCTAATTAGGAGGTCGGATTTAACAAATCGGGGGTCGTCAGTCTTATTAAGCCACTAAATCGGCGGATTAACAATCCAATAAGACATTCTAATCGGTTTTCACAATAATGATTGCCGCTTGCAAATACTTTGCCCTCTAAAATAGACCTCTAAAATAGACCACGCCTGCCTCTTAATATGAGTGGACACGAGATAGGCGAGGGCTGATTTAGCTTTATGCTTTGGTGGGGGCCGCTTTTAGGCCCAGAAACTCGGTTTGGCCCGTCTAGAATGGCATTTCTGCGTTTTGCAAGTCGTGTGAAACAGACCCCAACCTTGCATCTTAGACCTGTACTGGCGAGATATATAAATCAGACCTAGGTCTTAATTAAGAGCTTGCTAGACTAAAATCAAGATTATTAATGAGATAATAAGCATGCGTTGGCTAAAATATCTGCAAACGGCAATAAGCGTTGGGTTGCTCTATTACACATCCCACTCTTGAGCGGCGTCACAATCTCAATCAAAGCAAACAGCCGTCTCTCTCTCCTGCCGCAAGCCGCACTTCACGTTTCACGCTCTTTTCACGCAACAACCTCAAACGACATTTTGCACTGGACGCGATGAAGGCGTTTCCCACTCTCGTGGTCGCAGCCGTCTGCGCCGCCGGTTCCTGTTATGGTTACGAGGAAAACACCGTCGAGCGGCGCCTTATCCTGCCTGGGTGGCGAGGTTGTCCCCAGCGACTCCAAAACATACATGACCAGTCTTCGCTCGACCCCACGGGCAACAGTATCTGCGGCGGTTCCCTCATTTCTCCGACGCACGTGCTGAGTGCGTCGCACTGCTCGGTCTACGACATTCGTTGGGTCTCCATCGGCTCGCACTACAGAAATGGAACGCAAGACGGCGAGCAGATCCGAGTGGTGTCGCTCATGAACCACCCGAGCTACTCGATGGAGGTAAAGGAATCGCACGACTTCATGGTACTCGAGCTCGAGAGACCCAGCAAGTTTACGCCCGTGAAATTGGCAGCGGCGGACAACTCTGACTTCAAGGCGGGCAAGTGGGCTACTACCATGGGATGGGGTACAGACGCAGAGGTAATGGTACCAACCCGTACGAACTGCAGAGAGTTGATATTCAACTGATGAGCGACGAAGAATGCGCCACGAATGCTGCCATTGACTCAACTATGGTCTGCGCTGGAGGCGTTCAGAACAAGGACTCGTGTTTTGGTGACTCGGGTGGCCCGCTTATCGTTCAAGGGGCGGGTGAAGGAAGTACCGATGACTTACTGATCGGCGTGGTGAGTTGGAGCAAGGATGACACGTGCGGGCGAGAAGGTTACCCCGGTATTTACTCTCGAGTGTCAAGTGTTAGAGCGTGGATCGACTCCATTACTGGTGGAAACGGCACGTGCCTCGGTTAGATGAAGTTACCAACGACCTTCTTCGTAATGGCTAGGTAAATACAGTGATCACATCTATACTTGCTCAAGAAATCCTAAGTAGTATAATACTACGTAGTAGGACGCAGAAGAAGAAAAATAGTGCTGCTTCTATCAGAAAGTGAGTTTGTACTCGAAACACTTAAGCTATATTTAAAAGCTTGTGAATTTTCAAATATATTAGCTGAAAGTAAGCAGCCAGTTTAGTAGCATCAGACTAATTCAAATCGCTTACCTTACTTGATCGAGCTAAATTGACCAATTCAGAAAATATCATATACTGTAGAGTCCGCAATGCAAAATGCTATTGGTTCTTCGTTTACTAGTTTGTTTGTATTCGAGGTCTCCGCCCCTGTTCCTTCTAGACGAAACATGTACTTTTGGTTCCCGAGCACCCGAGACGCGAGCGATAATTGCGAGTTGAGTCAGGTTGCAGCCATAGATCCAGCTTGTGAGACCAACAATGATGTCCGTTGGATTTTGAATAGTGATGGAAGCGCGCACTCGTGCTCCGAGCGCGCGGTGCGCGGCGAGCAGTACCGCGCAGCTCCGAAATATTTCTGAATGCGCGGAATCGGCAGCGTTCCCTCCCCATAGTAAAACTCATAATACTTCGAAGTATCAAAAACACGTAGCAGAGACACGCACTACACACACATGACTCGACAGACCGAACTTTGCCGTAAGTGCGAATGTAGCCATGAACCGATCCGCGCAGAAAAAAGTGAGCGGATCAGTAGCGCTCACTCGGAGCACATTCCCGCGCACTCGGAGCTTGCTCCCATCCAACACTAATTTTGGACAATATGCGATCTGGTGAAACTATGGTACGGGTCTTCATTCGAGCGGCCACAATCACAGATGTTCCACTTGTCGTCGCTTAGATGACTTCGTCTCCGTTCCTGGCTGAGTTACCAGCCCGGATTTCAGCAGATCTCTCCGACCATTTTGTTGAATGTTAATTCTACTAAAGGGGGTCGTATTTGGAAGAAGAAAAAAAAATCGTCAATACGACCATGCCAACAACTCCAAATCCGAATGCTGGCTCAAACAAAACAAGCTAGCCAACTTAATGGATTGATTTGAGCCCCTTCACCGCCCAGGACACGCGCGAGTAGATGGTGGGATACCCCTCGTTACCGCAGCCGATGCCCCAGTTCACCAAGCCGATGAGTTAGTTTTAGTTTTTGGTGAGGTACATTACAGTCATTTAGGAAATCTAACGACTAAGTCAATGTCCGTCTGTCAGAAGCCTACACATCTTCTGTCAGCTTGCTAACTACCGTTGAAGGTGCTAGCACATGCATCCTCCTCAGAGTTGCCTAGTGAGTTCGACCGTCTACCGTCTTCATCCGGGTCTAGATGGGTTTCAATCCATTGTGATACATCGCTCGTGAGTAGTGCTGTCACGGACGACCAGGTCGGGGTAAGGTGCTCGATGTCTGTGTCAAGTACCTGGATGCTGCATTTGGTATCCATCGCGAGGTTCGCCAATTTGTCAGCCGTCTTATTGAAGTGGCGGAGGTGATGCGTCCAGGACGTGATCTGAAGCTGGTCCGCGATAGTTCTGCATTGCGCGTAAATATCTCGCAAGTGAGCAGCCTTGGGAGGGCGTCGCCGCGCCAGATGCGTGAGGATAAGTTTGCTGTCTCCAATCACATGAAGCCCCGTTAGCTTCATCGCCAGCGCTCGCCGAAGGCCCAGTAGTAGCCCCCAGTATTCCGCCACGTTATTCGTCGTGGAGTGCGCTGCGTACGACACGCTCGCCATCCACATCACAACCGGAGAGAGGTCACGGCCACCAATCCGTATGATCACCGACCCCAAGCCACCCGGTCCGGGATTGCCTCTCGAGCCGCCGTCGAAGAAAAGTAAAAACCTCGACGTCTCCAGTGCTCCTGCAGCGTATTCGGGTGTGGTGTCGCCGCCGGCCGTGAGCACCGCATGAGCAAGCCGAGCTGCTTGATGGATATGAGGAGCAGCGGGGGAGCCAAGCGCCCGTTCTCGCAACGTGAGGTACCCTTTTGCTAGACGCCCCGATAACAACGCCATGGCTCGATGCGCCGACATATCCTCGACAGGGTCTCGGCAACGGCTCCTCCATTTCCATATAGCGTGAAGAGTAAGGACGACGCCAAGCCGCCAACAGTCCTGCAATGAGTCTCGGAGTAACCTACGGGCATTGTGTCTGGCAGCATCCGACTCCAAGGCATATTTCGTGTCCAGCAGCGCCCATACCCCAGAGGGCACGATAGACAGGTCCAGCTCGAATATGTCGGCGAGGTGTGACTGTAGGTCCCCCATACCGATCGCTTGCCATGGCGCTAAAAAAACCGTCCAAAGGCGGCCAGCCCCAGCGCACTCCCAGAAAATGTGAGCCGCACCAGTCGCCGTCGGCGACTCGCCGATTGGAGGCAGACCGGAAGAGGACACCCGGGCCTCCCGTGAACCGCATCCCAATATGAAAAGGCCCGTAGCTTCAACCTATAGAGAACTTGTACACTCCAGACGGTGGCCCCTGTGATTCGGCGCAGGTCCAGCCAGTCCACCTTACTCAGTGCCGCGCATATGGCTGGGTGATCCATCTTCCAGTCTGACTTGCGCCCGTCAATATCTTGAGCGCCGTGTCGACGCGAAGTCGCCAGTACAACACGTTTGAAAGTGTCTCTCGTGCAGTTGACACTCGTCCACAGCATAACCACACGCGACAGCTCCGGGTCCGGAAGAACGGATGAAATATCGACATCTGGGCCGGCAAAGCGACGCAACTCCTGCAGCGCTGCAGGCTGTGAGTGGACCAGCACTTCCGCAGGCGGTCCTCGTGCAGCCGCGGTGATGGTCAAGAGGCAGCCAGGCTCTGGGCCGGGAACGTAGCTAGCGTGCGTGATGATTGGGTGGTCGGACGGCGTCGCTACTAGCTGCATCTCCCCCTGGGTAATTTGCGATAAGCGCCACCAGCAGCATTCGAATAGTTGTAGGGCTGGCTCCACGTACATTCCGAACTTCGAGCACTCCCGCCCGTAAAACCGTCCAGTCAATCACGTGTCGAACCAACCGACCTGGTGCGGAGGCCTCACGAGGTAGCAGGCCATGTACATTTCGGTGCCCGCTCGCATCGAACAGCAATAAATGCCTCACCTCTGCATATGGGAGCCACTCGAAGTGAAGACGCCCGTAGTTGACTCTCCAAAACTCCCGTAGTCGTGCTGTCGACTGGCCCAGAAGCCCCGATACATCGACCGTGCAAAAACCACCATGCCACTGCAGGTCGCTCTGGAAAGCCGCTTCCACAGCTGCATATTGTGCCGCTACGTGGCGCCCATGTCCTTCCGCCGGGTCCTGCAGCCCCGCCAGAGTTAACATCTTCGTGCCTGCACGCCACATCGATTGCCCTTCTCGGAAGCCCCCCACATGCGGCCAGAGCTGCCAGGCGTGACGAAAACCCGAGGGGCGTGGAGTGTGGGTTCTCGTGGATGAAGGATATCGCCTACCAGGCGTTCCGCTAACGTCGCCTGTCGACCCCACTTCAGGACCGTCGTCGCCGTCATCGCAAGCAGTTCGGCTTGGAGATCAGGGAGCGCAAAGCCGCCGTCTTTGCTTCGGTAATTTCGCGACATCTTCCACCAGCCACGTGGTGCATGGGTGCTCCAGCTGCCCTAAGTAGCCATGCCAGACATAAGCCTTGATGTAAGCGTTGAAAGATCTCACTGTCGCCGTCGTAGGCCACGCATGGCGTCCGATGAAAAGGAGGTTTGGGATGACCACCGCGGCGACCACCTGTGCTCGCTGCTCCACGCTCAAAGTCTTGTGACTGGCGAGGCGGAGTCGAGTGCGGAGATGCCACGTAGCCGCTTTCTGGTCCTTGCTACCGATTTGCATACCGAGGTAGCGACACCGTGCACTCGGATCGAGCAGCTGAATTCGCCAGCGCCAATCCAGCGGTGGAGACAACCCGTCCTCGTGTAGTGCCATTGCCACCGTTTTGTCAATATTGAGCCGCAAACCCGATGCAGCCCCGAAGCCTTGTACGATCTCCAATGCTCGAGGAATTTCCTCTGGGCATCGTAGATAGAGAGCTGTATCATCAGCGTATCCGGCTACCTTGAGGAGCGCTTTCGCCTCCGCCGTCTGCAGCGGGATTCCAAGCAAGCCGTCCGCAGAGTCCAGTTTCTGGTACAGAGGTTCCAAAGCCAAGATGAACAGAAGCGGAGCCAGCGGACAACCTTGACGGATGCCTCTGGCCACTGCAACATGGCGGGAGCGTTCCCCATTGGCAAGGAAACGCACTGTTGTTCCCGTGTTTAAACTTTCAACCACACGAATGAAGTGAGATGGATACCCGTGCCGCCGCAGAGTAGCGTAGAGAAAGCGCCGATCCAGTGAATCATACGCTTTTGCAAAGTCCAGAAGAAGTACGAGCGACTCCCTCAGCTCCTCAGCTCCGGGGAGAGTGTAGCCATCCGCTGCGCAGCCTCCAGATAATCGATCGTAGCGTGGATGTCTCGGAAAGGCACAATTCCATTCTGGTGGGCGTTAATCCGAGATGCGAGACTGTCTCGGATCTGCGTAGCGAGGAGACGTGTAAGAAGCTTGTAATCCGTGTTGAGCAGCGCCAGCGGTCTGTAGTTCAATGGGTTGCTCCCATCGCCCTTCTTTTTTGGGGGTGCCCAGCTCCAGCACATCTGCCGTAGGACCAGCCGCCATCCATTGTGGGACATCTTCCTCTGCGCAACCAAGCCGATGAGCACGTCGTCCTTGTCGCCCGCACCATTCTCCTTGATCAGCGGACCACCCGTGTCTCCCACACACGCGTCCTTACCTGCGACGCCCCCAGCACACACATCCGATGGATTGATAGTGTACACATGCGAGCAGTCTTCATTGCTCCAGACCTGGAGACTCACACCCTGCATCTCATTCGAGACGGAGCCGTTGGGGTAGAGCGTACTTTACGACCGCGTGCTACGCACACGGATCATAAACCACAGGTAGCGTTCACGAGAGACATGCCTGGGTTTAAGCCCGCGTGCTACGCGGATCTTAAACCCCAGGAGGCGTTCTATTAATAGCTGGAACAATAAGTCGCCTTGGCATTATAACTATACCCTGATCCCTAAAACCCCTTTGACCCTTGGGGCACAAAATCCTAGACCCCCCTCTACCTCCCCCGGGAGGGAGCACCTCGCTTCGCTCGGTAGTCGGCAGGATCCGCCTGCGGCGGGCGTTGGTGCTATCCTTCTCATTTAAGTACGGCACCAAGTTGCTACCGAATACACAAAAAGTGGCTATTCGGTTAATCAATTTCAGAAGATGCTATTCGGCAATCAAAAAGTAGTTACTTCAAAATATATACCCTTTTTCTATGATCTCGTGATTGGATCACATTTGCCATCTTTCAGCAACGTATCGGTACCTCACTACACGAGCTTACGGGTCTCGAGAGATTTCAAGTTCTACCCGCCCAACATGCCATGCACCGAGCCTCCTCCCCATCCATGCCGCCAACTACAACGCCGTGAGCACCCGCTCGCGACGAGCCGGACCGACAACAGAAGCTCAACGCGAGCGGTGCTCTAGCGTCTACTACGGCCTGCCAGCGGTGGCTAGCGAGGAGATGGCCCACTGCTTCGCCGCATGCAAGCTCCTGAGCAGAGACATGGACTCCTGCTACTCCGTGTCGGTGCTCCAGCGCAGCGTTGCTGTATCGTCCGCCACGACGGCCACGGCATTACATACTGTGACAACGGGGAGGGACAACAAGAACGCCAAGCCCAAGACGGATGTCGGCGTGCCCGCGCCCACGCTCCGCTCCAGACCCGACCTCCAACTCGATGGTGTCAAGGCTGCCCCACGCTACGAGCTCGTGGAAATGGACACATGAACAGCGAAATGGTGCAGTTTGTTACGTCTAACAGCGGTGCCGAGACGACCTTCCAGCTGATCGTCATGCGCCAGGACAAGGAGACCTGCATCGGAGGTGGCGAAGTGGGTGAGCCCGGCGAAGCGCAGCAGACTGAGGAAAGGATCAGGGGTGCAGGAGTCGGTGGATCAAGCGCTTCAAACCGAGACGAAAGCTGCGCCGGAGCCTGGCTGTCGAGGCGATTAAGGTTTCCTCAATGGCCGAAGCTCTGGCGCACGCACTAGTGTCCACTGAAGCGAAGGTGCCTAAAGACGTCGAAGCTGCCGAGGTGGACCTAAAGAAGGTGCCTGAGGTGTCGGTGGTGGCAACGGAGCAGCCGACACTGTCAAGACTCACTGTACTATGGTACAGTGCAGGCTACATCGACTACATCAAGTTGACTACAATGAAGGAGCTAGGCAACCTCGGATCCATGGCGCCCTGCAGACCTTGCAAGGGCACATTGGGGGCGCACCATGGGTCATCACTCGAGGCAGCGGCAAGCGTAGTCGTTGCCCACGACTCCTTGACCCAGACGTTGTAGTTTCTGCGCTGTTTTCGAAGAATACGTAGTCTCCATAAACGAATGGAATGCAGTAACCCACCACATACATATAAGGATGAGCAGCATGTGAGGTCTTACTCTGGCAAGCAGCTATAATATATAGGTACAGGTGGTAGCTTACTAAAAATCTCTAGAAACGACTAAGGGAGTGATAGTGAGACAGTGGTGGGCTTCTACGTTGCATTTGTCCCTGCAAAATGTCTCCTCGTCCAAATAGTCGGCCCACAGGAACAGCTTTCACATTGCCAGCACTCAGAAGGGCGAAAAGATGAACTGATAAGATATCCAAGAAGACAAGTTGAGCCATGACCCACTGTTGCGGTTGTTTGGTCCAGGTCTTGCGATTCGGTCATATAATCAGCATGGTCAAATCCTGGACCTGATCTGCATAAGAACCAAAATAAAGGCAACCAAATCGAAAACGCTTTTAAGCGTTTTCGATTTTGCTTCCATCTCTTTAATAAGAGATCGTGCCCTTGAGGTACGGTCAGCACCGTACCGTGCGGTGCTGCACCGTACCGAACGGAGCCGTTACCGTACGCTCGCGAATGTACATGTACCGGTACATGTACGCTTTGTCACAGCAACTGTTCACAATGATAACCACGCAAGCTGTGGCACCCTGTGCTCTACGGCACTCGTTTGCTGCTCGCTCAATGGCGTTTACGGACAATTTGAACCATTTGTCGCTAAGAAATCAAGCGTCAACACAGGTAAACACAAATCGCGTGGCACACCCGCTCTTCCCGCTAGAGCTATTCCCAAAAGGAGTAGCGATTTGTCCCATCTGTCTCAAAAGGAGTCGTTGTTGCAAAACGAGTAGTTGGGGTGCACCACATACCATTCTTGGCGATCTTAGGATTGAGTATGTGCTATTTGCGGTATACATTGCCGTGGGTGTTAGCTGGCACTAACGCTGTTAAGAGCTACTCTGCATAATAAATAGTACGTACGTACTTCTCTGGCCCACATAAGAAACAACACTTCGGTTTTCTGGACATAACTTTCTACAAAAAAATCGTTTGATGACTCGCAATACCTCAACCGAAAGCTGCGCATTTGCTCCGTTTCACGCTATGATTTAAAAAATCTAGCAGCAGAAAGAAAAGAGAAACAGCCATTTATCTGAAGTCCGTTTTAGGCAACATTAGTTATTTTAGCGAGGTGCCGTCAAAAATTAGCGATATTAGAAAATAAAATATCACCGTAATCGCGCTTTACCCTTATGTTCGGTTGTCGATGTTGTAGCGCCTGTTGGAGACGAGTTAGAAGGGCTCAGTTTTGAGTTTTTTCTCGCGATAATCTCGACATGCGCAGACCCATTTATTTTGGCCAATAGTAAGATAAAACAGTAGGTTATACCCAATCATGTGTGACATGTGGTCCACATCAAATAGAGGTTTAATGCCGAATGTTGTTTCTTAAGTGGGCCAGAGAAGTATTAAACAGGAATTCACTGCATTGCATTACCATGCATAATAAGCTGAACGGGTCTTCAACTCCTAGCTAGCCACACCAACACGGTTGACAACGGTGGGTTTCAGTGCCAAGTTCTCGTATTGGACACGTGTGTTAAATATTCAAGTCAAATCAATCTGTAGTATTAATACATGTAATATTTGGGGACGAAGTCCCCCCTTACATTGATGCAATCACTTTTACTTAGCTTTTTCAAGGGTCCATACCCGCATTTACTTACCTGATATCAGTTTAGAAGAAACGGATTAGGGCTGACATTCTGATTGAGTCGCCCAGGGCCATTTTTGACCAAATAATCCTGTGTTTACTGACATTTCCAGAATTGTGACATGGATAGGATTTGACATTTAACTGCATAAAGATGCGGAATTTAGTGACCATATATCATTAAATCGGAGGTACGCGATTTAGAGGGCACTTCCCACACAGAGAAATGCTAATTTGGCTCAGCAAAGGACGACGGGTGCAGCTTTAGCTAAAATGTTACAGTTTTTCGGCTGTGATGATGTGACTTAATGCCTTGTCGCATACGTTCGTACCCTAATTTAGAGCGGAGGGAGGGAACACGGTCTACAGGCTTATATACGGGAGCGTCAGACTCACTCTCCTACAGTTTATTTAAGAAAATAAGATTGGACAGACTATCGCTTAAAGTTTGGGCCTACCAGCAAGAGTGCAGTCAGCACTAGAAGCGGTAGTGAGCGGTTGCGAGGAGCGTAGCCGCAGCAAACCGGCGCGGGGTGTCCGCGAAGCAGGGCCGCGCGGTATTTGCGTAGGCGCGCCCAGCGACAAGCATTCCGGCGAACGGACCCGTTGCCCCAACTCGGAGTTAGTTTTCTATTGCGGGGGTCTGGGGTGTAAAGCTCGCAAGGCACTTCTTACATGCAATGACGAGTTCTTCATGCAGTTCTATGATAATAGTGTTCCTAATCGAAGATGTGACGTCGGATCGGAAGCGGCACTGATCTCCACGTGATGGCTTATACCCAATTAATCAACAGCTTCATCAGATACGTTGGGAGAGCGGGGACTTCGGCCTGCAGTGGAGATTCCACTGCAGGGCGTCGGCCCCCTAAGCAACTCAACGGAGCAACGCGACTGAGATGCTCCACTACTAGTATAAATGTAATGGTTTACGTCAATGGTTGCTCTGTATACACTGATGCCGTACTTCAAGGATACTGCGCAGGTATGGTACAGTAATGCACTTCTAACGCCTATGGGCTCACCCAAACGATTAATACAGGATACATTCTGCAATTTACCGCGTGCTGCAAACTACTCTTGGACCACCGCCCAAACTCCCGCTGAGCATGAAAGCTATCTCCGCTCTCAAAACTGCGCTCGTCGCGGTCGGCACCGTCGGCGTGCACATGGAGCGATCCCTCATTATGGGCGGAGGGTTCCCGGCGGAACAAAGACGTACACAGCCGGCATCCGGTCAACGGCCGAAGGGCGGTGCTCTTGTTAGCTCCATCCATGTGGTCACTGCCGCATCGTGTAACTCCTACGTTTTCAGACCATCCGTTCCCGAGTGGGTTGCGGTGGGCGCTGTGGTGTAGTTGCACGAACAAAATCGGCAGATGTGGCACCCTAGCTACAAACACAACAACAGCCGAGCTAGTCGGCCCTTGTTGGCCTGCGCTGAGATGTCCCCCAGCGGTTCGGCCCTTCCGGGACAGTGATGTCTCGTCCTCACCGAGACCAAGTACCCAAGCCAGTCAATCACGGAAGCCAGCTGAGTTACCTGACTCCGGAATTAGAAATCCCGTGTCCTCCGCCAAAGGACGGACGACGGTCCTCGCGGGCTTTTACGGGTCGCCGAGAGCAAAGGCTGCTCGACTCAGCAATCAGTGCCCGGGACGTACGGGAACACCGGCTCGCAGCGGTGGCGAGACTTTTCCTTCGCGCTTGGCGAGACACGCGCCCAACCCGGGCCGACCTTAATCTCTTGGCGCTACCAGTCAACACCCTACAAGCGATGCCTCTCGGGTGCTGACAGCAGACATAATCCGGCCCGTGCAGGGGCTTACTGGAAGCGCGTGCACGTGTTGTGGACCTAGAAAATTCTGCTCTGTTGTTTGTTATCTCTGTCGGGCGAATAGTGGAGGCGCCCCTTCAGGGCGCCTCCACTATTCCTAAGCTCCTATACAAATATCAAATGAAAGTGGGCGGTTTTGGATTTCGGCCGACTCTTCACCGAGCTCGGCGACGCTTGAGCTCGGCTAAGCCGGATAACCTGTCCGGATAACCTGGCGAACTCGGCTGAGCCGAATAAGATGTCCGGATAACCCAGTGAACTCGGCGGAGCCGGATAAGGTGTCCGGATAACACGACGAACTCGGCGGAGCGACCCTTGGACTCGACGGGGCGACTCCCGGACTCAATTGGACCCGGTTACCGTATCTGGATGGTACGTGGTGCCGTTTAGCCGAGTTCGGCGGCTTGAACTCCCCATGACCTCGGCTGAGCGTGTCCAGTGCCTTCCTGAACTCGGCTGGGTCTTCATCACTGGGTCTGCCACGTGTCACCAGGTCGGGGCCGGTGTGCCTTGAGTTTCTGACACCATCAGCCGAGTTCAGCGGTCCATCAGCGCATTCTTGCCCGCTGAGCTCGGCGAACGGTCATCCCACCGAGTAGAACTTGGCTCCTGGTACGTTGTTCCACTGCGGCCTTGGCGTGTGACACAAAACTTGATGTTCCCTACACCACAGCGCGCGCTACGTCAACGGCTCGAAGGATGGAGAGCAGATCAAGGTCGTGTCGGCCGTGAACGATCCTCTGTACAATCCTGGCAACTTTTCGTACAACTTTGCCGTGCTGACGCTTGAGAAGCCCAGCACGTTCGCCCCTATCAAGCTCCCTGCGGTGGATGACTCGGACATCGGCCCGCGCATGCGGTCGAAGGCCATGGGCTGGGGTAATACCAGCTACCCGGACAGCGCGCGCGCCAACAAGCTGCAGGGCATCGACTTGATGCTCCAAACCGACCACTGTATGTACACGGTGGATCAGTCCGAAGTTTGGGCTGGTGGTGAGGAAGGCAAGGATAAGTGCCCTGACAACACTGGCGGCCCGCTGATCGAGGAAAACAGCCGTGGCGATGATGATGACACTAGCCGAGCGCCGCCGCTACGCGGCGGTAATTTTTAGTTGGTTGACGCTGAGCTCGCTATGCTGCTCCGCTATTAAAGCAGGCTGCCTACGCTTCGCTACGGCAGTAGTGGACCCCTTCCGCTCGCCTCGTCGGCTCGCTGCACTACTCGCCGTGCTAGGTTAGATCTGTAGAGTTAAGCGGGCCCTATCGGGGTCCCGCAACGCACTATGAAGCCGCCTTCGCTGCGCTCGGTAGCGAACTAATTTTACCCAATAAAGTATATTCGGGTGTCAAATTTTAGCCAATCCGAATTAATGTAACCTTGGCGTTACGGACCGACCACGCGTTACTCCAATTGATGTTTAGGACTAGCCGAGCGCCGCCGCTAGGCGGCAGATAGAATTTATATTGTTGTTAGTTATTTTGCACACGTTCCGCTCGCCTCGTCGGCTCGCTGCACAACTCGCATGGTTACGTTAATAGATACAGAGGCCGGGGCGGGTCCTGCGTCCCCGCAATATCGTAGTGGGGGGTCGCCTTCGCTGCGCTCGGCAGCCTAGGTACGATTATGTGGACCACCCTAATTTTGTCACCATGCGTGACACACGGACTGACAGACAGACCTCTCTGTTAGCTGTTGTAGACTAGCCGAGCGCCGCCGATACGCGGCGGGGGGTTTTGTGGTTAGTCGTAGTAGTTAGGGCCGCCCACCTCCGCTTCGCTCCGGTGTGCTAATTAGTCCGGCGTGTTTGTGTAAAGCTTGTAAAAAACAAATTCAAATGCAAAAGAACACGTATTATTCAAAGTTATGTGCAGGACGCCCTCCTCGCCGTGACAACGCCGTCTCGAAAATTTGACTGTACACGGTGTTCGCTGTGTACGCTCCATCATCTTCTTCTAACTCGGGCTATTCAACCAACGCCTTGATCTTGGATCGGGCGGTAACCCGGGAGAGCGACGTACAGCTGGCCGTGTGAGAAGCAGGGAGACGCGAGGTACAATCCGAAGTTAAACACCGTTTGGTCTTGGGCCTTGTTGATGGTCAATGGCGCGTTGACCTTCGTTCAGGTCACCGGTACGCTCGTGAATTCGGAGTAACACATCCGGCTTGTAACCTGTCTGTTCCCGGCGGATAAGGTTGTTTTCCAGCAGAGTTTCCAGAACCAAAACCCGGTGCTCGATCAACTGCGGGAGGTCGAAGTCATGCACGGCATACCCGCTTACTTGCAAGTTGTAACGGACCAGGTGTGTGTCCGTTACTAGCTTACACGTAGCGGTGAGGAAGCTGAGTTTAGACTCGGATTTAGTGAGACCAAGCAGGCAGTCTTGGGTAAAATCAACTCTGTTTTATGTTAGGACCAGGTCGGCTACCCCTGGTCTCATGTGAGCCACTCAGATGCATGTCAACGCCTGATGGGCTGAAATGGGGTCTGGCTCCCCCACTTCAGCCAATCACGAAGACCGTCAGTACACGCTACCCATGTACTGACTTAACTAATTTATGTACTGTCAATCTACCTACTTATGTAAATGGGTCCCATTACATCACGCCACTCTCAAAGTTGCGCGTACGCAACATAAGCACAAAAAACACATTTCCGCAAAACACCCGAAGAACACCGGAGAAGACCCAGGCGGCGGAGGAACGGCGCTCGCACTCTCAAGCGACACACGACGATGCAGGCGCAGCAGGTTGGCACAGACGAAGCCTCTTCTTCGGCGCACTCGCCGATGCAGCACACGGAGGTCTGGGACCTCGTCCATTCCGCGCGGCACAGCTGGATGACGACCTAGCGCCGTGGGACTTGTACGACTTGTCGGGAGCGCTGCGTCCGGACACGCTGGATGTCATGACGGACCACTTCCACCGCTTCCGAGCGGCTCGCCAGAAGGGGATCGAGGGATACGCGTACGAGGCGCTGCGGCAGTCGTTGTGCGCGTTCATCCGGCGCTGGAACAAGGAGACCCGCAAGGGGCGCGGCCTCTCGACTTGGCTCGCGCATCGCGAGGAGATGTTTGGAGATCATTCGCTGGGGGAACTTCGGCGCCGCATCTGCGAGGATGCGTGGAAAGATGATCGCATGTGCTACGTGAGCGTGCGTGAAGGGTGCAGTGCATGTGGGATCGCTCGGCCGACGAACGCCCAGTGGGAGGAGCAGCTCGCTGGGTGGCTGCTCGGCTTGGGGGCAGCCGCAGACATCGCCAAGTACAAGCGCGCACTCTCCTACTTGGCGCAGGCGGCTATTCGAGGGAGCGCGCGGGAACGCTGGACGCGCAGCGGACGCTCTCGCTCGCGTTCGCCAGCCCGCTGGCGTGGTCGCTCTCGTTCTCGTTCTTGTTCGCCAGCCCGCTCGCGTGGCCGCTCGCGTTCGCGCTCGCCGCCGAGAGCGCCTTCTCGTACTCGTGGACAACGTCCGGAACGTCGCGAAGAAGACTGGCGCGGGGCTCCCACGTATCGTCTTCAGCAGGAAACCCAAGCCAGCGGACTCGGTACTTACGCGCAGCCGGCACTGCGTGGCTGGCCAGCCCACGACAACGAGCGCGGCCTCATGCAGCAGGGGGATAGTCGTGTGCCACAAGCCGCTCGACAATCCAGCGAATCTCGCCCTCCGAGTCAACAATCGGTGGTGGCCCGTCACGGCGGTACGGCGCCGGATAGAGCGGGCGCGGAAGACGTCGTGGCTGCTGTGAATCGGTCTTGGGACGCTCAGGCGGAAGCTGAGCCAGCGGACGCGCGCGCATGGCGTGCGGAGCAAGTGGCGACGCAGCTTCGACAGTCGATCCAGGAGTTGTTGACGCGCCTGCGGAGCTTGGAGAGGAGCATCAATGGAACGGTGCAGCCTGGATCTCGTCCGCGGGATCGGGCGCCTGGCTCGGCCGGATCGATGGCGCGCGAGGCACTTCGGGCGGGGCGACCGATGCATGCTCCACCGCGGGCTCCTGGTGGTCAGAGCTCGGGACCTCAGGAGGATGGTAACGCTTGAGGCGCCCGACGTAAAACGTCGGGTGAAGACGGAGCGAGCTCGGGATGTCCAGCGTGTACGCGTCGCCGAAGGCCTTCAATATCTTGAAGGGGCCAATGAAGCTTGGATAGAGCTTGTTGGCGCCGGTGTTGGTCACGGCGATAGAGCGGATGCCTTCGGTAGATAGTAACACACGGTCACCCATGCGAAATGAATTTTTGTTTTTGCGCCCACGCTTGTCTGCATTTTCCTTCTGCTAGTCCACTGCAGCTTGCAGTGCGTCCCGCTCGAAACGTGTGATTGCCTGATTCGCGCTTGATTCGGCCACTGGTAAGCGTGGCGGCGCCGGTGATTCGACTGGCGACGACTCTGCCGGCGTCTTGGCCGGAGGTGGGTCTTCAGCGGCAGCTCCTCCCCCACCAAGCGTATAGGCACGAGCCTCCGTGGGTTGGCCTACGGCAAGCATGGTGGGTACGCGCGGGTGGCGCGCGGAGTTCCCGGAGAACGGAGTCGTGCCCGTCGACGAGTGCTCGGCGTTGTTCAGATCGAACTCGATCAGGGGCAGGAAAGCGCTCCAGCTCGGGAACGATGTAGCGTAGCTGCGGAGCACGTCTTCGACGACGCGGTTGACGCGTTCGGTTTGTCCATCCGTCTCCGGGTGAGCCGCGGTGGACATCACCAGCTTCGTTCCAAGCAACTTGATCAGCTCCAAAACGCGGACGTGAGCCTCGGATCCCGATCCGAGACGATGGAATCGGGCAGACTATGAAAGCGGAATACGGCGTCGACGATGTGGGCTGCGGACTCTTCTGCAGTAACCGCGGCAGCCACAGGAACGAGATGCACCATCTTGCTGAACCTGTCGACGAAAACGAGGACTCCCGTGCGCCCGTTCGAGTCGGGTGGAAGGCCGAAGTCGAAGTCCGTAAAGACGGAGCGCCAGGCTTCCGTGGGGACCGGGAGGGGATGCAGGGGAGCCTGTGACGACGGCGAGAGCTTTACTCGCTGGCAGATCTCGCAAGTGGGTGCGCACCCACATGTACAAGTGGGGCCAGAAGAAGTTTCGCGCCACCGCCGCGAAGGTCTTTTCGCGTCCCAAGTGACCCCCGATCGGAGCATCGTGGTACTCATGGATGATCCGGGCGCGAAGGTCTTCGTCATTCGGCACCACCACTCTGGGGGCATCGAACTGGTCGATGGTGTACGCCAACAAGGAGCCATCAAGCCGATATCGCTCGACGTGGCTGCGGGTCGAGCGCGACAGAGCCTTCAATGTCGCCTCGCTTGGAGGGCGGAGGTGGGCCAGGATGCTGGCGTAGTGCGCGTCACGCTCGTACGCTGCGGCGATCTCGTCCCGAAGGGGCATCTTGGGGGCGACGCTCGTCAGGTTCAACCCCGACGTCACACACGTCGCACACGCGTCTTTATCATCTTCGTCAGCTGCCTGGCGCTCGAGGCCTTCACGTGGGGCGTAGTCTGGACGCCGAGACAGCGCGTCGGCGAAGATATTGTTCTTGCCAGGCTTGTAGTGCACCACGAAGTTATACTCGGAGACGAAAGACAGCCAGCGGGCCATGCGCTGGGACTAATGCGGGGATTTCATCGCATTCCGCAGCGATGCATGGTCGGTGTAGACCGCAAACGTCTGCTCTTCGAGCAGGTAGACTCTGAACTTGACCAATGCGTAGCGCATGACGATGGGTTCCTTGTCGTACACTGGGTAGTTCCTCTCCGCCGGCTTGAGCTGGCGGGACTGGTAGCTGATCACCCGCTCACGACCCTCGTCATCGAACTGCATCAGGGCACACCCGATGGCAAAGTCGCTCCCGTCGCAGACGACGTGGAATGGCTTCGAATCGTCCGCGAGCATCAAAACAGGGGCGGATGACAGACTCTCTTCACCGAGTCAAATGCGGCTTGGTGCTCTTCTCGCCACGACCACGTGGTGTCCTTCTTCAGCAGCGACGACAGTGGCTGGATTAACTTCGCATAGTCCTTGGTGTGTTTGTGCAAGTAGTTCGCCATGCCTAGCCACTGACGAAGCTCAGTGGGACTCATGGGGGTCGGCCAAGAGCAGATTGACTCAACCATCT